GGGGGGGGGGGGGGGTATATTAAATGGAATGGCCCTATACTGTTTACAGTGTGCAGAAAATTTTTTCTTGCCAATGGATGTGGACATATATGTCATGGATATGAGACACAATGTGTATGCAGCTAGGTGACACAAGCTATCAAAGAGGGCCTCAGGCCTCTTCCTACACATTGCTCCATTACTTGCAAGTTTCGAACCAACTAAATAGGATTTAGTGATTGACCGATTGTGCAGCAATTGGAAATTACAGATTATCGATTATTCATGCCACAATCTACCTCATACCAATGCCGATTTTATAATGATGTCATAATATCAGTTGACCAAATAAAGGGGACATCATTCATTGTCGATTTTTTGACAATAATGTCCAATGTAACATGTTATTGCAACCAAAGACTGTTAAAACCATTCATAAATGGCACGCTTCATGCATTAATTTAACATATTGCATTAAAGATGCTGTACAGTCTGATCTGCACATGTGCACAAAGGAGCCCTCTTTTTATTATACAAACAGTTTATTTGGGTTTTTATTTCATTTTATGTTCTTGCAAAGCTTGATTCATGTTGTGTCTTAATAATTTATTATACTCTAGAATCATGAAAATATAAATAGTTGTCGGTATATTTTGGATACTGAAATGTTAACAAAGGCTTTGTTTACATATACGGACTGTACCACATCAGTTTAAAATGCAACATGTATCAACGTGCAATGCATATAATTTTTAAAGTGCATATTTTCTTAAATTCTTCTGAATTTCAACCTGGTTAAGGAAAAAAAAGTGTTCGGTTTCTGGTCAGTGTGTGTTACCTTTGACTATGCGCCTCAACCGCTGATCATCTCAAGGAAATTTTCTTCCCTGGTCAAGGAAATCTACTGAAATTTGTTATATGTTTATGAATACATATAATTAGTACTTAAACGTACTGCATGTTTTGGCATAACTTTTATGAGAGATTAAGGCCCCATTTTCATGAGACCAGAATGAAGTCAAACTGGGACCATTTCGTTTCGGTCATAGTACCGTATTATTTATAATAGATGTTTACATGAGATCGGGACAAAAATAGCTTAGACCAGTCTCAAGTCGGAACGCCTGCTGGACCAAGCCGACTGACTGCAGACCCGGACCGGTATGAATTCAGACTGGGATGAATGCAAGCACAAATACATTTCAGACCGGTCTTGGCTGTAACCTTGACATTGGAACAACACAATGCTAACAAAAGCCATCTATAAAAGAAAATTGCCTGGCAAGGTGAATACATTGAAAATTTTGTGGTTTTCGTACCGATCTCATGTAAACATGTTGACAATTTCAATTTTCATTCCAGTTTGACTTGTCCTGGTCTCATGTAAACGCTTTATTTGATATATTTCTATTATTTCATACAGCTGAATATTTAATATTGTTCTATGTAAACTTGGTGACAGTATAAGTACATTAGACATAACAATGTATGCATGCACTTATATGTAGAAGCTAGAAATGTACTTGCCATTTCTACAAGAAGCATTCCCTTGAAAAAAATTTAAAAAAGAATCTGTGCCCGTGTCAATTTGGGACAAACAAACTAACTAGAAAAATTTCAGTCCGGACTGAGTTAAAATTTCAATTCAAAATTGGGCGAAATCTCAGCCCGGGCTGAAATGGTCAGGTCTCAAATTGGAGCTGTTCTGCTTTATGCCTCCGCCTGTTATTTGACTTGTGCAAGAGGTTACATTTCAAAATAAAACAGACAGAAAGCCAGGCAGCTGCAGACTAAGAGAGATACAACTATCTGAAGCAGCTAATAGTAATACAAGCAGAACTTTGACATTTTGAGCGAAGGCCCTTTTTATCAGGAAGTTACTTAAAGTGCTCATGACACGAAATTTCACCCCAAATGTTTATGATTGCATTTTATAATATAGTATTTGTAAATTCTGAACGCTGATTGGCTAAGAGCTGTGTTGATATAACTCAGTGTCAACACGGAAACGTCGGAAAATTTCTTTCTTTGCATTTCTTCGTGCTATATTATAAAAAAAAAAATATAAAACATTTTTTCCGTATTGATATATTGTTATATCAACACTCGTGGAAATTGGGAAAACTCGAAATTGTGTGAAAACACTCGGCCCTTCGGGCGTCGTGTTTCCACACAATTTCTCGTTTTCCCAATTTCCACTCGTGTTAATATAACTGTATATCAATACGGAAAATGTTTTATATTTGTTAAGTAAAGATCACTTAAAATGACTTAATAATTTCTTTTATAGAATTTTGGTAACTTGGCTTCCTTTACAAGATATTCAACTTTGTTTCATATGCAAATATCACCTTTGTGACATCACATCGCATAATGACATTTTGAAAACGCAATATTTTACCTTGATAAAATATTTTTACAAACAAATATACAGGGTTAATTACCAGTTATGAAATTAATACATATACAAGGGCAATTTTTAAGTTTTTTAGATACGTATTCGTCAAGAAAACTATACTTTTCTGAAAACTCATGTGATGTGATGTCACACCGGTGATATTTGCATATGAAACAATGTTGAATATCTTGAAAAGGGAGCAAGTTACCAAAATTCTATAAAAGAAATTATTAAGTCATTTTAAGTGATCTTTATAATGCAATCATAAACCTTTGGGGTGAAATTTCGTGTCATGGGCACTTTAATAAATATAAATGCTAGTTTTTTTCAACCATGGTTGAAGTCTAAGTTGGCGTCTGGCCAACCGGCAACTCAGCCCAGGATGAAATTTTTGTCATGTAATCGCTATGTTTCAATAGGATTTTTACCGCCTCGTGTGGCACCTAGGCCTAGCTCAGCAAGTTTCGCTCGTGTGCGGTTAGTTTTCGTGAGGATTTGATCTCTCGAGGCCTTGAGGAAAATATCTATCGTGTTTGATATTTTTCACCTCGCGAGGAAAAAATCTCAACGTCTGCGGATGTTGCGAGCTAAGTGCTGAGCTGCTTGAATCAATTAGCCAATGAGAAACCATAGTTTCTTCATGTGACGTTGAACAAAATGGAGGAAAATGCAAACGATTTTGTCAGTTATGTTGTTGTTGAGTAGTTTTCCCAACGTGTGCGGTGCTACACAGAAGTTACACATGCAGAAGTCCATCTCCATTGTTTTCTTGCGTAAGCGCTATTCGTCACTCAGCAAGTACCGTAAACAGAAGCAGTCCCCCCTGGAAATACTCAAAATGGCGCACGTCCAGGGGGATGACTGCTTCTGTTTACGGTACTTGCTGAGTGACGAATCATGACGAATAACGCTTACGCAAAAAAACAATGGAGATGGTGTGATGGACTTCTGTGTAGTATTCTGTGATTTGGGTGCCTGTTCTTTCATAATACCGACGGTTGTCCGAGTACTCTGCGGAGATGTCATCTAGTTATGATACTAATGCTGGTTATCTGTTTCAAAAACTTGGTTGGAAAAGCCTTGCATCTCAGCGTAAAATTGCTAAGGCTGTAATGGTGTATAAATCTCTGAATGGTACCGGATTATACCTAACGGAAATGTTTGTTGATCGCAGTATAGCGTTACAAATTATACGTTGAGAGGCACCAGAGGCAAGTTAGCTTTACCTCAACCACGCACAAGCTATTTGAAAAGTAGTTTTAGCTGTGGAACACCCTTCCACTGGGGTTACGACCAGCTAACACTTTACGGAAATTCAAGTCTGACTGCAGCAACTTCATACGATAGTTTTCAAATTTTTATCTTTATATTAATAATTGCACGTGGAAAACACAACATGAGCTCCACCTTTGAATTTACTATATGACTAAATTCTTAAACACGTTCGAATTTATCATTATCATAATGATAAATTCGCGGCACATTTTGAATTTATCAATAGAGTTAATCATAAAACCACAAGCATTTTCAAGATTTTCAGAAAAAATGTTTTAAAAAAGTTTTAAAAAAGAAAAAAAGTTTAAAAAGTTAGATTTTTAAAAAAGTTTAAAAAGTTAAAAAAAAATAAAAAGTTAAAAAGGTTAGGGGTTAGTGTTAGGTGCCGCGAATTTATTATTATGATCAATTCAAAATGTGCCGCGAATTTATCATAATGATAAATTCGGACATGTTTAAGAATTTACTCATATTGTAAATTCAAAGGTGGAGCTCATGCTGGGAAAACAGGTACTTTTATAAATGTATATGTACATAAAATTTGTAATATGTAATTTTTTATTGTACTATGTTCTATAATTGGCGTGTAAAATCCTGATGAGTTTACCGTGGTTAAATAGAGTTCACTTACTTACTTACTTACTTACTTACGTACTTATTCTCCGAAGTATACGCGAGGCGAAACGGAAAATCGGACAACCGTCGGTAGTGTTATAAAGATGCTCCCTGCAGTTTCCAATATATGTCAGTGTTTTAAACTGAAACCTATTTAATTAATTTGAATCTAAACAAAACCAATTTTTTGCACAAGCCATTGTTTTCTCTTGTATAAAAGAGTTATTTTAATTTTAACCCACAATCACTACTCTTCACGTTACCATGACAACATGACGTCACCATCTTTATGGCCTATATCAACCAAAAACGCCGTCTTAGCGGACAAATAACCACGGTAACCTTTTTTATTGCAGAAAATACATGTTATGAAGTTTTGAATTTTTTTAAAAGTTATTTGAAAATCGCCAGTGTAGTTTTCGAGAAACTGAATTTCAGCCTTTCCAAAGGCTAAAATGCAATCTTAAAGATGCTGTAAAGTTGGTTCTGCGCATATATTCTGCGCATCAGCACATTCCATCAGTGGGGGAGCGACCTTTGGAATGTTGTTAATATTTCGCACCTTCCGAAATTTCTTGAATTGAATCTCTAGTCTGCATTCATTTACAAGCATAGCGAACCGGAAGAGTGTTAAAAATTCAGTATAATATATATCTAATCATATTTTACAACTGTAGCAGTGAGTTCAAAATGTAAACAAAGCGTTTGTTTACATTACGGACTTTACATCACCTTTAAAGGCTGAAATTCAGTTTCTCGAATTTAACTACACTGGCGATTTTCAAATAACTTTCAAAAAAGATTCAAAATTTCATAACAATGTATTTTCTGCAATAAAAAAGGTAGGTCACCGTGGTTATTTGTCCGCTAAGACGGCTTTTTTGGTTGATATAGGCCATATTGATGGTGACGTCATGTTGTCATGGTAACGTGAAGAGTAGCGATTGTGGGTTAAAATTACTCTTTCATATAAGAGGAAACAATGACTTGTGCAAAAAATTAGTGGTTTTTTTTATATTCAAATTAATTAAATAGGTTTTAGTTTAAACATTGACATATATTGGAAACTGTAGGGGGCCTCCTTAAGCTAATTCTAAAATAAGACCAAAGTCATTCTAACGTGTTCCCTTGCTGACGTTTTGCGGTCGCTACGCCCACATCGCGCCTTACTCTAGAAATGCCGTAACAATATCTTCCATGTGCATACAGGAGTGGCATGGGAAAATAACTTTTCATCCTAGATGGGAGCCACCGAAATAGATAGGAGTAGCGAAACATCTTTATAAAGTTCACGTGTGGGCTGGCATTTCGAAGCGTGGAGAAACCGGGATACTATTTTCTCTGGATGCATGGATGCAATATTTTTGTCAATATTTTGACAAAACTTTGCTTCGATTCGTATCATCTCCTTTCCCCAAAGGTTGCGCTTCAACAAGACAATGACCCGAAGCATAGTATGCAGCTAATTCAATTAAGTTTGTCCTTTCAAAGTCAAAACCTCGACCTCTAAGCGCGTAAAGCACGATGGACATGCATACAGTATGATATAGTCCGAACACTCCGTAGTTACGCGGTTGCTACGTTCCACAAGCCGTTTTAATTCCCGTTGATTTTCGCCTTTCTCGGATTTTATTTGCTCGTCTAACCCATTTCAATAGCAAACCTGGCAGAATTCATTGGATTCTTAAACATTTTAATGTTAAAGAAAGTTGCGTGTCCAGTGATGTGCGTGACTCCTTTGGGAATTGAATTCACTTCGTGGCCAACACCGCCAGATAGTTCGGACCTTAACCCCCATTGAACTGGTGTAGCGTGAGCTAAAACATAATCCAAAGCTGCTTCCAATTAATCGATTAATCGAGACTTAGTCATGGTCGTCAGAGCAAGTCACGGTTTCACCTCTGAGAACGTGGTTTCGTTTCTCGCTACGGACTCATGCATGAAAAGAGTCTGTCAACGCTCTGCCGAAAGTCGTGGGTTTTTTCGGGGTGCTCCGATTTCCTCCCACAGGGAAAGTTGACAGGGTGGGTTAGAATAAACACAGTTAAGAATCAAAGTAATATCACAGTTGTTGTAAAGATAAAATAGTCTAGGCTAAGTATGTAATTAGGTAGACGTAATACTTGATGTAAAGCGCCGATTTGATCATATATGCGCTATAGAAATGCTAATCGCAATCGTAATGTTAATCGATTTTTTCCGCAGTCGATTATATACTTAACAATATTCGGATCATCTATATTGACAATCACTGATAGATTACTTTGATCCCGATTTAAATTTTTCAGATATTTAGGAGCGCTTCGAAAATTCTTTTCATAGACGGTTTTATTAACTTTTGAAAATTGAAAAATCGCGCTGCGTTGCCAAATCGTATTTGGTGTGTTGGCCTTTACAGATCATTTAGACAATGAACTAAACATCGTCATTGTCTTGTCGGTGGTCTGCGCACTCTATAACTTCGAGTAAACAATAATTTCAATCGTAAATACTGACTGAATTGTTGGGTGACAACATGAAGGGAGGCACACATGTCCAATTTAGATTAATTAACAAATTAATACGATTGATGGATTTAATCGATTGTTAATAACGATTAATCGATAATGAAAATGAACCGATAGGAGCAGCTCCATAACATAATCTGGGAACGATTGTTAAACCAAGAACTAAGGAAGCTTTAGTTGACCGCATTACCCAATTTTGAGCACAAGCGATGACTGTCGAAAAATGTAAAAGTGATCAACTGAGCTACGGAGTCCAGTTGTCGAGCTCTAACCACAAAGTCTCGAAACTTGTGGTGGTTAGAGCTCGACAACTGGACTCTATAGCTCAGTGGTTTAGAGCGCTGCACCGGAATCGCATGTTCGATTCCTGCCAGAGGGCCTATATTTGTACATATACTACTTGTACTAACTGCTCGTAGTTGGGTCTAGAATTGTAATATACAGAGTGTATCAAAATAAACGCAATTCATCTTTTGTGCTTAATAACGTTCGAAATACTATTTCTAGTTAAACGCTTTTAGGCTTACTTCAAAGCCTGTTCTTTTCTCTTTCAAACAAACTATTATCCTTGTCTCCAATGCTAGTAATAATTGCACAAGAAAAGATTTAGTAAAACCTATCATTTTTAGTTGCTGTTTATAATTATGCAAGTTTGCTATGTTAGTCTTATGTTATTGTTTAGTCGGTTTAAATGTTAGAATTTTCTTCTTTAAACTTTAATGTTGTCGTCACTACATCTGGAAAACCACGTAAGAACAAATTAAAAGTATTTTAAAAAAGACCAGGTTGTTTGAAAATCCTAAACGAATGCTAAAAATCGTCAAAACAATCTGGTGTCTGAGCCAGAGTGTCATCGAATTGCGATGTAATGTAAACAGAAATTATAGCAAGTTGATGTCAGTCAGCTTAGTTGGTCCAAGCCAAAATTATATCGCATTTGAAGTTTCAAACTGAGTTAAAAATAGTGGAAGAAAAGCCGTAATTATACTTATTGTTACAATCCATTTAATAAAATGCAACATTTTTTTGTTTTAATGAAAAATCAGTTATTTTCATGAGAACGTTTAGTTATTCCATCTCAATTTTTTTAATCTCCAATCGCAATAACGTAAAGTATTATTACCCGCGAACCAATGAGTCAAATTTAAGAAATAACCCACTGTTAGAAAGCTGAATGGCTACGCTTTAAAATGAATGTAAACTTTAACGTTTTCATGTATTATTTGTTTAGCAATTTACATTTCAGTCGAGGATTGCGCTTTTTTTGATACACCCTGTAGTCTTCCGCTCAAAATTCCATCTACAAAAACAATTCAACTGTTAAGTACCATTTAAAATCAACCTCGTCCCCAGGGCATTTTACCTTAACAGCTGAAGTTCTGCGAAAATGGCCCTGGGATCGGCTGATCAATTCTACAATCCCATTGGTCTGTTCAAAAATGCATTAATTCTTTTGCAGTATAATTCATTCAAACAACTCTAGTGCTTTAAGTTTTTCTTTCTTCAAATTATACAGTAAATTTAAGAAAATACCCAGAGTATAATCAAGATTCACTTGCGTCCTATACTTACAGTGCTATGTTTTTTGTCGAACTCATGGATATAAGATTAAGAAGAATTAGGCAAGCATATATACTCAAGCCCGAAAATTTGGTCATGCTATGCAAATTTTAAATCATTCATTTCTTTAGAAATTGATTGTTTTCACGGACTACGAACACGGAAATATTTGCATAGCATGACTAAATTGTCGAGCTGGCTTCGTCACTGCATATACTGCTCTTAAAATAACGTCTTTAGATAAATAAGTTGGCAAATATTTCACATAAATTATCGCATTAAAAACTCAGAAACCCTGGGTGCCATGTGACCAGCCGATCCCAGGGACATTTTCGCCGACCTTCAGACGTGGAGGCAAAATGCCCTGGGGACGAGTTTCATTTAATGTACCTTTTTAATCTTATTTGTTTCATCTTCTAATCGTAGGTTGAAATTCTTGGTTTTCTCATCTCCATCCTGAAGAGAAGCATTACAAATCTACAGATTTGCACCAGTGTTGGATTAATTGAGCGTATTCTTCAAAGGTTACCAAACGAAGCTGATATTGTAGCAGGTATCGTGTAAAACCCCGACACCATACAGTAACAATTAAAAGACACACAAAAAGTTTCTATAAATCACTGGAAACTATGTTTTATTTAAGAGATTTATTTTATTAAATGCTGTCCGATTGCCCAATAAATTGCCCGATTTCTAAGTATAATATGCCCGACTTAGAAATGATTACCCCCCAGTCCCCTCTCATACGCATATCTGATGATTCCAAGAACGATATTTAGAAGGACGATATTCATGAATATTCCTGCAACACTATAGATACGATTGCAACACTATGGATATACGATTTTCAGACCACTGTCTATTTTTGGTATCGCTCCGTAGGCTTTCGGAATAAGTAATAGTATTCTTAATAGACAATTCCCATTATAGACTAATTTTAAAACTAGGCAAGGAGATGCAAATAAATCACCACAGCTAGAAAGAGCATTCTAAAATTAGTAAAAATGCAAAGTTTGGTTGCGAAATGTTGTAAAATGCGGAAAATATAGCCTTGCAAATGTTGTATACTTTTGTATTGCGTGCGGAATTTGGGCCCGAATGTGGTAGGAATGTGGTAGGAATTTCCGTACGCAATACAAAAGTATACAAAATTTGCAAACTTTGCAAGGCTATATTTTCCGCATTTTACAACATTTTGCAACCAAACTTTGCAATTTTACTAATTTTAGTATGCTCGTTCTGGCTGTGGTGATTTATTTGCATCTCCTTGCCTAGTTTTAAAATTAGTCTATAATGGGAATTGTCTATTGTCTTTGCCAGTGTTCTGTGGGTAGCGCCAATCAAATGAACAAGCTTTCGTTGATAGGGATGCAATGACCTGGAAAATACAGGGAGAATTTCGACGTTTCGAGCGAAGGCCCTTCGTCTGCAGTTACTGGAGACTCTAATTTTAGTTAACTTTAAATTTTAGTTAACTTTCGTTTTTTCTTTTTTTTCGTTAGATAAATTTATTGAACTGCTTGGCATTTTAGCAGCGTATAGTATCACAGTTAAAGAATTAAAAACGCTCTTTGCTTCTTTGCAAGGAAAAAATGGAAGATGGGTATGTCGTTTGAATCGTAAATATTTATTATTCATATTATAAGAAAGATCGTGGCTATCGTATTTACTCGTGTAAGCGCCTCTCCCGATTGTTCCTGGTTATAATAGGTCTGATAAATGTATAAAATTTACATTCGAAATTCCATCTACAAAATCCTTCTCCAATAGACAATTCCCATTATGGACTAATTTTAAAACTAGGCAAGGAGATGCAAATAAATCACCACAACTAGAAAGAGCATACTAAAATGAGTAAAATTGCAAAGTTTGGTTGCGAAATGTTGTAAAATGCGGAAAATATAGCCTTACAAAATTTGCAAATTTTGTATACTTTTGTATTGCGTGCGGAAATTGCTACCATTTTCGGCGCAAATGTGGTAGCAATTTCCACACGCAATACAAAAGTATACAAAATTTGCGAATTTTGCAAGGCTATATTTCCTGCATTTTACAACGTTTCGCAACCAAACTTTGCAATTTTACTAATTTTAGTATGCTCTTTCCGGAAAATATACTTTTTTTCCAAGATAAAAAATTAGTCTATAATGGGAATTGTCTATTAGTTCTATCAAGTGAGATCCCCCAAATCCTGATACTAACCCATAACTCTAGGTTAACCTAAAATCAAAACCTAAAATCTTTTTTGGCGTTCCTCTCAAAATTACTTTGTTTTAGCTTTATTTTGTAGTTTACACAGTTAGCAACCTTTTGTATCTGGCGGTTGAGAAACACAAAATAATAGTTACTGTCGTTCCAATTGAAGTGTTGCTCAAATATTGATTTTTCAAATTTTTCAAAAGTTTGATCAAACTATAGGATTTTTGATTGACCGAGACACTTCTGGGGCGGGTCTGGGGGCATGCTCCCCCAGAAAATTTTTGATTTTCTAAGGCTTAGAAACGCTATTTCCTGCATTCTGGGAGCAGTTCAAACAAAATATCAATTTCATAAACAGTGACACAATGACTATAATTTTATACTGTTGTTTTCCTCCAATCCTGAGGCTAAGAATTACAAATATTTTTGGTCGAACATCATTGATCAGGTGCATAATAAAAAGGGTTTGTGCTCAATTGTTGTAAAATTTGGGCGCTGGCCCGCACTTTTGTTATTGGGGTACTTGTGCACACATACAGCCTCCCATTTCTTACGTCACTGTAAGGCAAGAATAATGCTTCTTTACATTGAGAGAACTATACAGTCTGTCACTGAACTTGAGCTCATATACTCGATTGACTCATATACCTAGTTATGGGCCTGACTGTAAGCAACAATTGGAAACATCGCGTAGTCAGTGGAAACAATTTTTCCCTCCGTGATTTCAGATAAACCAGTGCCGGTCGTTCACTGATCGAATTTCTTGATTGCAGTAGGCACATCAACTCTTTGGTAACAAAATACATATGCATAATTATCGTGTTACATGTGAACATACTTCCTAATATAACTCGGCTAGAAATTCGTTTTTGCACTTTACATCTTAAAAATATAGTTTAGGGACTGGAAATTTTTTCGAGATTCATCGCATTTTGGAGTCTGATTTTGGGGGTTTGAAATGTTCGCTAATATAGAATATCACCTGTGAATGACCTTGCAGAACCTAAATTCCAAATAAAAGTGCCAACACGTAATTGTGACATATAGATATCTCATGCATGTAAGCATGTTTGGAATGTAAATGAAAATTTCATCCCTTTGCGCGTGTTTTGAATGATAATTCGTTCATAAACTCGCGAAATAAGTACGTAATATTTCTTCATATTACTTCTGAGCTGTTTGATCCGTTTGAGCACATTTCCAACTCAATACTCAATAGTCTGAGTCTATCTCGAGTTTTGAAAAAAATTAATTTGCTTCGCAAAGCACTGCATGTAAACAAACGCATCATTTTGAGACCGACTGCACGTAGTTTGAGACTGACTGGGTCATTTCTCTGGGGGGGGTGAACCACCCCCACTCCCCATGTGAATGAAAAAATGAAAATCCGCTCTTGACTGTACTAGTCACACTCGCGTAGTAAACTTGCAGTAGACTCATATTGGTTTCAATTTTTTCTCTTTAGCCAAAACATGCGGCCAGACTACTACATGTACTCAGAGTTGTGCCAGGTCGTCGTGGACCTGATGTGTACTTTGATTTCACTGGAAACCAAGGAGCAGTAAGTATACAGTATATGCTGAAGATATCGTTAAGACGATAATGTTAAATTTTTGGCTGAATTCATGTTAGGATTTCCGTTAAAGACTGGGAACTCGTCTGGAAGATTTCCGTTATTAATTTGAAACGCAAACTCAAATTCGGACGGATAAACGTGAAAAACCGTACCTCCAGACAAACTACTGTAGATCTTCTGCCAGTGCTTCATGCACTAAATTCATTGTTCTACATAGACAATCACCCATCAAAGGTCCTTCGTTAGTCGAACTACGCGCATCTGAACCTTCTCAATGATGAACCAGACGAATGTGGGCTTTCTACATTTGAAAGGAGGATTCGGTGTTTCTAGAAATAACGCAGCTAGTAATTTGATAAAGATTGCTTAACTGAGAAAATGAATCCTATAGGCTAGGATTCATTTTCACAGTTAAGCGGTCTTGTATGAAGAAATTATAAGGCCCTTTTGAGCTGGAGGCCCGGAACAAAGTGCCACTCCCTGCCCCCCATCCCTTCTCGGCGGCCCTGATTATACTACATCATTAAAAACTTGTTATAACGCAGACGATCCTCGTTCGTACAAAACCATATCTCCAAAGTGTAACTGTTCCAATCCCGTGCTCCATGTACATGAGTAATGACGTTGTTTTTCACTTGTTGTATGTTGTACGTTGTACATAGTCTACGCCTGAGCGAAATAATGACGTCACGTTCTACATCTGTTCACACGTCAGACCGGAAGCCGTTAGAGTTTCCATACGATTTCGCAAAACGCGCTCAAATAATAAAAATATTTTTAAAAAAATAATAAAACTGCTCAAATTGTTACGGCATGAAAAGTGACGTTTCAAACAATTTCGCTCAGACGTAGTGCGAATGCTACTCCTATTTATTTTAAATTGTTTAAGAATACGAATGTTCTCATCAAGACGGTACAGTACAACATACGCAGTCCTTGAAACTCCTGAAATTTCAGGTCGGCAAGAAATTGCCGACCTAAAAGCGATAATTCTCAATCTAGGTCGGCAAATATTTTCAAAACAAATAGAAAATATCCAAATGAGTATTTAACTTGCTTGCTACAAATACGTGTATTTATAAACAGCAATTAATTGCAATCAATGCCAATATAGCAAACAAAACAACAAACAAAATGTATGAACTCCAATCAAACAGTGCATGCATGTTGTGACCAAATGTTGTGACATACAAGAACACTACTTTATTACCATGCTATACTTTCTCAAGATTAAATCTTGAAGCTCGACGATTTTAACACGTATGTTTACTTTTCAAAGTCTTCAAATGATCAAAACCTGATAATTAAAACATCATCGCTGAAAAGGTGTGTGAAAGATGCGTTCGCAGAAAAATATGCCGTGACGTATTTGAAAATAGGTCGGCAAAATTTTGCTGACCTAAATGTACACATATCGCTTGCAGGTCGGCATTTAGGTCGGCATTGCCGAATGCCGACCTGAGTTTCAAGGACTGACATACGCGTGTATAAGCAGTACTTATAATCTTATACAGTATCGTATAAATTTATTAGCATGTTAATGATTGCCCCAATGCTACAATTATTAAATTGGCGGGACAAGAAGCGATATCAGTGATATATCGTTTTTATGCCATTTTGTTATCGCTCTTAAAAAAGCACAAGTATGTCATGAATATATGGTATTTATATGAATCTGAGACGGGAGTGTTTCACCATCGCGACTCGTTTATTCCAGGCTATAACCGTCCCACCAATTGCGAAGTGGCCTCATCAGCCCGGGTTTACATTTTCTACATGGGTGTGCCTTGATGCTTCTGTAATCACTAATTCTGAGAAATGCAGACCTTTCTTGTATTGGTAAGTTCAATCATGGATAATAAAATAAATGGATAGGACTCTAGATGACGTAAGCAAAAACAACCTGGTTGCAATCTGTGACGTCACGCGTATCGGCATTTTTGTTGTTTCGCTATACTTTCCGCTTTAAAAGAGTAATATTGAAGCATAAACTGGTCTAATTGTTTTAAAAACATGCCTAAGCCACGACAAAGTATTCAAGGTAAATATTTTTCGTCTTTGTTTTGTATTTTTTTTACATTTATAGCTACGAAATTGGCGTCCCCAATTTTAACGAAATTTGGGATGCATTTTTCACTGTTTAGTGCTTGAAATATTTGCTAAAATTGACTGGGAATACTTAGAGATTTCATCGCAGAATGGCGTAGTTATATTCATTTGCTTTTTGACTAAAATGTTTAGCTGTATTATTGCTAAACATGCCGTTTTTGAGAATTTAGTTTGCAACTAGGTTTCAACATCCAATCACGCCATCAGCCCATTGAAAACATCAGGTCACGTCAGCTAGTTTCCTATCCATTTATTTTATTATACATGGTTCAATTAAGATAATATGTATTGTAATATGAACAATGATTACTGTAGTTATTCTCTATAGTACAGTAATGGCTAGGATATTAATGTATCTCGTGTCTTGTGAGCAGAGAAAGTATAATGACCGCTCAGAAATTGGGTTTTGCGAACGAGAAAACAAAAATGACTTACTGTAATTATTCGCTTTTCCTGTCTGAACAAGAGTAGATGCTCTATAACGGACCGGTCATTATTTGTTGCTGGGGGGGTGGGGGGTGACACCGAAGAGAAAGGTTTTTTGGTAAAAAAATTGCTAATCCATTATCCAACCATTAAAAGGTACAAAAAAATGTTTTACCCAACCTCAAATATCAATTAAACATAACTACCCACCCCTGGTGTAAAACCTGTTATAATAGAGTTGTAAAATCAAAAACGTCGTTAGCAGTTTGACGTTTTCCGTAAGCGTCAAGCTAAATGTCTCCAATAATTTTCTACTATCCAACCCTTCAGTTGTTTTGTTTTTCATTTACGAGAGTTTTACTCACTCAACATTTTGTTTACCCAACCCTTTTCTCTTCGGTGCCACCCCCGCCATAAATAATGACCGCTCCCTTAGCCGTCAAAATTACAAATCAATTTTTTGGCAAATTTAGACAGTCGTTTCCTCTGCTGTGCATTATTTTTGTCGCCCAAAATCGTGTGATCTCTTAGGGTGAGGTAATATTCCCGCGTGACTGTAAGACTTGAATAGTGATTTCTTCTTAAACTATTTTTATGTAGCTTCCGCACTGGAAAAGGAGTTGGTTATTCTGCGCACTTCTCTGGCCCGATGCTTGTGATCGAGTCTGCTGTGCGTTCAACAAAACGCGAGATACGCTATGTCAGGCACCTTGTTGGTCACCAATTTCATCCTCAAAAGGTGCGTACTAAAACCTAGTCCTAGGCGCTGTTAAAGGCGCTGTTACACTATGCAACTTGTCTCGCAATTTTGTTGCGGCATTTTCAGAGCATTGCACAGTGTAACATCCCTCTTGCACCTAGTCTCGCAATGTTTATATACTGAATGGCTTCCTATTAGCTTTTGACTGTCAATCTGGCGCCAAACGTTACAAGCACTCCTGGTTTTTATACTATTTTTAATAATGATCATTGCAAGTTGCATGGAACATATGGCTTGGTGTAACATCCCTTGCAATGCAATGCTGAAATCGTTTTTCTTAACATTGCGAGACAAGTTCCGAGACAAATTGCGTGGTGTATAACAGCGCCCTACTGTAAGTATCAAGAAATTAATTAAAGACAAAACTGGGTGCGATAATTTAAGATTTGTAGTCGTACCTGACTGGTACTCCAATGATTATTGCCCATAGTATCTGAGCTGATACAAACGTAAGAGGTGTACTTTGTCGTTAAAATCAACTGAATTCAGCATAAGCCAAGGCAGGACAAAATACCCTATAGGCTCCTATACTTTCTCACCACAGACGCTTACTTGAAATAATTTTGAAAGCGCTGTAAATATGAAAATGTATAATGTTTATTAATACAGAAAATATTTGATGTTTTCTTTACAGTGGTTTATGTTGACCATAGTTCATACGTACAGTCGTTTTCGTTCGAGTGAGGTGAAATGTTATGTTAATGGTGAACTTGTTTCTGGTGGTGATCTTACCATGGCTCAAACAAACGAGGTATAATCTCTCATTTATTTTTATCAATCATGCCCTACGGCTATTAACTTCACAAACTGTTGAATATTTTTGAGTTACGCTATTGACAGGTAAACAAACAAACAAATAAACAAGAAAACGGACAAATCAACCAACCAACAAACAAACAAACAAACAAACAAACAAACAAACAAACAAACAAACAAACAAACAAACAAACAAACAAACAAACAAACAAACAAACAAACAAATGAAAGGAGAGATAAACAGACAAATCCACCAACAAACAAACAATTGAAACAAACAAACAAACAAACAAACAGACAAGTCAATACACAAACCAAAGGAAAAACAAATAAACAGACAAATAGACATACAAACAGACAAACTAACAAACAAACAAACGATAAACAGACAAATAAACAAAGAAAAGAGACAGACAGACTAACAATCAAATCAACAAGCAGACAGAAAAAGCAACAAAAAACAAGCAAATAAACAAACATAACATCCTGACAACATGGCTTTCTTTAGTTCGCGCATTCATTTGGAAGCCGTACAAAACATTTCCTAGAAGAGTTGCAAAATATACAGAGTAGAACGTTTCACTCACTTTTCCCTGTGTGATCGTTTCAGCCATTGGACAAGTGTTATATCGGCAGTTCACCGAGTGCAGATGTAAAGAGTGTGTTTCGTGGTCAGTTGGGAGCAGTGTATTTATTCACGGATGCGCTGTCATGGCCCGTCATTCAAGCCATCTATCATCTTGGACCTGGTTACAAGGTACTGTTCGAGGATAAACAATCTAAATATGGCAACCGTTTCTCCGTCACGGTAGATTTCTGCCATGATAGTTTTTCTCCGATATTTTACGTCCAGGTTTGTTTCGGTGAAATATTAGGTTATTGTTTGTGCCTGTTTTTTTATTCATGCGAGTTAAAATAAATAGGCTGGCGGCATAATCTTTAATATTTCTCTGATCATTTCCCCATCTTTAGAACAAATTCAAGTTTGAATACGAAATTGACACACCGTTAAGTGAACAAGACAGAAAGGTATTTGGCTGTTAATATTATTTAGGTATCATTATTTAGGTACAGGTATATATAATAAAAGTATTGTGGCATCAGTCTATTTGTAATCTGCCAAGTTAAGTTAGTTAACTTCTATACATCTATTCATTCTCTGTTGAAAACTGACAGAAATTTATTACAGTGCATGCTATCCAGAAAAATTGATTACCTGTTACCAGTTGTGGTATTGAAAAATAATTCAAATTGCTATATAGCTGGAGTGAACACCAAACGTGATTGGCTGATCTGTGGTCACGTGGCGTTAGATAAATACAATGTATCCCGCCGGGAGTGAAAAATTGAACAAGTGAAAAATTGCTGCCCGTCCCGACGGGCTATACGTACATAAATATACAAAATGGCGGCATAACTTGCAAGTTTATAAACTACGATTTTCCACGTTTGTGTTAAAATAAATAAATGTAAAAGAGAAGAAAAATACACAAAAGGCAACATGATATGCTGCTAAACCATTTAAGTACTGTAGGTTCTTTTTATTTTAAACTCGTTTACAGTATAGAGTTTTTGTGATGAAATACAATTGTATGTTGTTCTTTCGTTACATGTAATAAAACACCTAATGTCTGTTCCCTCGAGACATAGTTTTGTTTTCTCTCGAATCTCAATGTTTGCCTCGACTTCCCCTCGGGAAACATTGAGATTCTCGGGAAAATATTACACACTTAATGTCTGCTCCCGAGGGAAATAGTTTTGTTTTCCAGAGAATCTCAATGTTTCCCGAGACGATCGAAGTCGAGGCAAACATTGAGATTCGAGGGGGGAAAAAGTAACTATTTCCCGAGGAAATAGATATTAAGTGTTTTGTTGTATAGCGACGAAAGAAAAATCAACATTCAACAACATTCATAGAGTAAACGAGTTTCAAATTAAAAGAACCTACTTAAACGGTTTCAGCAGCATATCCTGTTGCCTGTTGTGTATTTTTCTTCCCTTTTACATTCTTTATTTGAACACAAACTTGGAAAATCGTAGTTTCTAATTATGCGAGTTGTGCCGCCATTTTGTTTATTTATGTACGTAGCCGGTCGGGGCGGGCAACGATTTTTCACTTGTTGCCCGGCGGGATACATTGCATATATCTAAAGCTACGTGACCACAAATCAGCCAATCACGTTTGGTATTCACCCTAGCCACTGTATATATAACAAAACTAATTATTTTTCTTGGGAGCAGACATTAAGTGTACAATATCTTCGCATAAGACATAATCCATACGTACAGTATATAACTCTATTGAGAGCAGAGTTTTTAATTTACTGATGCATGTTTATTCAGTCAAATAGCTAACTATTGGAATGGTATTGGATGGGGCGTTTTGTGTAAAATAGGATCTAACTGTGTATTCTCGTTTGATGTCAGATTGTCTATGATGGTAAATTATCCTCTTCGATAATGTTCACTTATAATCCAAAAGCGTGTGATGGACAGCTGTGTCTGGAATCATCTCCTGTCGCAAACGCATCGTATTTTTGTGAATCTCCACATGCACTGATGTTAGAAGTAAGTTTCTTGACTGTTCAGTTTTTTCATGCTTTAGGAAAAATATGTTACAAATCCAACGTGTCTCAACAAGGAGGAATTTCGTTCTCGACCAATCAATGCATTTGTTGACATTTTCGCTCTAAGCCAAACAGAATGCGTAATTGGTTACTACTTCCGGTAAAAACACACATTTGAACAGAAAATATAGGGTCTTAAATAAAGCTTCGAGGGGGTCAGGATTTTTCATTTTTTTTATTGAATTTAACGTGACATGGTAAAATAAGAAATTTTCTAAACATTTGCCGCAGGGATTTGCGTTTTATTGCCTAGTTTTAAAGTTATCGGCATTCGGACAGCGGCGTATAAAAAGCGCGTAAGTTCGGATGCCGATAATTTTAGAACTAGGCAATAAAACGAAAATCCTAGCGGCAAATTTTTAGAATTTTTTTTTATTTTACCTTATCACATTGAATCCAATAAAAAATTTAAAATCCTGACCCCCTCGAAGCTTTATTTAAGACCCTATATTTTCTGTTCAAATGTTTGTTTTTGCAGGAAGTGGGCTTTCTGTGCTCGCTAAGGAAACTACCTACAATGACCAATTACGCATTCTGATTGGCTTATAGAGCGAAATTGTCAACAAATGCGCTGATTGGTCGAGAACGAAATTCCCCCTTGTTACGTGTCTCACGATACCCGTGAGCATTATAGTATAAGGTTGATTTGTAATTTTCCAATTGCAATTATGCACGTATTACGCATATGACGTGATTTGTATATCGAAAAACTTAATAACTCAAAATCGAGGCAAAGAAGCAATATATATATATGTATATATTATACAGTAAATATTAAAATATTTAGCTCTAAATTTTGCATATCAAATGAGCTTTCGCGCGTTCTGATTGGCTAGTTGACTTGTAATCCTGACGCATTATTTACCACCTGGGTAAATAATGCTTTTCAAAAAGAATGATTCGGCAAATTTGGTTTCAAAATCGACAAAATATTGAAAAAATCGTCCCCAGAAAACGAAAGAAGCGCAAAATGTTGTATTTAACTTGAAAGGTAGGATTCCTTTATTATTTTACTGTGTCAAACATATTCACGGAAAATTTAAAACTTATTTAAAACTCCGAAACATTCACTTCAAACAAATAGCAAAAACTATCCCGACTGTTGGGAAAAACCTTGCATGCCGTGATATTCTTTTAATTAAATCCATTTTGTTTCGTATCCTATAGATTTCTCAATTTGTACGATACTATTTCTTTTGATATGTCATGTTTTCTTTATGCTGTATGGTGTTCTGACCGCTGTATTGTGTTTTCGAAACTTGTAAAGTGAAAAGTGTTATTAGTAGAGAAAAACAAAATGGCGTCTTCAGAACTCTTTTTAACTCAGACCATCATCTCTATTGTTATATTAAACAAATGTGTGATTGATAAATTTTGATATTTAGGGCGTGCAAGCAGTTGTTACTCACTCACTTCAAACCAGTCTACATTCCCTTGGTGGAGTTCAGGTATTACTGGAATACTAAATGTTCACTCTACAAATACAGTTGAAAGGTCAGATAAATGGCCTATATGGCCCAATGTTTAAGGATCATAGTAAAAGGAAATACTATAGGAAACATTATCCACTTATTTAATGTCTAAATAAACATCTCCAGATCTTTTCCTGATCTTTAGACCTTGCTGTGAAATTGCTGCAGTAGTTGTTCGGAAAAGCCTTTTACCGAACTGAATCTTTCCTTATAGTATTTATAACATGGTACTACTGATCAATCAATCAATAGGCGAGTTCCGAAATATGGTCGAATGCCCACAGACAATTGCCTGAGAACGAGGCTTACAATTTTATATCTGCACTGTTCACCTCCACTTCAATGAATGATTGTGAAATATTTTAATCTCTTGTTGTAGATGTTGTTTCCACTGTTTGCACAACTCCACTACATTCACACAGAAAACCCAGAAGATCGTCAAGCAGACCGAGATATTTGGTAACTATCACATTGATTTGGAGCTGACGGGAACTAATTAGACGAATTTACCATATTTTATTGCATTCGAACATTTGTCATGCATATGTTTTGTGTTGTAAATCTTAACCTTTTGACAACTCAGCATTGACAATACACGCGTCTGCATGATTTGACTGCCAGCCTGAATATATTACCATGTGTTATCATTACGGTTATAGGCGGCGGTGGATTGGTTTTGGTTTGGGGTTGGGGTGAGGGAGGAGGGTTATCGAGCCCCGGGGCATGCTCAAGAATTAGAAATCTAGTGTTTCTGAAATAGCACTTCCCAGCGTTTTGGGGATAGACCTGCATGACGTGCAGTAACTATGTCTATATCATTTTGTTCATTTTGAATTTCAGACATCTACGAATCTGACATCTTCATGTTAAGTTCCCCCACTCTGAGGCTGGTTGTTCAAAGCTGGATTAGCGCTAACCCTCGGTTAAAGTTTAACCTGCTGAATTAGTTTATGTATTTATGCACGTCTCCTATACTGACCCAGACGAGATCTCTAAAGAAATATTAACCTAGTGTTAAGCTAACCCAGCTTTGAACAACTGGCCCCTGATCTTTTCTGGAGGGGAGGGATCACTCGTCGCGCGCGGACAAAACGCGCCCGTAATGGAAAACGGCCTTTGAGCGCTCCATTTTCTCGTTATAAACGACGAAACTGAATTATGATTATGAAATTTCATTTTTAGTACTCTGCTTCTTTCCCTGCTTTGTGATTTTCTGAAAAATTCTGAAACGAGTCAACAACAAATGATTCAAGGACGAGGATTCTATGTTGTTAGTTATTTATTAGAAAAGGTAAGGTTTTACAGCGACGGCTACCTACACTGAACACGATTGTGCCTGGGTTTCATCGGAAGTTGAAGAAGTGTGTAGCATCGAAAATTCGCCCTGAATAAAATGGATTGTAGGTTTATATACGGTAAATATATTTTTTGATAGTTCGTAGTAGTTGATCGAGACATTGTGTGGAAACTCGGCAAACTTCAAAACACTATAATCAGGGTTCGTACGGGTCATGGAAAACCTGAAAGTCGTGGAATTTCAGTATTTCAAAAATGTTACATGCACAAGATTTGTACTAATTGTTTCACATTCAGTAGTCATAACAAAAACATGAATTACAGTGAATGTCATTGCGAGAAAATGTGAATGGCAGTTTCTATATAAACCGAGTGTAAAGATTTGAACTGTGTATCCATGGGGTATTTGGCCTTTATTTACAAAATATTTATCAATATTCCAAACGATATGTGATTCGAAAAAACGTAACAAATATAAAATTAAAAAGTAAAACATCGTATTCACGAAGGTATATGGCAAGTTTATATTCTCAACTTGAAAGTATTATATTACTCAACTTGAAAGTATTCTATTTCGCCAAATCCCCCTCGCTCCAGGTTTATAAATGATAAAAGTCACACCCATATGGCCGCCTGGAGTCTCCTTGTGTAAACATTCTGAAACTCATTAGAAAAAATATGGAAAAAAGATATATCTTTCAAGTCGCATAGCAAACGAAATTTGCTTCATAGTAAAACTAATCTTAACACGTAACGATTTTTCTGCTCTGGAGCTATACTATTGTTGCGATGTGATATCAGATAGAATTTACAATGGCCCTTGAACGACGTAAATATCTTTTTGACTTTGTTTTGTAGTGTTCTGATGCTGCCATATTGACAGAAGAAGCTTCGGATTACCTTCTTGCCTTGGCAAGGTATTGGATATTTAACAACACTACATAATTATATACTACATTCTGCCAGCCGTTCCGCACGTTGAAATAATAATCTATTGGCGTTGTAAAGCCATTGTATGCAATAAAGTATTGGGTTGTAATGGGTCTACTATTACAATAACCCTAATCCAAACGCTAACCCTAATCCCAACCCCAACCTCTAACCCTAATATTGATGACCTTTTTTAAATAATCTCCCCACCCCCACGAGTAAGTTACGACAACGAGCCATGTAAATTTATAGACTGAGGTTATTACACGGCGGCACGTTTATCTTCGAGTGGTGAAAACAATATTTTACGGATGAGGGCAGTTCTTTTTATTGTGTAGTCATAAACAAAGTCATGTTCAAAATACAAGAATGTTTACTCTCGTTCTCGGTGACGAGAAATTCAAGGAATACCTGCATATCATAAAACGTTTTTCTTTTGGGATTTGCATTTTCTTGCTCCTCGCTAAACGACTTAATGTCTTCGTTCGTCATTTCACAAACCTCGCCATTTTTTATACGAAATTACAACTTGTAAACACGATGCAATTGGCGGGAAATGATCACGTGATCGATGATATCTTCACTAATGAAGATATGGAACATATCTTACGTGGCATTTTTCAGTATCTCCGTATCTACTATATAAATATCTTACGTGGCATTTATCAGTATCTCGGTATCTACTATATAATAATACCCAGTTTATTCGATCTACTTGTTAATCATTATTTAACCATTATTTCTGAACTGCTATTAGGTTTCTGTTGTCTCAGCCAGAAAAAGTCCGTTACTTGGTACCTTGCTTGATCATGTTTTGTTCAACGCCAGACTGTGGATAAACACGCCATTTAAGGTAAGTAGTACATATTACAGTGGAGAGTTTGAGCAAGAGAACGAAGTAGACCGACGAAAAGATACTTGACAATGAATCTGTATCCCATCTTCGTTCTCTTGCCTTCATTGAGAACGAATAGTTTGGAAAAATTCGTCGTAAACTTCGTTCCGAACGAAAGCAGAAGAACAAAGACGAGACAAAGATTCATGTCTGACTGCTTATATGAATGCCGAATGATTGTGAATGCCCTGACCCAGACAAAACAGCGAGACACGAATCCATATCCCGTCTTCGTTCTTCTGCCTTCGTTCTGAACGAATATTTTGGCAATGAAAGCAGTGTTCAGTGTTTATGACTTTAGAAAGTTGATTATATAGTTATTTTCTTTTATTATTATTATGATCAACCAATCACAAAGCCCGTTTAGGCTGGTAGCGACTCTAAGTCTTGGTTGATTTTACAGCATACATCGCCTAAGTTTATCATTTTACGATACATTTTTCCTAGGTCCAGCTGCATTTGTTCAGTGTGTTTGCCACAGATCTTATCTCCAACCCAGGTTGTTCAGACTTGATGCGGCGCGAAGTTGGAGTAAATAAATTCGTTGACATGCTGCGAACACACTACTGGGTGGTGAGACCCAAAAATATCCCGCGATCTGGTAAGTCAACGGAGTCATCGTTGAGTGGAAGAGTACTATATTTTAACAGTTAAGAAAGAGTAGTTCGGTAGAGTCTTATCCCGCCTTTTTTGAGCAATCTTCATGACAGTTTTTGCTCATCCTTCTTTTTTTAAACCACATTCCCACTCTTACAACAATTGTTTCAGAGAGCAAAATTTGCAGTTAAAGCTTTCCAAATGGCACGCAATTATTAAAGCTTACCGCTTGCATTATCGAAAGAAACTTCCATCATCACGAAATTGATGTCGGCGGATTTGGTCGGCCGATTTCAATCCAAGTAACGTCATCAATTTTCCTTCTCGCTGTATCTACAAAGCTTTGGCGAAAACGAACCAAAAATTGAAATTTTCATGCTCAAATTTCATTTCAAAGTGGCATCAGTAAATCCAGCCTTCGATAATACTATTTTCAAAATTATCGAAGGCTGGATTTACTGATGCCACTATAACATGGTTCAAATCATACCTATATCAGAGAATACTGGTAACAAGAGTGGATAATGCTACCTCTTCTGCAAAGTATGTCTCAGTTGGAGTTCCACAAGGGAGTGGCCTTGGACCACTCCTATTTATCCTTTACGTGAACGACTTGCCGTCTTGTATTAAGAAGTGTAAAGTGACTATGTATGCAGATGACACGGTTCTTTATTTCTCTTCCTCTACGTTGTCGGAACTTGAGGAAAATTTGAATGCTGACCTTGAAATCCTTCGCAGATATTTAAATGACAATCTTTTAACTTTGAACGCTGAGAAAAGCAAATTTGTAATCTTCGGCAGCACGCGTAAACTCAATTCATTCCGTGAGTTTTCATTAGAGATCAACGCACATAAGTTGGAACGTAGAGACACCTTCAAATACCTTGGCATTAAACTTAATCAAAATATGTCTTGGTCGGACCAGATTGATGCCCTTAGCAAAAAAGTCAGCCAACGACTTGGAGTTCTGCGTCGTGTTAAGTATTTGCTGCCTCTACATGGTCGTTTGGCGATATATAACAGTCTCATTTACCGTTATTTGATTATGCAGATATTGTGTGGGGGGACAAGAACAATAAAGTCCTAATGCATAATCTCCAGGTTTTGCAAAATAACGCAGCAAGAACTATACTGGATTATCCCAAATACTTTTCCGGTACCGAAGCCCTCGCACAGCTAAACTGGATGCCTCTATCAGAACGTCGACGCCAACACCGTTGTATTGGTATTTATAAATGTATAAATAAGTATATAAAATATCAATTCAACCTAGTTCAAAACGTTGAAATTCACTCCCCCAACACACGCCGCCGTCAGGATTTACATCTTCCACGCTCGCGTACTAACTGGGGAAAACAACGCTATATATATCAAGCAGTCGTTGATTGGAATAACCTTAATTTAGACCAAAGACAATCGAACAATTTGACTTCTTTTAAGAACTCTATATAAGAACTCTATATTAATTTAGACCAAAGATAATCGAACAATTTGACTTCTTTTAAGAACTCTATATACGATTTTATGCTGATATAATTTTAAACATACTTTTTTATATATGCTATTATAATGTAGTTTTATTTGTATTTTAATTGATATCGTAGGACCTGCCTGAAAATCACCTTGTTGTGAGTGTAGCTTCCTACTGAAATATTGTCATAATAATAATAATAATAATAATAATACCCAACATTTCACTTTGTCTGGACAGCTAGGTGACCAGTTACAAAGCTTTGCATATTTATTTTGTTGTATACATTTTTGACTGTGAAATTTGTTCTACGGGGGAAATTTTTCCAATGCCATCACTCTTGGGCGTTTTTATCAGAAATCTCTAAGATTTGACCACAAGACTTTAGAAAAACACATAAGTAATATGTTGGAATGACTTCGGCCAAGAGATGCCTTAAGTTTGTTAATCAGACGAGGTGAAGTCTCTGGTTGCTTATACTCGAAAAAACCGCGAATGTCTTCCTTATCACAATGGTAAAGGATGCGGTTGTGCATGATGCCATGGTTAGGTCCTTTCTTCTTGACTTTAAATATGCAACAGACCATACCATGTTAGAACACAGTGCTATAGGATTTACAAAATCGTACATCGCCCCATTTCTAAACGTTGCATGGATTGTTTTGGCTCTACGTAGACGAAGTACAGTCATCCACAGCTTTTTTACACATGCAGTTATTCAGCTATCAATCAAAGGTTTCGGACGTTATTGGGCGGGAGCGGCTTTTGTCCCTGGCAGTTAATGACTTACATATTAAACGATGCCACTTTTACGCACCCTCATTTATCTATCGCTCACATCTGAAGTGCTACTCCTTACACATTAATATTAACTAATTCCTCCTCACTCGCCCACACTCTCCCTGAAAAAAAACCCAGGCGTGATAGGTACTATCGCTGCTCACATTTTTTTCTAATATTCTACATTTGGTTATTTTCGTTGCAAGATATCCAACGGCCAAGCAAAGAAGAGTTGTTCTCACTGCGAGCATTCATTATGGTCCTTGTAAAACAAATGATTATCCAGGTGGGTAGACACAAATGTTTCTTACAGTCCAGATAGTTCAGCCGATATGCACTAGTTTTGGTAAAATCATGCACTTTATGAAGAAAGCACCAAATTTGGCACAATTACAGCATTTGTTGCGACAAAAATATATGGAGGCATCTTATCGTTGTTATAAAACAGCGTGTGTTATCGCAATCGTGAGCAAATCAAGCAAATCTGAGCTTCCTCCATCTTTAAATCTTTTTTTCGCATCAAACTGGGCAAAATTTGGTTATTTCTTCACACAATGCATGATTTTCTGACCTATCCGCTGGACTCAGAAAGATAGAAGTGAACTACAACTACAGTAACGATGTGAGTAAGGTCTGTGAGAACTTGCACGATATCTTGTTCCTGTTGCCAAATTGGTTTATTTGGCACTACAGTATTTTCTATTCATCCTCGTAGCTTTGCTGCTGTGCGACAAAGTATATGTAAACGCTTCAGCAGGCATCCATAGCTTGTTAAGGAAAAATCGCACTTCTGTAATGTTTGACAAAAAATGAGAGTGAGCAATAGAAATCCCCCGCTTTCAAGCAAGTAAGATGCATGTCCTCATCTTTGCAGGAATAACCTCGCTAATTATCCGTCGCACAACCGAGGACGGCAAAGCGACAACGAAGGCCAAAACAAATTCATTCAAATACATTATTGCAAAGAAAGCATATCGTATATTATCAATCGTATATTATCAATCGTATGAATATTGTCAATTTCATTGTATTAGGCCAAACAAAAAGTGGGTTTCCGGTTTCTTCTTATAAAAACTTAGGTAGGGTAGGTCGGTTTTAACTTTTTTTTTTAAACTTTTTTTAAAATTTTCCGAAGAAGCGGACGCCATTTTGTTTAGTCAGTGCTTCCACATCCAAAGATAAATTTCCCTAATATTGCCTCAAATTTCAATTTTCCACACACTTTTTCCTCTAAGTGGAAACACTTACAAGCATGATCCAATAAAAAAGTTTAGGGTCGGGATTTCGACGTCCAAAAGCTAGGTAGGGTCGGGAAACCGGAAACCCAACATATTTTTTTGGCCTTACTAGCCGTCGTCGTCACGTTGCCGTCCCAGATCTTAAGGTCTCTATTAGGGAGTAGCAGCAACAACAGAAAACAAAGATTTATAAGCCGTGAAAATGATGGAAATAACGTAACGGTTTGCGCAACTACGGCGTACTAGAATGCTCAAGGGAATACTATTTATAGTCGCCTTTGTCTTAAATTATGTTGATGAGCGCGACTTATTGACATTGCCGTTATATCAGGCCAAAATCACTATTCTGTCCTTTTTGGCCAGTGCACTACTGCAGGTAATATGATATTTCTTCTGTCATAGGGTGACCGAATTGAGGACTGTGAACTGGAAAGCATATTCTGTTATCTATGTGCAGTTAAGGAGGTAAATACATTGGGGCTTATTAGGTGTTATTGGGTATAAATACAGATCTTGCTGTTCTGGTGTTGGTTATAGGAAAGTTTGCTAACGGTATGCTATAAAACTTCGAATGTGGACCGCGCAATTAATAAAAAGAAACTTCAACGTATTAATACTAAAGTTTAATCCAAGATTGGAAAATCAGTTTTAGTCGTGGATGTGAGGTGACCGAGGATATGAGGTGACCGAGCAAGCTGTGTCAGGGGTCTGGGATTTTGCATCAAATTCCCTAGATGCCAAAATGCAAATCTTGATAAATGTTTGAGAAAGTGCCTGCATTAATGCGTGTCTATTCAATGATCGTGACTGCAGCGTGTGGATTAGCGCGTGAGCGTTAATAATTTTAATCGTCCCCAACAAACAACTTATATATTTATAAGGATTTAAACCTAAAATTGTTTTCGTTTTAGGAAGAAAATGTCGTGGACATTCTGCAGTTCATTCTTGATCTAATGTGCGAGAAGCCCATGGCCATCATTATGGCACTAGATAGACTGGAGGGTATCAGGTAATAATTGTCCTCATCCATTTTTTGCGAGCCTGTTTATATTTTCTCCTGAAACAGCTTAATATTTCGGCGCATTTATAGTATATGACGGATGCTGTGAAACAGTTTTTATCTTTAATTAATGTTTATGAGTATTTAAAAATATTTTATTTGTGTTTTTATATAGAGTGTTATTCCGTTTCCTATCAGCAGAAGATGAAGCACTGAGAATATACAGTCTCAAGTTGATTGGTGCTTTTTTACGATACTGTCCTATGCAGTAAGTTTGTTCATTTCATTCATACAGCACTATTAAATTAGGGAGTTTAAGCTTCACGTTTCCGGGAACGACAATTAAACGGCAGGTTCAAACTTTCTTGGCAAAATTTTCGTTGAACGTTTTCGTTTCATATTTTATTTCTTGCGTCGAAAGAATAATTATGTATTTTAGTTTTAAAACAGCAAGTTCGTTTACTCTTTATTGCCTGATACCGTAAACCTTCCGATCCTTGCCTGCCGTTTGCCGTATAAGGGAAGCCTCGCATATCGATTTTTTCCACGAGAAACGTCATATGTTCGTATGCAGCTGTGACGTTTCTCTGTAAACATCATGGACAAATTCGATAGTTTTTTCGAAAGCCTTAACACTTTTGGTATCATCTTTGCAGAATATAAAAAAGAAACAACTTGATACAAACACCAGTCTATACATTCGTAATACCATATACCTGTTCTATACGTATACATTTATATTATTACGCCTTCCTTGCATTGAAAACACTCAAATTTCAAGAAAAACGCGCTAAAATTATCAATATTTCATGCAAAAAAGTTGTTTTGAGAAACTTTGGAAATTTTGAAGTTCATTTATATTAATAAAAAAAAAGATATATGTCAGCAGAAGATGACATATTCCTCGCGTACGCATCGCGCGAATAGCCGACAGTCGAAAATAGTAGAAAATTACCTTATGTGTACTATATAAGAACAAAATATCGATAACTATGTGTGACGTTTCTAAGGGGGTGGGGGGGGGGGGAACGAACATATGACGTTTCTCATGGACAAAATCTATATGTGCATGAGGCTTCCCTAACGCGAAGCTTAAACTCTCTATTTTTGCGAGTATATAAATCCTATTTGTCTCGTGTGTACGGATCTTTAATATCTTCAATGCCGATTTGCCTTCACAACGGAACTGCGCCTTGGTAATGCATTAGACAAAGAAAAAGAACGAGAGCTGAATTGGACAGCACTGAAAAACCAGCCGACAAATTTTCACTTTGATCTATCATGACTTTTCAGGGGATGTGAAAAAACTCAGGAGAGGTGGAAACCAATCTCAGGGATTTGCACAACTCCTTACACCTCCCCTCAAAACCCGTCCAGCCTAAAGTAGCTCCTTGAACAATATAGTGTGGCTTCGACTGAGCGCTGCGTTGTTGCGAATAAGTGCAGCGCAGGAAGCGCTTATTTGAGGGCAGCATTTTCACGAGCATTAAACTTAATCGCTGAAAACGGTAACTGTTTTCCTGGAGATGCTCATTAACTCCTAAAAATCCTCGCCCATGCATGCAAGGAAATAATACGGATTACCCTTAACAAGTTTTATGTATCCTGTATGTTTGTTTTCTTTGTTAGGAAGAAACTTACTGTCATTCAGGAATTCTCGTTATTTGCTTTCATTGGAGAAAAATTAAAAGCGTTTGAACTCACACTTACATCTTACAATGCTCTCTATGAGGTACAGTATAATGTAGCTATTCTGTATATACATGCAGCTTGTATGGTTGATACGAAACCACTCTCTCACCAGTATGCACACACGTTTATTCAATTCATATTGGGTATTAAAAGTCTCCATTAAAATTAAGGGGAAAGGACAATAAAATTTAAGTTTGCAGAAATAACTTTTAAAATAAGAAATAAATAAAAGGAGATATTTTGACCAGAAATGCAGATAGAGATATTTTGAAACAAAGATCTCTAATTCTCTATCTGTATTTCTGATAAACAAATATTTTGACCAGAAACACAATATGCAACTCCATCTTCTTTTTCTATTTGGTTTAATTAACTGAGGTTTTGGTGAAGTCATAACTGAGTGCATTTCATGGAAAGTCTTTTTCATATGTACGTTGTGAGCCAATAATTGGAAATGGAAAAAGCGTGAAGAATTCGAGTTTCAGGCTCATAATTACATGTGATTGGTAGAATAATTACAGTAGATTTCTTTTTATCCCGGTCATGCGTATTGAACCGAGATGCACGCTATTTTTTATCTAAATATTTCGAAAACTAAACACGATAGGGAAATACAGTAATGAAAAAAGGTCTTGGTATTTCATTTTGAAAGTTTTTTTCAAATAAGATAATCTTAATTTTTATTGCTATTTTCCTTTAAAACACACACATATGGCTAATACGGGTTAGGTTATGATGGTGAACTTCGGAAACGCCGACCATTGCCGGACTGAATAAATAATTTTGTCTGTTCTGTACATGTACACTAAAGATGCCTTATTAGCATTATATTCGGTTACGTCAACTGCAGATAAACATACTCTTATACCTATACTAAAGGTTTCAGATTTTGGTTAAGCCATGTATATGACCAGAGATGGATCCAACCAGATCTGGTATGGGAATGCTCGTCGAGAGCTTTGGTCATGGTTCAGGGTGCGACCGTTGACCAAGGCGTAATCACTAGAGCCGGATGCGACAGCAAGGCATTGCCATTAGTCTTTACTCTTGGCAATTTCACCATCATGCTACTATCCCATTTTGTCTCTATTTTAATTTTGCTTTTGTAATTGCCTAAAAGAAAAGAAATGAATTGAAATGATATTGTCGTTGAATAACGGTGTTAGCACAGATCACATATTCAAAGCAGGAAATAATGGTGGATTCTGGCATCTATTATACCAGAAAATTTTCAGAGACCTTGCTTAGCTTGCAGAAAATTTTAGGGCATTGCGTAATGCTAACAGGCACAGAAAAGAATTTATAAGGAAGAATATTAAATAATATGGCAGAAAATTTTGACCCCAAAACTTAGGATTCCAGAAACAAAAATGTAAATGTTATTTCCTACTATGGTGATATTTCCTTTTTTATTGGGTTTTATGCAACAATTTATTTATTTGAATATTAAGGTTCTGACTGGACGAGTTTACAAGCAAATCCGTTTTGACCGTCATCCAGAACCAGATTCAACGTATTTACTGACCAATCCAGGTGAGTGTAGAGGTCATGTGACTTGTATTCGACTCATTAAGTTAAGATATGTATACTTTTATGGTTTCCAAATTCCTCGACAACGTCTCACGTAATGTGCTGTGTCGAATAAAGCTATTTGAAATGTCCATTTCTCTCAAATAAAAGTATCAACAGCATTAAATTCAACACTTAAATTCGACGGAAACTTGACATCTAAAAAAAAACAGACTTATTTATAATTCTAAATCTCGAAGTTTCCATCTACGAAATTTCCTCGAGTTAGATGCCCAAAAATAATAATGATTATTTCATTGACTCACGGTTATTTTCCTTAAGGTTTTATTCCTGTCATGATCGAGTTGATTCTTCAAGAAGAAAGCAAACAACGCGAGAGTCAGACAAAAGAAGATTCCAATCTTCGCAGCAAGATTGATATCAAAAGAGTATTTTTGTCCGACTTGATGCTCTTATTGAATCACAATCACAACAATTGCAGGTATATTTATAATTGATTATGATTATTTACGTCAGCCACTCAATCTAAACCGGTGTAACGCGAAATTTCTGACTTGCGAAATATCTGACTATTGTGGAACTGTCCATGCGCAGACGATTTGCATGAATGACTTTGGCTCATAAACACTTATCAAACTTATACACTTCTTTTTACTTTCCTCGTTTCTCCCCCTTTTTCTTGTCGATGTGGGTGACTGACGTGCCCGTATTCATAACGGTTTTTATTTCCACACCATGCACGGCCGTCTCAAGTGGATGTGAAAGTGATTTTTGTGTGACAAATGAATGTCAATTTTTAAATGCACAGTAAACTTCTTAAATAATGTATTATTTGCACTGATGATGACGAGGATCCAGCCAGAGCTGGTAGGAGGGGTGCTCATCGAGGTTTCGCCATGGCCCAGGGTGCGACTATTGACCAAGTGGGTAATGACTAGAGGGAGGTATGGCAGCGAGGCACTAATCTTGAACGGTGTGTGCCAGTGGTGCCGATAATAACTACACTTCAGTTGATAGGGATGCAAGTTGCAACTACCTTGAAAATACAAGGGAAACTTTGACGTTTCGACGTCCATCCCTGGACGAGGGCTTACGAACTTTACAAAAGAAATAAACGTCCATCTATAAACCATGTCGAGAAATCTTATATTTGGAACAGCCAAAATGTTAGAAAACCCATTCCGTTCATGCACATCATTTGTTAAAATGCATGGAAATCTTAGTGGATGAACCTTGTAATGTGCAGTGTATACGAATACTGTACATGCTCGTTGCTGTTTTCAAGGTACTTTCTGCAGATATCATGTTGGCAAGATTTCTTGCTATCTTTGGCTGAGTTTGAGCCTGAAACTAAAGGTAAGACAAACCTAGTTTTTGTTTAATTAAACTTTGCTGTAACAGTCACTATACTTTGCATTTATGAATGCAAAATGCCTATCATACCGGGTTAACATGTCTTGTTTGGGTCTAAATAATGTTAGAGTTAATTGTTTTGTTTGTGGAAACACCACGTAAATTTATTACTGCAAAGCTTTCGATCCGTAAGCCCGGATCTTCATCAGTGCTAATAATATACATATTATTAGCACTGATGAAGATCCGGGCTTACGGATCGAAAGCTTTGCAGTAATAAATTTACGTGGTGTTTCCACAAACAAAAACAATTATATTTTATTGCCATGCAAACATTCAAAGAACTTATAATGTTAGAGTTATCTTCCAGTCCGGTTTGGACTATCGGAATGTTTATAAATGCTTGAAATCGAGAGTGAGGTAAACCGAGTTACTGGGGGAGGCATTAGAACGGTTCAGATTTGACTTCCACTACTGCTAAAGGTATCAGATGCGTTTAATCTACCCGATCAACCAAATGATTATTAGAACATTAAATATTTTGTTTGCTTTCACCGACAGAACAGGAAAAGATCACGGATACAGTATTTTCACTCATTCGATTACTCCTTCACCACGCACTTCAACATGAGCCTGAAGGATGGAGAATCTTTGTAGACTCGTTAGCAATCTTGCATGGACAGGTACAGCGGCTGCATGTTTATCATATTTTTTATTTGTTTTACACTCTCCTTCGCAGAGCCGTATAATTAAACACGAAAGCTAGCTATACCCGGAACATGAACAATAAGGCATTCGGGTAATTCACCAATTTTTCCGCATGCCTCATAATTTGCAGGTATATAACACGCGTGTTTAACTATATATAGCTAGCCTTGGTGTTTAACCATTGTGTTTAACGTTTTGGTTATATTCAAATTGTACTTGAAAGTATGTTATAAACTATACAAAATTTGATTTGTTTTATCTTAGATCTTCAAACGAGGTTTGGCAAACAAATGGGCCAACATAATAGAGGATGCACCTGAATCAGAACCGAACTTGGAAGGTGATTCTTCCTTAACTAGAACACAGTCTACGAGTTCTGATGTCAGCGATTCTGGTAAGAGGAAGGTGGTGAATATAGCCACCGTTGATCTCCATCGGAAAAGCCGGATAGAAGAAACTGAGAAAGACAAAGATTACCGGAGACAGTTTTTCTACTCAATCATTCAGTCATCGAAGGAAGACGGTGATGAGCCCGAAAAGATATCTGAACAAAGTTTGACCAATGGCGGCCATGAACCTCCACCAGAGGATGGTCAAGAAGCAAATGTAGACGACGATTCAAGTGAAAATATAAAGGTAGAGGAAGGACAAGATGGGGAAATGGAATTGAAAGAGAGTTCTAATTCGGAAGAAACGACTGATGTGGATCAGAAGGCCATGGAGGATGACGACCGTGAACAGATTAACGCTGTCAGTCCGAATTGTGGCGTAGAAAGCGAGGGAAACATTGAAAACGAAAGTGAGAAGGAAGAGGAAATGCAAGATGATGCGGCTAACAAAGACAATTCTAGTGCTAACCAATCCTTGAATGAAGTTGAGTTACCTGAACACAATAAAGAGACACAACAGTCTGACAATGAGAAACTTGAAGACCACTCAAAAAACAATTCCGAGAGTGCTGCAAATGAAAACGAGGAAAACGAAGGGCGTGCTGTTGGTTTAGACTCAACTCAAGATGAGAGTAATACGAGTAAAGAAAGCAATTTAACTGAACAGCATAGAACAGATAATGATAGTGAACGTGGAGAGGACTTGGTGAAAGAAACAGTAGATAATGATAGTGAAGTAACTGCTGATGAACTTGTCGAGAAATCATCAGAAAAAGAAGCTACTACAACTCTCACAGAAACCGAGACGAGTGAAGGACAATCAGACGAACCAAGTGAACCTTTGCAGGATGATAAAGAAACAAAAGTTGAGGAAACGGGTAACACTTCCGTTGTAAATGAACCTAGTAGCAATTCAACTGAAGAACAGCAAACTCATAACAATATCCCCCAAAACATTGAGATACCCCAGGAGACCCCCATGTCTGAGATTTCCAAAGCTCACTCTATTGATATCAGCAAGGTGACGACAGTAAGTGATAATCAGGATAGACAAGAAGACGGTGCCTCAGAGCCAACATCTCCAACTACACCAACCAGTCCACACGAAGCAAGGCCACTTATACCAGAATTTCTTTGGTCGCCTATGCATCAACGTTTATTGGCCGATATCCTTTTTGCTATCGAGTCTGATCTTCAAGTGTGGAGAAGGTAGGTTGTAGTTGTTTTTGCTTATGTTGCCGGATAATTAGTTCATATTATGTATGTCGTATTAAAAATTTCATTCTCAGTCGAAGAAGAAATGAACTAATCATTATGGCTTCTATTTGCTCTTACGATATTGAAACTTGATATATAGACGTGTGCTGACGACACTATCCGTGACGACTCATGTAAGTTTTCTTCACTGAGCTAATCAAATACGTCCTGATGTGAAAAATAAGACGTTTTGCCAGTCTATAGGAAGAATATAACGTATATACTGAGTGACTATGGCAAGAAAAGTGCTTCTTGAAGAATTGAAGTTTCCAAAGGCGGCACTGGAGGTGAACGTGTTTCTCCGAGACTTGTCTCCAAAGTGTGCTCTCGTTCCTAATAGTCCGAAACGAAACTGCTGTGTTTATATAGCACAGAAATTCCTGAAATTCCTAAATTTCTAAAGTGCAACTCAAGCAATATAAGTGATTTCGTTCCGTAATGCATCGTCAAGAACAGTGCAATGAGCAACATATAGATTTGGAGTGAGAACTTGAGTCCAAAGAGATTTGAAGATAAGATTGGGCTATTTGACGTCAATTTCATTCCGTTTTCTGTTGTTTTTGTTTGGGAGGTTTTTAAAACGAAGCTGCACCAAAATTTCGTATTTTGACCTGGATTTGAAGAATACTACTATGAATTTATGAACTGATAACTCGTTTAGCGATACGGTCCGTTAGAACTGTTTACGACCTTCATAGATATTCGACGTCAATTTCCGCCATCTTGGCTTCACTTTTCTCGGTCGATTAACCAATGACGAAAGTTCTTGCTCCGGGTATATACAGAGCTGACTGGAGTAGTGTCTAATATGACGTAGAAGAGATGACGTAGACGAAATGACGTAGAAAACCAGGTTATGATGTAGATTAATGCAGTTTTATGGTAAAAAATCGCATTTTCAGGAATGTTTCCTGCATTAATGGGATTAATGCTGACCCCACAGATCTGACCCTAATACAAGAGAGTAGTTTAATTTTATAGAATGTTTACTAATAGATATTTTGACTTGATCCGAATTTTTTTTTATGTAGTCACAACCGAAGGACCGTTGTGGATTTCGTAAATGCCAAAGAAAATTTTATCTACATCTCAAACCTGGCTTTCCTTATCTCTGTTTTGTCGGACAGTATGATATTTTGTTGTGGAGATCTTTTGCCCTTGCTCTCTTCAGCCACATCGCCTGACTTCTCGCAAGATGTTATACAGCCATGTGGTGGAATGCAATTGGAGACGGCATTTTCATTTTTGAATCGCGTCATGAACCTGGTTGACACGGTAGTGTACACAAGTAATTTTAGCTTTGGTGGTGTTGAAGTGAACAGGAATTTAAGTACCGGCGGATTTCTGAGACAGTGTACAAGACTGGGTGAGTGGAAGACTGTGTATGAAGTGCCGTTGAATAGACGAGCAAAAATATGTTATTGGGTTTAGATGACGTTAGTTTTAGACCTAACTAATCAGCCGACCAACTATTTAACGAAGTAACTAACTTAGCTAACTAACTTTTTAACTAACTAACTACCTAGTTAGTTAAACTTAGCTAACTAACTAACTAACTAACTAACTAACTAACGGATGTACTGGCTAACTAACCAATTAGCTACTATCTTAATTAACTAACTAACTAACTAACTAACTAACCGATTGGCTAGCGTACTAAAAAACTAACTAACTAACAGATTGATTAACTAACTACATTAACTAACTGATTAGCCTATAACTAACTAACTAACTAACCAGCTAACTAACTTAACTGACTAAGTAATTAACGGATTGACTAGCTAATTACTAACTTACTAACTAACTAACTAACTAACTAACTAACTAACTAACTAACTAACTAACTAACTAACTAACTGATCAACAAACCAACTAACTAATTTTTCGAAATCTTGGAAAGTTGTTCCTCTTAGTACAAAATAGATTTTCTTGCCTGATGACGAATACTCATGCTTAAAGTTAGTCTAAAAGACATGACGATTTTGTTTCAGCTCTTTGCTGTGCTGCAAGAAATCGCTTAGTGTGTCGTCGTAAGCAACATCGTTATCTGCCAATTGACAGGAGGAAGCTTAGTTTTAAAACTAAGAAAGAGACCCAGGACGCAATCAAAGCTATCATTGCATCCACTCAACCGCCCACTGATCAGGTAATGAAGTTCGTATTTTGACTTGATTCAAATATAGCAGGCTTGGTTAAATGATTACTGGTGTAAATTCCATTCCCATTTTACCCTATTCAGGATCCCCGATAAAGAACACATTTTTGTGTTTAAGGAATACTCGCTTCAAATGTCACACACCTCCTTCCTCGTGGATAGGTTTCTTCCAAGTTACACCAGAAATCTTGCTATTACATGTACATAAGGCAATGTTTTATAAGAGTAGCTAGACTGAAAAGTTTTATTTTAACTGCAGCCAGAAAGTGTTTTTTTTGTCAAATAGGAAGATTAGAAATCTGTTTCGTTCTTGGTTCACAAAGGAGTTTTGTGCAGATTCTTCAGAAATTATTTGCAGTTTTTTTACAATTTGAAAATATTTGCGCAGATTTCCATAATTGCAAGAATTTTTGCGCAGGAAATGGCTTTCCTCCAAAGCCAAAACATTCAAGGTAGTCTGGGTCGGTAGGTCGTGAAAACAATTTATTTTATAAATAATGTTTTCTAGTAAGTATAATATCATGAATGATATAAACTTTGTTGACAAATGTGAGCAAACACATAGTTTGAAACTGTCATTAGCACAACTAGACATGATTAAGGCAAGCAAAATGTTAAACATAAATAATCTTTTATAAAAAGATGGTAATCTTTGCAGTTATGTCAATGAAATGTTGGCTGGAACCCTTAAAGCAAAATGGCAACAAAAATTATGTTTCCCTAATTTGAAAGAATGTTAAGATTACTTACAAATCTTTTTTACAAATTCTCTCCAACTATCTCAATTTTTGAGATATTTGAAACCAAAATCCTGCCATCCGCCATCTTGTTTTTTAATTGGATCTAATTAAATGGTCACAAGTTCATTAGTACTTCGTACTATTAAGTGTCACCCTCTTTAAATAAAGTCTCTATCTATCTAAATAACGTCACAACCAGGGTAGACATTTTAAAAATAAAATTATCAGTGGAAAGCTTATACATAAGCTTGTGCTTTGAATTTTTTTTTACAAATTCTCTCCAACTATCTCAATATTGAGATATTTGAAATAAAAAATCCTACCATTTGCCGTCTTGTTTTTAATTAGATCTGATTAAATAACGTTACAACCAGGGTAGACATTTTAAAAATAGAAAAGTATTATCGGTGCAAAGCTTATACATAAGGTTGTTCTTTTTTTAGAATAGGCAATAGTAAAAAATAGGATTTAGCATTAAAATGGTCTGAGAATTGGTCAAGATACAAAATAATGTTTCGCTGGTTGTAACGTCACGCATATCCGACGATGGATACGCATATCCAAGGTGGCATAATGCATAATGTCTGAAATGAATGAAGTGTGATGAATTATCTTTCATACCAAGAACGATGTAAAAAGTTAAAATATATTGAATCTCTCTTCCAAATCGGGGAGAAACTTTAAAAATTTGTATTGCTGGCTATTTCCTTTTAAACCAACAATGTTTGGTCTAATATTTTTCATTATTTTACCAGAATGTTGTTCAGAATATGCCTGGATATCTAACTACCATCACTGATCCAGATAAGCTGTTGCAAGATATGGATGTTCATCGACTACGTGCGGCCATATATCGTGATTTTGAGGACAGTCGACATTCCCAGTTCTTAGCAATAACCGTTGTGTATTTCGTTGCTGTCCTCACAGTTTCTAAATATCGTGATATACTGGAGGAGGAGAAAGGTGATACTCCGAGCAGTCCAAAAAGAAATGGTGAATCTTTCCCTCAAGAAGGTATTGTTCACTTGTTGTTGCTGCAAATCTGATTTCTTTAAATTTGTTGCTTTAAATTCCATGCAGTGCATATGAATCGAAAATTTTTATTGTGTTATTTAAAAGAACTTAAAAAACTATAGAGTAACTTCTTTTGAAGTTTTTCGTTCCCTTGCTTCGCTTTTGAGATATTTTAGTTACTTTGATATACGTGTCAAGGATTCTATGTCACAAAATGCATAATGAGTTTGCTGAAAACGTTATATACTCTTGTTATTATGAAATGAAATTAGTATAGAAAATCCAGGTATTTGTTGTTGTAGAACAACACAATTGCACACTAATCTTCTATAAAGCGATTTTGTTTGATAATAGCAAGGTTATAAACCAAATCTGATAAAAGCTAAAACAAAGTAATTAGGTTTTGATTGAAAAAATCTCCGTGTCATAGTGAAAAAACATCTCTTAATAAGCCAATTTCGAAACCTCAATCAGGACTAATTTATTATTTTACATTTCGTTGTTATAAATATATTAGGTAGACGAAGTCGTAATACTGCCGTGATCAGCCTTGGCCCAGGTAGCCCAATACGTCATACCTCAAGTTCGTCTGATGCAGGCAACGCCGGTGCGGCGAAGAACGGTGAACTGGAACACGTTGATTTGGATAGTCAGGAGAAAGAACCCAGTAGCCCGGCATTTACCAGTAGGCTGTCAAGCAGAATGAGTCTTTCGGAAAAACTTGAGCTTACCTTTGGGACTTCTGGCTTTCTTCTTCGCGAAATTCTTTTGGATTTCTGTTCATTCCTCTCCAAGGTGCTCGTAGGCAGCCATAACCAAGAGTTGCTAATGGAAGGATTGTCTTGCCTAAAGTCAGAATCGGTTGTGGAACTTGTGATGCTACTTTGCTCTCAAGAATGGCAGAACTCTCTGCAGCGTCATGCTGGCTCGGCGTTCATGGATTTGATCAACGAGGGTCGAATGGTTTCTCATGCAACACGCGAGAGACTGGTTTTGACTACAAGTGAAGCGCTATTTATTCTTCAGAAACTAAAAGATGTCGATGGTCAAAAACACGAATATTTCCAGAGTGCATCGGACTTGGCGAATGATACCTTTGTTCACAAGGGCGCGACTCACGATCATATTACAAGCGCTACTCGTGAGAAAGATGAAAATACTGCAAGAAGACAATTCCAAAAGGTAAAACCTCTGAAGCATTTGAAACCATAAAAATGGGTTCAAAATTGAAGTGGACAAATGACTGGAAAAATAATCTTCGTTCGAGGCGGTGCGCCTTGCGGGCGGGGTGGTAATCTCTGATGGTATGTCAGTACCCATGCGATGGGCTGGGGGTTACAAAAATAGGCTTACGGACGTAGGATTGCTGTACGTGTGATAACGTACACTTATTACGCAGCTTCTTGAAATCGTTACAACTAACATTTTTCGGATCCGTGTTAGCATAACCAGTTTGGTATATACGGATATATATAAAGTATAAAGCTCACTGGTCTGACTGTGGAACTGCATCTTGTTTAATAGATAATGGGAGTTATCACGAGTGAATACGGTGCGTGGAAAGAAAGTGATAAACAAGCAACAAAGTTCAGAAGATTGGACAACTGGCAGGATGATCTTGGACGCCGTATGCGTCTTGTTAATAACCCATATGGTTCTACACATCCAGAGGCCACCTTGTTGGAGGCGTTAGGTTAGTGTAGAGTGACAAGTCATACCTAAATGTGCATTAATATGGGAATGAGATAATAAAAGTATGTTCATGATTTTTGACTTTTAGGAAACAAAGTTTCATCTCATAACCTCATAGTAGAGAGTTTGAGCAAGACTTCGAAGACGAAGACGAACTCGACAATTTCTGCCCGTCTGCACATTATCATGTGCATACTGAGGTTCGGGTCACTGGTTGCTCAACATGCTCTCTCGCTATATATTCATTTCTCACTGTTTATGAATACTGACGGTGATCCTTACCCTGACCCTGTCCCTGACCCTGTCCCTGACCCAGACAAAACAGCGAGACACGAAACTATATCTCGTCTTTGTTTTTCCTTCGTTCAGAACGATGTTCACGACGAATTTTGCCAAAATATTCGTTCAGAACGAAGGGTGAAGAACTAAGACAGGATTTGGATTGATGTGTCGCTGTTTTGTTTTGGTAGGGATAAAGATTAGGGTCAGTATTCGATTTATAACTCGCTTTCATTGAACAACCATCGCTGACCCCAAAGTCAGTATGCTCAAGATAATGCGCGGATGGGCAAAAATTGTCAAGTACGTCTTCGTCGTCGTAGTTCGCTCTCTTGCTCACACTCTCTATTCTCATGCAGCGTGATTGATGCACGAGATTATTGAAAGCAACCCAAAACTTTGGGCCTGTTTATACGATCACGGCACATTTTCATCCCACCTAGCCGGAAAACTCTCCTAGGCGGGATTTATATGAACAAAAACATTCATTTGCCGGCGTAACAGGAAATTAGTCACATTGAGTTCGGTGGCAATTTTTCCTCAATGACAATTTTAAGGTGTGTTGCGAACTCGGTTGTTGATGTCGTTGGATTATGCAGTAGCACTATCACTTCTCTACGAGGTTTTGAAACGGTCTGTACCAGTCTAGGTAGTGCAAATATAAGAACAAAACTTCGATTGATAGGAATGCGACTGCCTATGTATGTATTCTTATATGGAGTTCTTATATGGATTTGTCAAATATGTTTATATAGTTTCATGAATTATGCTTACTTGTATTTTTTCAGTCCAAATTTCCGAAGAAGGGCCACATTTCCAGGGAAAGATGCCCCCTGTGGCCAAATATCCTATGAAAACGGCCGGGGGGGGGGGATTTAAGAGGAAGAGGAAAACTTCCTGAGACACCAGGATGTAAACATTGCCAATATGTTTTCTGTTTAGAGACGTACCATGCTAAGGCGAGCGCTGATCACCAAGCCTTACCTGCTAATGTGAACATCTCTGGTGAGGAAGAACAAAATCCTGAAGAGGAGGATACCGCTGAGATGACTGCAGGAGACAATAACGAGAAAGACCTGAATCCACGTGATCATGTTGTGTTAACAGCGTCATGCAAGAGTATCTCACCCTGCATCGCTGCTGTTGGTACACTCACCATTACAACTACAGCTTTGTATTTTTCACTCGATGAAGAACATCCTGATAATCTGAAGCTAGATCCAAAGGTTAGTCTATTTTCTGTTCTATTTGTTGTGTTAAAAATGTATGTCATCCCCCTTTACAGGGTTGCTAAGTTCGGTAAATTAAGCGCGTAATGTTGATGTGCATTTTCTCTTAAGTTACTGTGAGGTCACTTTATACTTGCAGTTCTGATGCATGCGAATGAGTTGATGAATTGTGAATTTCTGAGTATTTGTTGAACATTAATAACTCGTCCACTCTTTCACATCTGTCAGAAGAAGAAAATAGCACAGCAAAAATTCTAAGTGAAAACGGGCCTTCACCAAAAATGCATGTGCACAAATACTGGGCAAGGCCGACAAGCCACTGGCTTGTTGAAGCCAGCATCATCAACTTTCATGGCACCAAATTTCATGAGCCGAATTTAAACAGTTTTTGAATGGGATCAAATCTACTTTTCGATTTTTGACAATCTAAATATTGTGCAAAATTAACATGTATTCTCGTTACCAAAATCAAGCTGTTATATCTCAGCTAATTTAGACGTCACCTTCACCAAACATTCATTAAAATGTCCAAAACATTCTGGATATCTGCACGCCTATTTTGGACCGACATCTTCTGTTTTTGGCAAAGCAATATAATTTGGTGTGCTTTGGTTGCTCTTCTTTATACTCCTGATTTGGGCGAACTCGCCATGTTTACAGCTTATAAGACTGAAATTTTCCCGAGACTTAATTACCTGTACCTCACAATCGGAAATTGCGGCCAGGCTGAGCCAGTGAACTCCACGTCTTTTACCTGGAACGAAAACTTGCGCGGTGGGGGGGGGGGAGTGTGAAGCCACAAAAAATTCCAACACACCTTACGCATGCATGTTGCGTAAACCACAATTGCTGGCGCCATCGACCGTCATCTGTGGTCACCGGGTCATCACATTACTCGATCGAGTCGAACTACAGTACCAAGGAAAGGTTTTACCTTATATACGACTTTACCAGTGAACTCAAAATTGTAAATAATTTTGAAAAAGCTTAAATATCGGTTAAAGCTGGACGATACAGTATAGCTTTTTTCCTCGCGTGTTTTTATGGCTATCAAAATTTTTCACAAATTAACTTTCACGATTTTCAAAAATCGGGAATTTTGAAACTAGAAAAAACTTGCTTTAATCGACTTATTTTAGTTATGAAAAGATATTTCCCTCCTACTATCCTGCTGTAATCGTTCTTAAGCAGTTACAAAGGACAACATACTTCGTTATGCTGAAAATGACTCAAAAATGAAATTGACGTACTTACCGCGCCGTGAAGAATTGTGCATGGGGACTGTAATTGACGTCCAAATTATACCACAGTTATTATACTACAGTGGTCTTCACTTTATACCGTAAAAAATACTAGTTCGCAGACCACACCATATGCAGACCACACCATATATTAACGGAGAAAATGCGGCTTGAAATCGTCCATTTTTAGTGCGCAATGAAAGAAGTTTCACATGATCAGGCTATAGCTGCCTACAATTTTTAAGGACCTTTTAAGAAGATTTACATTTAATAATTTTTCTTGTATGTAGATGTTAGAAACGCCGTAGACTAACCAATACAATCTAAACCCAATCATAGTTAATAGAGTAGATGGTTTGGAAACTCATTAGAATAACAATATAACTCGTTGTTAGTCGACGTTTATTCATAAATATGGTCCTTCACCGTCACGTGTGTATTGTGTTTTCGCCAAATCCACCAATAGCAATTTCGAGTCATTGGTAGGTAACTTTCCTAAAACATTACTATTGGTTAGTTGGGCAAAAATACAATACGCCCAATCTATCAAATTCAATGAGATCATTATATATATACTCTTTAATACTTAATATAAAACCTGACTTATACTTTACGTAGCTATGTTTACTAAACCTGTCTGTACCAGTGTGGGTAGTACCAACGTGAAAATGCTGTGCTGCATGAGTGGTTATATTACTATACTTGAAAAAAAAAAACAAGCAGAAACTCGATGTTTCGAGCGAAGACCCTTCGTCGGCAGTGGAAGATTTTTTTGGTTCAGGGGTGTGTGTTAAACCAATACTACGCGGTTCGAGGGAATGCTCTTCCGGAATTGATCAAATCTGGTGGCTCTGAAATGGCATTTCTTGCGTTTCGAAGAAGAGCTGTATGACATGAAGAAACTAGTATGTCATTTTGTTCATTTCATACATTTCAGACAGCAAAGAATCAGACAGACATCTTTATATATCGAATAATTCATGCACGATTATTTTTTAAAATATTAATCTAATACATGAACCCAGCGTCATTGCCATTGGCATTAAGTAAGCATTGAAGCAAACATAATATTTCTATAATAATCTAACAATAACGCTTCCTCTTTAAAATTATACTTTCCAAGATTAATCAAAGAAATAAAATAAACGTTTTGACTTTGTATCTTTGTGTATATAGGTTTTAATTTGTTTTTTTTTCTTTGCACTCTACTGAGGATTTGCCTCGTTGGGATCTCTGAGTTGTTAATAATTGTGTATAGAATTTTTTGCTTGCATGGAAACTTCCTACATGCATATATATATAATGGCTTTTGAAATCTGCAAATGGCAAATTGGTGTAAATAATAAAACCTGGAAGAAATGAAACGTCTTTACTTGTGAGGTCATTACGGTAATACTTTGTTCTATTTAGCTAAAAGCGTGCAATTTGTTTCATTAAATAGATAACTAATAATAATAGATAATTTCAAAAACTGGGGCTTTCTATAAGTAGTCTTGCGATTAAAGTAGCAATGAAACTTCTACATGTTATAGTTTTGTTGTTCACAAAAGGAAATCAATACTCCTTACACAGGTGTATCGATTCTTCACAGTGAAATGAAGTGTATCATTGCAGTAACAAAAGACTGTCAATCAAGGAATATAGTATTGTGAATGAAACACGTGCTGATATTAATGCAATGAAAGACGTTCTTTTTTACAACGACGTTGTACATTTTACATGTAAGATGTGTTAAAGAAATCCATCCTATGTATGAAACTAAATCCATCCTATGTATGAAACAATACGTTCCAAAACAATGAGATGGTTTGGCCATGCATGTGGCCAGATTGCACGAGGGAAGACTATACCAAAATATTTGTTGCAGAATAGGAAGCCTAAAACATGGTAAATGGTCAAGAGGCAGACCAAGGAGAACTCGTGTATCATGAAAACGGTTATTAATGATGTTGAAATGAGAACAAATTAAAGTGTTCTGAGTAGATAACGTGCAGAAGTTATTTCGTGCAGAGTGCAGAGTTATTTCGTGCACTATGTTACATTTATGTATTTAAATAATTTCCTTGCTTGCCAAACATGTTAGTGAACTTCCACTTCTAATATTTGCATTTGGAGTGTCTTATTTTAACTTGCAATTGGTCAAAACATACGTTCTGCAATTAATCATTTCTCAAATATTGCAGGTACATGCTGGATAGCCGTTCAGCGTTGTGGATACAAAATTACAAATTTCCTATTTTCTGTCTCCCCAAGCACGTTATTAAACAAGTATCCACTTCACTTTGTGTGTTTGCATTGAACAATTATACTGTCTTCTACTATGTAATTGCTCTATGTATAAATAAATTTGAATCCTGTAATCAACCTTTGATTCTTCAAACAACTATGTTTGTTGATGATTATACCTGTTGTAATAATACTTTTAAAAATTGAAAAAGGAGAGAGACCAATATTTTATTGGTAATCAAAAAGTTGACCGTGTTCCAACCCATAAGTTATTAGTTATAATGTTATATGATGGGGTTATAATTAGTGAAGACCTGAAGTGGAACAGTCATGTCGAATATATTGTTTCCAAGGCATCTAAGAGATTTGAAGGACTCCTTAGATAGAAGTGCAGGTGTTGAACCTTTCGTTATTCCTAAGATGCGTAAAAGTAATGTTTGGCCAATTCTTATACACAGTTTAAGTGTGGCAGAATTTCCTAGATCATTTATTTTGTGCATTTTCTATAGGCGATCTGATAATATATCCTTACTCTATTTATAACGAAGACCTCTTGCTAAATATTGAGCTTCCATACAGATACAGGCCGATCAAAGGAAACTTCTGTGAACCAAATTAATGTCAGAATTTTCTAATGACAATACTCATCCATTATATTGCTTACTGCATGTCTGAAGTCGAAAAAGGGACAACACCATGTAACTGAAAATCTGAGTAACACACTCATCAAAGAAAGAGAATGAAAACCTAAGCCAATTAATTCCTTTTTTATACATTTAGATACCATAGGATTGTCTAGTTGATCCATTTCTATTAGAGTTAACTATATTGCGAAAAATTCCTGCGTATTTTGACTCGACAACTTGAATTATACGAAATTATGAGCTAATTTACTCAATTTTTTGAGTAAAGATTTGAACATATTTACACATAAATTTGAACAATTTTACTCAAACTTTTGAGTCACTCATGTGCATGGGTGCATTATTTTACTCAATGTGTATATAATACTATACTACAAATGTACAATGTCATATACCTTATACCTATATTTGTATATTTCCACTTGTGAATCCAGTGCACTTTGTGGAAAAAAATTATCATCATGACCGTCGTCATAAATCTATGATATTTCCTATTTTGTAGCAGTAGTTTTTGCTAACTTACTTCCCTTTGTTTAATTCCATGAAGATTAGTTGTCTCTTATTATTTTCGAATAGATGTATTCAATGTCATAGTTATTATATGAATTGTATAAGTGAACAAAAAAAAACCCCGTTAAAACAACCTTTATCTTGTGTATTGCAAGGACTTCACTTTAATCTTCATCCAGATGGCAGGTTGGCAGATTTGTTTTATTCTGTGGCATTTAAATGGAATACTTGGTTATATTTCTTCATAAATCAGAAAACATTTGGTTGAAATTAGATTTGTTTTAGTCCTTTTCTCTTTGTCAAGTAACTCGCCATTCGAAAAGTTCCCACGCTATAGGTTATCGTGTTTAGTATTTTTTAAGTATTACAATAACTATGGCCAATATAGTGTTTACGATTTTGAGATATACTTAAGATGACGGCAAAAATAATTGTGCTTTCATTCTGCCAATAACGGCTGTAAGGTTAGAAATATGATGTATGTATTGTCTGCCTGCTAAGAAACCATTTTTGTGGGAGTATATATTTTCTATATATAGCTAGCAGTGTATAGGTGAGGTCCATGTGTTATACCTGTATTTCTACATGTACCGCGTAAAGGAAGGAAGGTACTTCAATTTATCAACTCATTCGATATGCCCCTTCAGCTGTCATCGTGCTGTTTCTTTGTGTTTCAAATGAAAAGACTCTTGTATACTCGTTGGATAGTACATGCATGCAATCGATATCATGATGAATTTAGTTTATCCGTTCCTTTCATGATCGGGTTCCTTATTAAAAAGAACTTGAAGACGAAGGGCCACCAACTTGTCTAACGCGTTTCGTATGTAAAGAAATATATATTTACTATACTTAGATGTTCACAAGAAATTTATTATTATCAATGTGTATTACTAAGAGTGAAACTGGACATAGGCTACTTTACACATCGCTTTCCCTATGTGCATAGAAATAAGTCTAGTATATAGACAACCAAAATACAAAACTATACAGTAACTACGAAAAGGAACATTTTTAATATAGTTCTGGCTTTCGACTATATGTTTTAGTCATCATCAGGAATGATGCTAGGTTACATTACAACGATATTTATAGGTGAAGATTAAAGTAATTTGATATAATTATACCAACATATATAGAAGAGATTATATTAATGAAATATATTACTTAGTTAAATATTATGAGGGTTTTTGACGCCTTAGTTCCGTGGTTGAGTTCAGGTTTAAAACGTCGAATGGCAAGCGATTCTTTAAAAAGCAATCGGGACCAATGATCAGATCTGTCTATATAGTCTTAGAGTTATTAAATATGAATTCAGGATTGTCATGATATAGTTCTAAAATAGATTTGATGTGTTGAAAATGTTCGCATGATGTGATGTGAGATTTTTCTATTTTTAATGATGCAAGTCTGTTTGAGGCAACTATATAGTGAGCGTTGTTATGGAATTGTTTTAAAGCTCATTTTTGAAGTTCTCCAATTTGTAGTCATGTACCGCCCGTTACGTGCGGTGCTGTCATTTATACATTGTAAAGTCTGTAACTTTTACCTTTGCGAAGAATTGCCAATTTACCTCCGCCTGTGCCAGCAATTGTTCACCCCTACTGGCTGAAAGCTGAGAGTCCCTGACAGTTGAAGTATATCGGTCACAGTGTCGGCGAAAATCAAAGTCGATTCCCTGCCATAGCCATAGGTGTAGCTTTTGTACTATTTATGTCGTGTGATTTATGGCAGATTTATCGCATAGCAGTCAATAATAATTAGTTGCCCTATTTGATTTGAAGGATAACCGTCTCTATTCGGACGTCAAGAGGTCAACGAGTTGAAGAGGGGTGTAGGTCTCTTCATTTGAATATGATATAATTTACTGCCGTTTGAATTGTATTCCCTATATACCACTATACCAATCAATGTTATCATAATTCATTATGCTTATCTAAACTGTGTCATTTCTACTTTCTCGAGTCTGTCTTTTTCGTTATTTACAATGGTCATTAATCCAACACGCAATAAGAGATGAAATGTTAAATGTTAGGTCTATATTTTAACCTATATACATATCTTAAACATAACCCATATAATTATATAGTAGGGGTTAAAGTTTGTGCCCGAAATTGGCCAAATTGTAAGCTGTTGGTATAAATTCAACACGATTGATAGAATTTCGGGTGTAGACATGAAGAAAATGGGTCCATTGCAAATTGTTGAGACAATTAAAATACTGTTTGAAATTGCCATTGATAACTACGACAAGATGTTGAATTTATATGCACTCATAATTAGAAATTGCTCGTTTCTGCCCGGAATTATTCGTTTCTGCCCAAAATTATTCGCTTCTGCCCAAAATTATTCGTTTCTGCCCATACCATCTTTTATGATGGGGCTGTATCATCGTGGACCTTGATTCATCTAGGTCCACAACCATGCATTGGCTATCTTAATTTTGGGCTCTCCAAGGGGGTGCCTTTCCGTCCTACGATCCTTTTTCTTTACGAACCTCAAAATTTGTTGCCAATTCTCGGAATTACTCTTTTCAAAAACTGCATGTTAAGACCGGATCAAACGAGGACGAGAGTGCATGACGCGGCCTTGGTTAGCTGTTCTTAATACTTTGCCAACACTATCATGTGTCCTATTTAAGTTAAAGCTTAGTTAGACACTCATCAAACAATAATAATAATAATATTAATAATATATTTAATAATTTATATAGTGCCATTAATTTCTTCTAATAAACCAATGACACTTTACACTATTTACATCCAGTACTAATCTACTTAATATTCGATATAATATTTAATTATTACAATATTAACAAGATTTATAGTATTTAATAAGATCCATATACGTACCCTAAAAAAAGTGTCTTTAACTTTTTCTTAAAAGTAGTTATGCAAGGTATATTCTTAATTTCTTCTGACAGTCCATTCCGCGTATGATTGGTGCAGCAACAGAAATTAAGAACTCTAATTCTTCCATATGTTTTAAGATTACAATTTGGTACTGTTAAAAGTCCCTTATTCACTGGAATAATCCATTGTATATCCATACTATTTCCATGCTGTATCCATAGTATGGAAATTGCAAGTAGTATGAAACCGGATTTCCGAAGATCCTTTCTATTTACATAGTAAGGATTTTGAAAAAAATTGTAGTTGATCTTAAAAGTCTGTTAGGTTGATACGGAGTTAAAATATCACATGTTATGTATTTTCAGTTCGTGCTGTTCCAATTAGCGCCTTAAATGTGAGTACTAAGATCTTGAAATCTATTCTTTCATGAACGGGAAGCCAGTAAAGATCCTGTAATATATTAGGTGTTGTATATGTTCCTGAACTTGAAATGTCCCCCCTACAATGGTTGACTGCCAAATCTCATCCTCGTTTGACCGGGACTTTAATCGCAAATAGTCATTTTTGGGTCTTGGATTCCTTGCCTAAACCCTTCAGTAATTTTGACAAATGCATGGTGTCCTATATATATATATGAATAGGAAAAATCATACCTTCCTCTTTAGCAATGCGGAAAACGGATACAGAAAGCAAGGCCAAGGGCCCGTGCTTGTAACATTCTATGGCATTATAGCCCGGTTTCTATATGGTCGTATATAATGGTCGTAAAAATACAGTCACGATCTTTCTCAACGACCAGCTTATAAATAGTTTATACCCGTAAACCACATATAAAACATAAGTATTCTCTATAGTTATAATCATTCCGCGTATATTTTCATTTCTAAAATGTTTGTATTTCAACTGATGAGAAAGATCGTGACTCAATCTTTACGATCGTTACGACCATATATATGGAAACCAGAGACTTTGGAAGCGAGATACTTTAAGGAACTGAATTGATCCCCATCTTTGCGTGAACAGAGATACCCATGGACTATAGGACTTTTGACTTCTATTGTATATCAGTCTTGATGCGCATGCAGGTGTCACTGTGTTTCACCACGTCGCGTGTACCGTACATGCACTGTGGCATCTCGTGTCTCTTTTATATCTCGGGTTGAAAATTATTTATAGTCCATAGTCAATACGATGTTAACATTTAGCTTGAGTGGAAGCTCGGAGTTTGGTAGGAATATTTTGTGCGCTTTGCTCGGATACATAATCTGTATGGGCAAACCTAGATCTTGCCATGTTTAATTATGTTTCGCATTTAACTGTCCCTTCTTTTTAAACTTTTATATGATTATATTTTTCTTTGCAATATGAATAAAGTGATGTCTAAAATAGAAAGGAGATTTTGAATTTAAGTTGACATGTTAGGGCCTCTCAAAGCAGCAAACGAGAGTTTCCTTATTAAATATCATTACCATGCATCATCGAAATAAATTTTCGCCTAGCTTTTCAAAGCTTGTTTATATTAAGTGTTTTGCTATAGCTTGGCTCGTGTAGATAACCGTAGTTATATATGTATAAAGTGAATCGTTGCACAGCCATTGTGCTGAAGACTGCGCTCGGTTTGTTACAAACTCCAATTAACGTACTCAATATATCATTATTAATATGGTAATAGCGATAGGAATAATTGCTGTGTGATTGCTTAGCTCTGTTTGGGGAGAGCGTTTGGCGGAATCAATAAGTCATCTCATTCAAATTCAAATATTGCGTCGGCTTTAAAGAACGCCGAAATGAAAAGTAATCCTGATTATTGATGTAAATATTTTGTGAGACTTTAAGTCAAGATCAAAGAATATTGAAGTGGCTTGTCTGCTTCTGACTGGGTAGTTGATTATGACCGAATTTCGCCCTGGATTGTATGTTCAGCTTTGTAGGAACGCTCGCTTGGGTTGCAAGACAACGAGATCTGAGTTGTGGAGATTCGAAACTGTTCGTCTTTGATTTTCTGTCCATGATTTCAGACATTGAACCCCTGCCGCCTCACGAAGTGTTGTTGTGTAAACAGACTTTTCTCTACGCTTCCGATTTGAATAAAACCACGAAGTCGAATCGCGCGCTAATTTCAATTGAGACGCCTCGGTGAAAGGGAATTAGTCATAAATGTTCAACTAGCTTATTAGAATTGAGATAAGATCTTAAGTAGGCATGCGCTTCAAAGGCAGAACAAACGATTTTTCCGGACAAATACGTTACAATATTGCAGTCCTTTCGCAGGCCTATTAATACATAATGCCACCTCATAATATTACTCCGCCTCGTTGCGAGAGGGTGTGAGATAAAGTCACTGAAATTCATTAAGTAATTAGCGCTAAATTTTGTACACTTCGGGATTCTCACGCCAAGGTGACATGTTGGCCATTCGTCTAAAATGTTAGGAAATACACTGAGTAAATTGTTTGCCGCGCGATTGATTAGAAATGCGTGTCCGTGCACGTCTTTGCCGGATGAGTTATTACTTAGGGGAAGTGGTATATTCGTCGTATATATTGGAGTGTATCAGAGACGTAGCCGGCATGCTTGGAGTGAGGTTTCTATGCTCCCGCGTGATCAATTTCACAGCTTTTGCACTAAGTCGGTAGGCGGTCTTTGTTTACTCGTCTCGATGTGTTAACCAAACAGTCGTGCAAACAACGATAAAATTCATGTTCTTGAAACAACCGCTCATTACTCGAAAAGTCTGCTCGTCGCTTTGCCCATTTCCCGCTTTGTCGTTGACGTGGAGCAGTTGCAAACGTGGCGTTGGTGAGCACAAGTTTTTTGCTGGCTCACACGACTTGTCAAAGTATTCTTTGGTCGCACTTGTCCGCGTGACTAAAATACTTAGATTAGCTGGTGTTCTGTCATATCTTGACTTGCCTTGAGGAGAGAAGACGAGATTCTCTTGATTGGTGCAGCTTCGTGGAGCTTTGTCCGAGACAAAGATTAATAACGTGTGACAAGTTTAATTGGTACAGGACGCGCTCAAGCGAACTACTACATTTTGAAATCAACACGGATTGTTTAAAGTCTTCTACGCGGCCGCAGCACGGATCATCAAGTTTCTTCCGCTGCACCTTGTCGCCTAACATGGCGTTCTTCGTGGAGCTGAACAAGTTCATTCTGCAGTACGTTCACGAGAGAGTCCGCAACAGACGACACGAAATAACTCGAACTTTAGAAAGCATTGTTGCAATCATCAACGATGTTCTTTCCTCAGTGGAAAGTCTTGAACCCAGATTCATATCGTCATTTAAGAAAGAAAATGGCCGTTATGCTGGGCTTCATGTCATCACTTCTACCCGTTTTGAATTGCATTTGTTTCTGAATCAGATGGGAGTTTTTAACTTCATCGACGACAACTGCCCGCCTGGTTGTGCAATGCTTAAACTTAGCGATGAACGGAAGCGCTCTATGTCGTTGTGGACTGAATTTATCACGGCATCGGGCTATCTGTCTGCTAGGAAAATGAGGGCCAGATTTCATTCCCTTGTAACTGAAGCCGTTTTGAAGTGTTCGTTTAGGGAACAAGTTCGAGTTCAACGTGGAACATCATCGACCGTACTGATAATCAGAGAGCAGTATGCACTTAATCTTATACCTGCGTTTAAATGTGGTGGTATATGGCCACGAAATGTTTGTGTCTGGCCGACGGACAACCAACTTTGGCCATCGCAGTCCGAAATCGAAATCGTGAAACGTCGGGGATTTAACCTACTTGCAGGCGATATGTTCCCAGGCTACGAGACGCAGGCGGCAGAAGGTGACGCATGGGTTTTAGATTTCTCTGATGGTGAAGATGTGCTCTTGCGAGGAAGTTGCCGTAAACAATGCTTGGCAATACTGAAGACTTTGTTTGAGAGACACTTAGATCTTCCGGGGAAGCCTATTCAACCTTTACTTATGAAAACATTACTGTTGTACGAGTGTGAGAAACATCCGCGCGAAGACGAATGGGACGAGACATCGCTTGGAGAGCGCGTTAACGGCATCTTACTGCAGCTGGTGTCGTGCCTGCAATGTCGTCGTTGTCCGCATTTCTTTCTCAAAGGCGTTGATTTGTTCGTCGGCAAATCACGCGAAGTACTTAACAACGCTGCGCATCAAGCTTGGAAACTTACTCGCGCAATAACAACAAATCCTAATTCTACGGAAATATTATAATTTATATAAATGTATATATTACAAAGAGATATAATATACTATATGTACGGAAATAAAAGTATCCTATAAAGCCTGTTTCAATTATCTCAAACACCGCAATTACCTTTCTGCAAGTCAGGAACGACTTTTTCTTTTGCGCGACACATAAATGCTATAAGAAAAGCAAACGCTAATCCATTAAATTATTCGAGTATGACAAGAATTTGTTGTCCGTAATATTTGAGATTCTGCCTGCTATATTTTTATCATTATATGTTAATATCGCAGCACTATTTATGTTTGTTCTGTACAACTGGTCGTTTTAAAGGCCACCGGGGTTTATAGTGACATTCTCAGACAGATCTACAGTGCAGCGTTGGTAGGACCACCTAGAGTTTTAATAAAAAGCCGATAGAAACACGTTTTCAATTTTAATGAAAACATAGCTATTCTTTTCTTTGGTAAATGCCGATCGTTGCTTTTCGTTTGCATTACCTATTTGAAAAAGCAAACACCGACAGAGCGGTTTCATTTCGTGTTATTGAAGTCGAGATAGCGACTGCAGCAAAGGCAAATTGATTAACTTTTTCTAAAGATAAACTGCTTTTGTTTCCTTGGTTTTGTGTATGTCGGAAAAGCGTATAGTCCATGTGGGATTGTGACATTTTGTTAATCGAGGAGTTAATTTGAATACGGTTGTAGTCTTGTATTTGCATCGCATGTATGTAGAGCTGTTGACTGCGCAGTTTTCACAGACAGTATATAATTATGCGGGTATGCCTTCGACTATCACCTGCTTGCATGAAGAAATTTTTGTGTTAAAATGCGTCTTGCCTTGAGAATATCTGTTGATGATAAAAAAAACTCTTGGACTTAGTTGTTAACCGCTAAATTTTCCCGCAGAATGTATATATTTATATGTTTCCGGCCGACGGTATAGAGCTCTATAGAATACTGACATGAGACAGTGACTGTGACTGTCAGTGTATTAAAAATGATATTTTTATGTACTGGTCGTTTTATCCCCGTACCAGTATGACGGAGCAAGCAGAAAATTCTAGTTGAATTCTAATCGAACCAGCAACCTTCGCATTTCTCTACCGTCTGAGCTACAATGCCAAGTTGGGCCGGAGCAAGGTCAAGTCGGGAACAAGGCCAAGTCGGGCAGCAACATCGTTCCCATGCAACTTAGATCAGACGGTAGAGCATCGTTCTGGAAATGCGAAGGTTGCTGGTTCGATTCCCAGCCGACCAAATAGAATTTTCTGCCTGCCCGGCCATACTTGTAAGATGATGATGAAAGCACCAGTACATTTTCATGCACGAGAGTAAAATCTCATGGAAAAATATTATTTTTTTTATGAAAAGTCAGTGATCACATTTCGTTCGGCACATGATGAACGCATGCAACGTTAAAACTAAGCCAAAACTTCTCTTTCGGTCGTCTTAGTTTGATAACAGGGTTTTGAGTTTCCATCATGAACATATGTATACGGTTCTCTTGATGCTGGTTGCGCAATAAATTTGGAAAAGCTTGTCTTTTAGTTTTAATGAATAATGCTGCTCATATTTGATTAGACCGTTCAGTTCCTGGTCGCTAGATAGAAGTTTACAAAACACGACTTGTCATTTCATTGCTAATTAAACGCTATAAAACTAGGGAATTAAAGAATGCGCCTTCCAGAAATAAACTCGAACAGTTTGTGCCAGCGTATAGGTAGTGACAATAACACCAAAAAGCTGCGGCTGAGGGGGATTCGACTCCCTGAAAAATACAACCAAAACTTCGACGTTTCGGACGAACGGCCTTCGCTCGAAACATCGAAGTTTTGCTTGTATTTTTCCAGTAATTGAATCCCTCGCAAACCGCAGATCTTGCCTTCTCGAAAGCAACTTACGATGTCGATGTGATTATAAAGAAAGTATACTGTATATAATATATATAGTTATTGGCTTCGTTTCCTCAACGTGCTGTTGCACTTCCCTTTTGTTTGCAACAACTCATGTGCCACGTCTATATATATGCACGAGGAATAACTATATGTGCCTCCTGCAGGGGAGTGTCGTGTAGGGGATTATGATGGGTCAGTATGCTTTACATTTCTCCATTATATATTAATGACAATTACTCACAACTTGGTGTCAAATTAAAAAGCAATATAAACTTCACAGCCAGCTACTAAAATAGCTCAAAACCTAGCATAGACATGTGTAGGTGCGTGATTCATTTATCACGACCCTTCCTTTGTATATAGTTGGTCGGGAACCTGTACACTTACGCTATGAATATCTCTTTAATTACTGGCTTCCTGTTACAGGCAATTCAAAAGGATTAGGGAGAATATTATAATAACAATTTGCTTTCTTTGGATTAAGTAAAGTTCGTTTTGATTATACAGGCGCGCTTATATTCAAAGCACTAATTTTGTGCAGATAACAAGCCCGCTTTGAAGTTGCTGAATGTTTCCAAATCAAAGCGGACAAGGGTAATCTCATAACACGAAGTAATTTAGTCTATCACCTGCATCTCGATGCTCAAGCAGCGTTCTCCTTTTGTATGAATACGCATATGATATCCGTATATCTTAACTATTTGTGGCAGTGATTGTCACATTTTTCAAACTCGTGTTATATGAAGGAAAAAATTAAACGTTGACGAATCTGTTTCCTGTGCACGGAATTAAATATAACCTAAATATCTTAATGAATTTGACTGATTTCCCCTCTGCAAAATTGGCGAGCAGAATTTTTCCCTTTCGCGGTTTTTAAGAAGTTAAAAATCGCTATGTTAAATTTAAAACAATAGGCAATAGCCATCCCAAAAACGGTAAACAGTTTGAAAATTGCATGTACAGTATATCCGACGTTTCGACTAGATTTTAGTCATCATGACTCATGAGGAAAGATGAAAACATTATGCATATCATATAATATAATTATATAGGTTTGTTACATAATTGTGCCTTTACCAGGAACGATATGTGTCACTCGACACTGATATCTTGTTTGTCACTGATATCGCTTTTTGTCCCGCTATTTTAATAATTGTTGCATTGCCATTGGGGGCAATGATTAATATCCTATAATATAGATTCTGATTCTGTTACCTGTATCATAATCGTGATGAGGCGATATCAGTTTTGTCTCTTTTGGGACGCGCAGTCAAGATATGGAACGATATTGATGATGAACTGAAAAAGATTCCAAAACTCGAGGTTTTTAAGAAAAAACTAAAAGAACACCTTTTAAATTCTTAGTATCATATATACGAAGGTTTTAATACTAGACAATCGTAACTTAGATTTTGAATAGTATAGTATAGCTTTATTTTAAATTGCATATTGTAATTGTATGCTGAAAAGCCCTTTGGGGAACATACAAAGTTTTTAATAATAATAATAATAAAGTATATCATAAATTTCCCTTACAGTTACATTTATGATGTCGTCCCTCAACTATAATATCGCCTCATATGATAACGTATACATAATTCTATAAGTGAAGAAATATGAAAAGTTCTATATATTAGGTCGTCAGTTAAATAGTATTATTTCTTTAGAAGCTTTATTTTCCGTGTTTGGGTTCCAATGCTCGTATCGCAAGCCGGGATTTTTTGAAACGTAGTAATGACCAGTCGTCATGCAGCACAATCTATAATCTATAATTTATTTTCCAGTTATTGAAATTTAGAAAAATCAGATAATATACATGTTGTATGTTTTAAGCACAGATCATACGATCAACGAGCATGAGAGTGCATGAGAGTTAGCAATCACGCGACCCTGGTTAGCTGTTCTTAATGATTTCCCAACACTATATCATGTATTTTAGTTCAAACTTCAGTTCATTAAAACGTATAGTTGGAACACTTTCAAATCTTTATTTTGTTAATCTATATACAGAGCTTGAAATGTCCCCTAGCTGTAACAATTCGTTTCTGCTAACACTCATCAATTCTCGTTTGACTGCATGGGGCTTTATATAGAATATTGGTTTGGTGTTAGTTCCATTACAGCTTGAAGTAATTGAATTGTTCACACGATGAAAATATAGAAAGCTGCGAATTGATTAGGATACAACTACCTGAAAAACAGAACTTCGCTTCTAACTTCCCGAAGAAGGGCGATCGCTTGAAAAGTCTTCTTTAGAAAGTTCTACTCGAACTCGCTTGCTAAATTTACTGTTAATATTCGTTCGAAATGCTGAGATACACACTACTTTTGAAAGGAGTATATCCAGGTCAATGTGAATTCATTATGAAATGAGCATTTATTTGAAACATATTCATGCTGCACTTATAGATAGTTCCTTCCTTTCAATATCATGGACTACGACATATATACTCAATAATCAAAATAAATAGAAGTTGTTGCAAACTCTGTCTTTGCATTGATTTCATGAAACTATAAATATACGTTTTGTTAATATTATAAAAATTATCTTCAAATTTCCAACTTTCGGTGTTTTTTTGTACTTCTTGTTCTTTCGTTTTCATAATTTTAACTTTAGCTCTCCCCCCGATTTATTGAAAGCACACACAAGTTTGTTTACTTTTTCGACCAATCAGATTCGCTTTAAGAACCGTATAAGCCTCACCCCCCACCGTCCCATGAAATTTCTTGGCAAAGTTTTTGTACGATTTCTTCGACTTCTGTATTTGTTTTTTAAATACTTTTATCACAGCAATACTGTCTGAGTATGGGACGTTTTCTCTGTTATAATTCTCTGAAGGTTTCTTGTCGTTTTGAAATAAAACTTTGGCTGTAAAATGAGTATGTATTTGCATATGGCAAAAGACTTTACTTTACTTCCTTTCCAATAATATAAAGAGACTACACGTCATATGTGTCACTGTCAGTCTATAGTATACTGTCGCACTCAAGATTGTAGTGCGAGTCCCGCAATCTTTTATTCAACAGTTGTTTCAACGGAAGTCGCGTAACGTTTTCTATAAGCTGTTATTCAACAGTAATTGATATCAGATTATACATGCAAGCATACTAATGTTGTTAGAAAATTTTCACGGTAGCTAGTATAATGAAATTCTACTAATTAAAAAAAATAATCTTCTCTGTGCCATTACAACTGTCTCTTGTGCCTGTTGTAGTTTTTACTCAAAAACAACAAAATAACTCAAAATGCTGTTCGTAACTTTTCTCGATCAGTGGTGGTTCATAATGACGTCATAGCTCATGCCTTGCTTACTTTGGAATAGGTTATTTCGCTGGCCTCACAGTGACAAAACGTAACAAAACAACGGTTTTACTGACACTAACCCTGTTCCAAACACCAACCCTAACCCTACTCCAAGTTTGTTTCTAAACGTCAAATTAAAACTTTTATACGTCAATTAAAACTTTTAAAACTAAACTAATGAAACATTTAGCTAATAGCCATGGGACACCCCACCGAACTGATAGGATGCGAAAGAACTTTTATCAGTTATAGACCTGAAACGAGGGGTATTCCACAAAAAAATTACCCTGAGGGATGAATATCATCATTCATCCCGCAGGGTAATTTTTTGTGGAATACCCCGAGTGAAAGGTCTATAAATGGTATATTATACCGAACCTTTCAAAAATAAGTAGAAAACAAATACCATTCAATTAACTTTTAATTTCAAAACACAACTTTTGATAACTTTACATTTAAAAAAGTCGAATTTCCCGCTCAAGCGTGGTATTCGAAGTCGAATACCATGGCCCCGGGTAAAACACCCAGGGTTCAAATTGCCTAGGTCATAGTATTCGCTGAAAAATACCATGGTCATGTGGTACAAATTTAGTTCTCTGATTGGACAAGCTCATTGTGAGGTATAATATTATACTATATAACCTTTCATATATTCACTTTTGTTAGTTTTATATTTTTATTTTTTTATCAGGGCTCCACTGAAAATCACTTTTGTGAGTGGACCCCCTGGCTAAATATTGTAATTATTATTATTATTATTATTACTATTATTATTATTATTATTATTATTATTATTATTATTATTATAAACCAATCTTGAAGAAAAACGTTTTGCCACGAAATGTCATTCTAAGGTCAGCAAAATAACTTCTTCCGCTTACTTCCTATGTCGTTTACTGACAAAATGGCGGCCCGCGCATGCCAATAAAACATCTTGGACAACATTTTTGCCAAGGCGTAAAAAAATACCTGTGGTTCCGGTTTCATATCGTGAAAAAATTAGGGTCGGTAGGTCGGAAATAATTTTTTTTTTGAATTTTTTTTCATGTTTTTGGCGGGTTTTTTTCTGGGCGATTTGCAGTAGAGTCCCGACATCAATATTAACTAGAAGTAGAGATGCGTATTTCCTATCGACGAATTTAGGCAATTTGGCTCAATAATTAGTGTGACAACAGGCGCCATTTTGGCACGCTGTATGAGCAGCCCGCAACCACCTGGAGAAAATAGGGTCGCACAGTCAATCGCGTTGAAAAAATAATAGGGTTGGTAGAAAAAAAATAGGGTCGGTCGGGAACCGGAACCAGGTATTTTTTTACGCCCAAGAGAAAATGAGAAAATGATGAAGAAAATGCCTTGGTCGGCGATAAGTACCTGCATGGGCAACTAGGACCAGTGGTAGCAAATTTTGTCATAGTCCTCCATGCTTTTGGCTTCACTTTGTTGATTCACGAAAGATAGTAGCACTGCCCATCCTAGCCACGCGCCCACGATCATCGATTGAGTTTTCTCCTTCGTTGATCTCAAAATTAGACTGAAATGGATAGAGCGACTTTTTGAATTCAGGGAATTAATTTTGAAGCCGGAATATTTTTTACTGAGGAGAGATTTTTAAATCTGTCACATTCCTTACGAATCATAAAAATTGCCGGCCGAAATCGGATTTTTCCACCGGGTGAAATTGCTTTATGCACAAATTAAGGTGAAAATTGTGATTTCGACCGTCAATTTTAATCGGCTGGTATTTCGTGATTTTTGTTTAGAATGAGACAAAAAGGTGTCATCCAACAGCTAAAACTATATTCTTTTTATTAACATGATTATCAATATTGAACGCTCAGCACGTTAAAGTTGGATTACCTCTTTCTTGATACACCCCGTAGTACTCTGTATGTTTTACGAGAAAACCAGTTGCAACATTATTGTAGATTTACGAACACTTTTGTCTTGGTTTCTTGCAGATAACAGCGTATGCAGACTTTTTGCATGGGAAATGGTCGTTCGAGGACATCAAAGCTGTGTTTTCAAGACGTTATTTGCTGCAGAATTGTGGAATAGAAATATTTCTTTCTTCTCGCAGTAAGTGTATACCAACCAGTGAACTCTATAAAAACTGGAGCGATAACTGGAGCGATAAAAGCCCTGTGATTGAGTGAAGCCAACATGACGGCCTATAGAGTGATCTCTAATTATAGGTATAAAACACGCGTGTATTTCACGTGGGCTTCGCGGGAGCTGAAAAATGACCAAGGGTTTTCGATTGATATTTTTCAATTTTTCACGTGGTATATAGATGAAAACTGAATGAAATTCAACTGCAGTCCATATTGTTCTGTGTTTAGTTAAGTCCCTCGTAGATAGTCCAGAAAAACAAACGTTCCCGGGTTTTTTTTCTGAACTTCTTTGTAGTGCATAAAAACGCAGCAAAACTTCACAATGTTCGTTGTATTGGTGAAATTGCGAATTTCAAATAGGTCACACGTCTTCTGGCATCATAACTATCCATGATTATACAATCATGGTAAACTTCCTTCTGTTTTAGATTCAGTGATGCTTGTATTTGATGACCATCAAACTGTGCGAAAGGTAGTGCGGGCTTTGCCTGCTGTAGGTGTTGGACCTCATTATGGGTTATTACAAACAAGGTTAGACCATGAAAACATATATACCAATGGATCTGTTCGGTCTCACATGGTTTCTACTCTTCTAATTTGTTGACCTTTTTATCAGGGCATGAATATGTTGAAAAATCTAAAGGACTGTTCATTGTTAACGGAAAATTTTGAAATCTAAGACCTCGTAAATACATTGTCTGCTGAGCGAAATTCTTCTATATACTTGGGAAAAAATTCTCTATCTTCCGAATCCGAAAAATCTTCCGACGTCCGTACCATGTGACTTCTATGTATTTCGACTTTTAAAATGAAGTTGCCTTATATTTTGTGTGTTTTATATTTTTTGTGTGGCAAATTATCCTACACTGCAATGTGAAATATTGCATTCCTACTTAGGCCCGTTTCAGATGCAGGCGTACTTTTAATGTGCCAAATTAGGTACAACAGAAGAGCAACGTATGAATCAACTAAGCAGGGCAGAATTTCGAGCGACAAACGTTCAACACAAGTTCAACAGAGCCTCTCCGTGCGTACGCCGCTCCAATTCTCTATCTTCCGAATCCGAAAAATCTTCCGACGTCCGTACCATGTGACTTCTATGTATTTCGACTTTTAAAATGAAGTTGCCTTATATTTTGTGTGTTTTATATTTTTTGTGTGGCAAATTATCCTACACTGCAATGTGAAATATTGCATTCCTACTTAGGCCCGTTTCAGATGCAGGCGTACTTTTAATGTGCCAAATTAGGTACAACAGAAGAGCAACGTATGAATCAACTAAGCAGGGCAGAATTTCGAGCGACAAACGTTCAACACAAGTTCAACAGAGCCTCTCCGTGCGTACGCCGCTCCAATTCTCTATCTTCCGAATCCGAAAAATCTTCCGACGTCCGTACCATGTGACTTCTATGTATTTCGACTTTTAAAATGAAGTTGCCTTATATTTTGTGTGTTTTATATTTTTTGTGTGGCAAATTATCCTACACTGCAATGTGAAATATTGCATTCCTACTTAGGCCCGTTTCAGATGCAGGCGTACTTTTAATGTGCCAAATTAGGTACAACAGAAGAGCAACGTATGAATCAACTAAGCAGGGCAGAATTTCGAGCGACAAACGTTCAACACAAGTTCAACAGAGCCTCTCCGTGCGTACGCCGCTCCACTCATGTTCCAAAGCTAAACGCCGTTTTCCACTTCAATCGTACCGAAACGTACTGGTGATCATGCGTAGATTGAAAATATGTTGATAAATTAACGTACTTCTGGATGTATTCGCGTATCAAAATGAAAAGTTCGTCGCAGGTTAACTTTTTGGCGTTCACTAATCAACATTCACTAAATTTTGAAATTAGAACTTTTTATACGTTTTGGTACTGGACGCTTGAAGTGGAAACGGCCTTAACTCAACTTTTTCATTATTTGTTAGTATTAGATTTCCCTGCTGGCAGTGGTCTCTATTTGTGCTGGGAAGCGAATGAGAAGAGACCTCTGCCTAGATCTGACAAGTCAAGATGGACAAGTCAAACCAGTTTGTAAAACAAGTTCTGAAACCGGTTTAGGGAAACAAATAGTACGCATGCTCAGAGCTGAATTACGCTGTAATGACATTGAGCCCGTAGTGTCAAAATGGCGGCTTGCACAGCGTGGTCATTTCGAGGTTTTTCATGTTGTTTGAAAGTGCTCTAAGTTATGTAATTGATATTTTCAAAGATGAAACTGTGAAAGCAGTGACAGAAGAACAAAAGAAAGCAATCTTTTCTGTTTTATCGGGCCGAGATACATTTGTTTGCCTTCAAACTACGGTAAGTCTTTGAATTACCAAGTTGCTCCCGCAAAAACGGGTTTGATATCATGTGGTGAACATCACTCGTTGTCATGGCAATTTTTGCACATGCGCGACAGAAAACGTGTCAGATCTAGGCAGAGGTCTCTTCTCCTTCGCTTTCCAGCACAAATAGAGACCTCTGCCAGCAGAGAAGTATTAGATTAGCCATCTTGTAATCTAAAAATAGACGTATTTGTTTTGAATTTCATTTAGGATTCGCTCGCGAATGCGCCCACCCTTGTGAAATACATTACATTTTGTACGCCGTTTGAATAACTGCCGTTATTATATCACAAGAAGAGTACGCCGTCTGAAACGGGCTTTAGAATGTTTCAATTATTGCAAATAAGTAAAATTCCCATTGATGCATGAGATTTGCTCGACAAACGTGCATTGTATGGTAACAGATCGATTCCTTCGTTTTGGTGTTTGTAATAAAGTTTAAAAACAAGTATAGTCTTCAGTAGATAGTTACGCTGATATGCGCTTCTGTTTTTAGGGCGACGTCATTAGCAAGTCCAAAACAACTCTTTCAAAGATCAAACATGTCTCAAAGATGGCAAAAAGGAGAAGTCACAAACTTCGAGTATCTCATGTTCATCAACAAGATAGCAGGTACTATATATGTCTTTTAGAAACACCTTCCCGCACGATTAAGCGATATATTAAAAATAAATAGACTTCAACCTAGCCTCCTCCGCAGGCATCTCGTGGTTCACCTGAGTTGCTAACCAAATTCTGCCCCTAATCTAACTCCAGTTACCAACGTTTTGAGAATGTACCTTCTTTTACGTCCGATTTTTCGGAGTAAATAGGAGATTTCGTGTGGTATATGTTAACCAACTATAGTAGGCACTAGCAGACTGCATACCTCCGTCAGAGAATTATGTTATGTGTCATGCATAAGTTACACAATGGGGCCGGGCTAATTTCTCATCCAATTTTCAATGATGTCATTTCCTTGTAAAATATTAGACCTATACATATTTCACTCTCCTATGACCGTCTCCAAAAGTAACAATAGAGAGGTTAAGATATCCCAGTTCCAGTTTATTGGCGCGGGTGATATAGACGTATCCATACCCGTAAACCGGTAACGAACTTGTAACTTAAGAAATCCAAGATATTCCATGGAAAGAAAAGCGATCGGAGAATGGTAACTTTCGTTGTTGAAGTTCACCATAGATTTGGAAAAAATTGACGAGCATATGTGCATTTATTTATTTAGGTAAGATGTTGAAGTATTTTACGTACTTAAACGGCCCACAAATAGTAAACATAAAACACCCGTACCGCGAGTAAACAGGTAGAAATTACCTTTAAACATGCTGACATCAGCAAAAATTGGTGAACAAGATTGCGATACTCGTACCCGTAATATGTTAAACTCTCTAATTCTGAACATTAATGTCACTTCAAAAATGTGTTGCTTCGAAGGTTTAACAAATCGTTACCTGTTTAAATTAGTTCTACTATGAAGCAAGTATCTTCTTGTACGTAACGTGAAAGATATAGCTTCCAATGATACTTCTTCTAATGAGTTTAGAATGTTTTAAACACGAGATAATGTGACTTGAGGCGGCCATATTGGTGTAACCTCATTAATTATTCACTGGCAAGTTTCAGGAGCGAGGCCACTAGTAAACAATTTCTCTCTATGCAATATATTTCTATTCCTACCAATCTCCAGGAACTTTAAGAACCTCCTCTAACATGTCAGCAACACCTCTATAGAGATGCGGTGGTCAAACCAACATGACCACCATTGCTTCATTTATGCACAGCGGATCCTCTATCCAGTCTTTAGTTTTGAGATCAGTGTTTGGCACATACGCTATGTTGTTCGTCATGGTCATTTTACCCCTCAGTTACGTGCTGGTTGTTTGATTGGCATATTTAACTGTTAGTTCAGTGTGTGAAATTATTGTTTTTTTAGGACGTACATATAATGATTTGAATCAGTATCCAGTATTTCCATGGGTGTTAACAAATTACACGACTGAAACATTAGATCTCAATGATCCAAATAACTATCGGGATTTATCAAAGGTAAAGAGAATGCTGGCAGGAATTATAATACAACCAGTTTTCTACTACCGGTATTCAGGTCTTGCAGTCACGTGGGAATATTACGTCACGCGGTAAAAATAACGGACAGCAAAAGAAACAACTGTCTGAATTTGGAGAAAAAGTGCCTTTCTGAATTCGTATTAAGCAAGGTATACTAGAAATACATGCATGCGGCAACCCCTCGCCTTTAAATTTCTTAACAGATGAAGTATAGAAATTCCACATGAAGTATTTGATGATTAAAAACAATAATGGTTGCCGTACAAAGCAAGTACGGTATGGAATTTTACTATTGAATGTTTACACTTACCCAAACAGCGCTAAGACAACGATTAAATTATTAAAAACCTCAGATACAACTCGTCTTCGACGAAATTCGTGTTATGCCTTTCAAACTTTGTTTCACGGTTGACAGCCACTATTTCATGAAACTGCAGGCTTATTTCCAGTCAAAATTGAAAAACATAACGTTTTGTACATTTGTAAACCTTTTTAGGGAAAAAATATGCTGTAAAACGGCAAAATGTATTTGCGCATGCGCATAACGTCAAAAATCGTCCATGACATAATGGAGGACAACTTTGAACTTCGCTATGTTCTCGCATACCCAGGTATAAATAGCCGTGCGGAATTAGTACTCTCGCCCCGGGCTTACGCCCGGAACGGCGCTTTGCGCTGTTGGCTAGGGCATAAAGGCTATAGACTGGAGCTCTACCGATGTAAACCTGTGAAATTTTGACGGCTAATGGATGTTAATGGTATGTTTGTATTTAGCTCTAAACATTTGCCACCCAAAATGGCGGAAGTCAGACAATCGAATTATATGTTGTGACGTCACTTGCAAGGGCTGAATACGGTAGTGAAGACTCGATTTTTAAATGAGTTATGAAACACAATCTTTCTCCGTGATTATATTTTTCACAAATACTTTGACAAAATTATGTCAAATGTGAATTATTTACTGTAAAAGGAAGAAAGTTACTTGATCGTTCTTCGACACGCCATTAAAAACCTGTTTCAAAACCGTTATTTTTTCGCTCTGAGTTTGGAGTGTTATTTCATAATCAAAACCATTCTCGTCCCCAGAGCCATTTTCACTCGGTCACTCGTTGAAAATTAGGCTCTAGGTAAGACGACTAAAGGGAGAGATCTGATTGGCTTCTCAAAGAACTGCTATTTCGCAGAAATTGAGCAGTACACGAAATTGACATTAAATGCATATTTTGCTCTTTTCCTCTAAAACCGTAATTGAAATACTTGTTTTCATAACATGATATTCTTGTAAAGCAGTTTCCCAATGATCTCTTTTCTCCAGAGTCCATGAAATGATCTCTTTTTGTATGTCTGTGTCTTCTCCTATTTCGTCTTGTCTTGTTCGTTGCTCATTACGTATATTAAGTACATTTTGTATTTTTCTTGCCCAGCCGATTGGTGCTTTAAATCCAGAAAGACTTGGGCAATTCCTCGATCGTTACAATTCTTGGGATAAAAGTGAAGATATCCCACCTTTCCATTACGGCACGCATTACTCAACATGTGGTTTCACCTTGGCTTGGCTGATAAGGCTCGTAAGTAGTATCAATTGTAATTTCGTGTTAGCTACAGTGTAAGCTTTTTGCTTTACAGCTAATTCAGAAAAAGGTTGTCCTTTGCAAACCTTAAACTCTAAACCGTAAACCTTAAGCTCTAGCTAAGCGTGCAAAGCATAATGGGAGCATCATTTAATCAGTTTAGAAATCGTATATGGGGCCCATTTCTTAGAGACGTGGTAAATATCTCCTTACGAGAACAATTCATTCACAAATAGCTGCAATATTCAACTACTAAGCTTGAAAAAGGTTTAGGGTTTAGAGTTTAAGGTTTGCAAAGGACAACCTTTTTTAATCGACTGTATATAAATGCAATATCCGTAAATGTTCATTTCATGGCAGTGCTGGCACTAGCGGTGGCCTGGGCTGAATATAACTGCATGTGTAACAAAGGTGGATCAATTTTTCAACCATGAATGCATACAGTATAGGCTACGGATTAAGCGATATATTCCAGTCCAGTCTGGGGCCAGTTGTTTAAAGCACGATTACCTTTAACCATAAAGGTTAAAGTGCTTGTGACACGAAATTTCACCAAATCTCTCCTTGATTGCATTGCAAAGATCACTTAAGATGACTATATAATCTATGTGGTAGAATACTTGTAGCTCTCTTCACTCCCAAGATATTCAACTTTGTTTGATATGCAAATATCATCAGTATGACATCACACTGAATAATGAGATTTTTGAATAGCATGATCAATTTTCAAATTGGTTAAAATCAGGGATGCCGGAAGTTGCTGAGGGCAAGGGGTGCAATTGGTTAACAAAAGAGCACACTCCATAACAAAAGGGCACCAATCAAAGACCTCCCTCCCCGTCACCAAATTCTTTCGGACCGAATACAATTATTTAGGCACTATTCCTCCGTAATTTCTCGCCAAAAATTCCATAAGTAATATGCTTTCCGTTTCACCTTTCGCCAAATGGATAACAACTTTGCCGAATTCCTGACGACTGCGGGTGGAACACCCCACACAAATCCTCGAGCGACGTTTAATTCTGTCTGTTGTAAAAGTTTTGTGCACCAGTTGCACCCCTAGTCTGCACCCGCACTGCACCCACAAAGTTGAAAATGTAAACGGCAAGGGGTGCACTTGCACCCGCTGCACCCGTGGTTCCGGCATCCCTGGTTAAAATATTCCACACACAGATACGGAGGCCTAATGATTAAATGATTTATGTAGATACTGTATAAGCACAATTTTAATTATGTGTTATGCAGTGTGATGTCATACTGATGATATTTGCATATCTCGATCGGGAGGGAGAGAGTTGCAAGTATTCTATCAATTAAAGAGGTTATATAGCCATCTTATAAGTTATCTTTGCAATGCAATCGAGAAAAAATTGAGTGAAATTTCGTGTCATAAGCACTTTCAATGTAACAAGCTGTTTTGGTTTGCGCATTTCTACACCTGGATTTGTTTTATAACTTTATAAAATATAACTGTTATAAATGCAGACAAGATTTCCGGAAAAATTTACAAGTAGCCGGGAAGTTTGCTTTGACGTTTTACACTAACCTATAATTAAACTGACCAACTTTCGAACAACTGTCGAGTAAACGAGTAAAATCGTCTGGCTAAATTTAGACAGAGTAAAATAATAAAGTATAGGGGCGGACGCATACAAAAGGTTAACATGCATGATACACAAGCAGATAGTTTGATTAACTGTTTGAGTGCCAGCATTTTTCCCTTGACAAGTAAAATCTTTTGGCTTTAGAGTAAAATATTTTCGCATTAGACAGAGTAAAATATTTTCGCATTAGACAGAGTAAAAAATGTGGCACTTTGCCACTTAAAGGGTTATATAACTAAGATTTCCAGCTACAAAAGATAATCATATGTTGGCAATCTAATTTGTCCTCCCCCAATTCAATAATTGTCCGTCACTGATTCATGGGTCATCCGTTTCTTTTCAGGAGCCATTTGCGAGTCAGTTTTTGAACATGCAAGGTGGGATGTTTGACCATCCTGGGCGTACGTTCTCCTCTCTGGCTTATGCTTGGCAAAACTGTCAACGGGATACATCTGATGTAAAGGTTGGTCACATGCAGTGAAAAAGTACATGTACCTAAAGGTGCATGTGCTATATGTAGTGGTGCACGATATATAGTCTGCGGTTAGCAAGTGGTTAAATATAATTATCACGTGCCACAGGTTCGAAGTTGTCGTCTGTTGGCAGATGTGTTAGGGGGTTGCAAGTTCCAAAATACCAGTTGGTTAGCAGATGTAACAGAGCCTGAAATAACTGGTGTAACAGAGCCCAAAATGAAATGTGATTGAAAAATTTCAAATTTGGTCGGACATTTTTTTTCAATTTCGTTTTGACTCCCTCTATTTTCATTCGGTAAATTGCATCAATATTAAAATAATACTTTACAGGTACTACCACACATCTGCTTTATATTGTAAAAATGGGTAATGGTGTTAAATTGTTAATCGATTCTTTCCAGAAAACTGATTGCTCTTTTTGCCCCGATCAATTTGGCATTTGATCGGAAAAAACTGTAATTTAGTATTTGCATTGGGGAATGTTATTTGCATGGCACATGAAACAATTTGCATGGTGAGCGTTGCCCAAATTCCAGGCATGTTATCTCAGCGAGCTATATACAGTACCAGTACGATCTAATGAAAAATTGTTTTGTATATCAGAGATTTTTCTAGTCGTCTGGGTATTTTCACATTTCCAATGTTCCGGCATACTGAATCGGGTTCTTTCAAGTAACCAGATAATTCATTTACCCTTGTAGGAATTAATTCCAGAGTTGTTTTATTTGCCTGAAATGTTTACTAACTCAAACAAGGTATGTGTCGTAAAATGTGTGTATATATATATTCTGCATTGGAGGAATCGAAATGAAGACTTCTTGTAACAACTTTATTATAGTATCTGTTAGTATGACATTAAAATAATATAACGTACATATAATTATATTATAAAATATGAAATGGCCTAAAAGGTAAATCCTAGTTTAAAATATAGTAGGTAAAAGTTTCATAAATCTGAGATACTAGGACAAGTTGAAATAAAAGTAGCAGAACGATCAAACAAAAATAAGTGATGGAACAAAAATAATTGATGGACTTATTTAAGAGTAAGAGTAGTCGATATCTCAAACTATTGCAAAGTAGATTCAATGATTAACCACATTTCAAGTATCGAGGTTTCATCTCAAATTTTAAATTTTTCAACCTCGTTAATTTGGAATAGCATTCAAACGATATTTCAACCGTTTAATCATTAGAATGTTAAATAAGTGACCTTTCAACTGGAGAAATGCTTATAATATATATTCTAATGTTTTAGTACTTCCGAAATTTGTATTTAAACGAAAAAACTCCGCCTTTTCCAACACCATGAAGAAGTATCTCAAAGTATTTGTTTTGAAATTCTCATTTTTTCGTCAATGAATAGTTTCAGTTTGGAGTAGATGACGATGGAAGAGTGATCGATGATGTTCAGATACCTCCATGGGCGAAGTCTCCTGAAGATTTCATCATTAAGCATCGAGCTGTATGTTTAATTCTCTTTTTAGGGACCGTTTATTATTTATGAGAGGGGGGATGGATGAGAAACTGGGGGGACCTGAGATTTGTGGGAAGAAAAGGGGGGAACAGCAATTCTTGTAACTTAAATCCTGTAGGGGGGGGGGGGGACCTGAAATTGAAGAAGACATATCTATGATTCCATAAGATTATTAAACCATCTTTCTATGCATGCATTCTTAAAGGAAGTGGGGAAATGAAAATTTAACTTTAACTATAAAGATGGGGTCTAGAAAAAAATTTCGAAATTTTCAAAAATCACCCATGCCCCTCCCATAAATAATGAACGGTCCCTTATTCGGAAGCAAAACTCTGCAGTTCTAGGCATAGCGTGCTCGTGCTTTACTGTGATGGTAAAGTGCACTCTAAAAACACTGGTTAAAATTCCGCCTGGTTAAACTTTCTTTTTAACCTAGAAATAACATAATAATTTGGTTAATATTCCTGGTTAACGTTCCATGTTATTTTCACCTTGTTCCTGGTTATTTTAATTTCCCGATTTTTATAGGGGAATTTTAAGAAAAACTTTATTTCGAGGCGTCAACATTAAGTTGTCATACCATTATCGTTTTGCCAAATATCGTGCTTTTAACTTCAAAAGCACAATTTTTACACATGTATCTGCCTAACTAAATACTTTATTTTATCTCACAAGGCACTAGAATCTGACAATGTATCATCACATCTTCATAAGTGGATTGATCTCATCTTTGGTTTTAAACAAAGAGGTAAGTCAACTCGACATGTTAAGGAACACATGTTAAGGAGCATGTTAAGTCATGAAAAGGAACTCGACAAAACGTGACAACAATGATGAATCAGAGCCTAAATTGGTTTTGTAAATACAAATGAAAGTCGAAATTGGAGAAATGCATGGTCGTTATATTTATGGTAGCTATATATATATATAAAGCCGTTTTATATAGTCTAACCATTGTCCGATACTGCCTATCCGACTGGACCAAAACTCGGTATCTGCAATTTGTAGAATGTATGAGAATGTTAAGCCCTGAAAACCTTTGTTAATAATAGTTTCCCGTCCACCGATTGCGGTAATAGAAAGTTTAAGCTTCACGTTATACGGCAAACGCCAGGCAAAGAAAAATTTTACGGTATCAGGCAATAAAGAATAAATGAACTTGCTGTTTTAAAACTGCGATGCATGACTATTCTTTCGACACAAGAAAGAAAATATGAGACGAAAACGTTTAACGAAAATTTTGCGAAGAAAGTTCGAACCTGCCGTTTGCCGTTCACGGAAATGCTATGCATGTTCAATGAAATTGATGGGTTTCATCCATTTAATTAGTTAATTTTATCACTGACAGTTCATTTTTTATCTTCAGGAGTCGAGGCTGAGCGGGCTGTGAATGTATTTTACTATCTAACGTACGAAGGAAGAGTGGATCTAAACTCTATTCAAGATCATGTCATGAGAGAGGTGATTAATGATGTATATAATATTTGTCCATTTTGTCGAGGCACTGAAGTATAAAATTATCCCAGACGTGTGGTACGTGTCTATACTGACCACTATACTATGTCAGCTTTCAAGCAAAGTAAATGTTTCATTGCTACTGTCAACGTCGTAAGAAAACAGTCAATAGCAAATTATTCAAAATACATTCATATATAATATACCAGGGCGCTTGTTGTATGAATGCCTGATATAATAGATAGTGATTTTTGTAAGCTTTGTTAAATTGGTCGTCGATTGGTATAATCCAGATTAAACTTTAACTTTTAATTCGATATAGCTTTTCAAGGATTTTTACAAAGGTTGAAAGATGCGGACCATTAGAAAAGTGACTGGGTAGGGGCAGAACAATTCGCACAAAAGAAAAAAATACGCACAAAGGGAACAGCAGAGAAAATTACCTGGAATCATAATAAGCTGGAATCCCCATCACTTCTCTAATGATGGGTCCCTTATATCGCTATCTCCTGTAGATAGTGCTATCTGGCCTTTGTATATGCAACCGGCCTCAGAGGTTAGAAATTCAAACACGCCCAATATGATGCTGGACTCGTCAGCAGCTGGGGAGCTGGATTGCATAATTGCCATTCACAATAGGCAATTCCAGCTATAGAATAGATTTTGATCTAGGCAAGAAGAACAAAATCCATCACCACAGCTAGAAAGAGCATGTTAAAATAATTGCAAAGTTTGGCCGCGAAATGTTGTAAAATGCGGAAAATAATAATAGCCCTGCGAAATTTGCAAATTTTGTATTTGTATTACGCGCGGGAAAATGCACCACATTTGGGCCAAAAGTGGTGCATTTTCCCGTACGTAATACAAATTAATACAAAATTTGCAAATTTCGTAGGGCTATATTTTCCTTATTTTACAACATTTCCCAACCAAACTTTGTACATGCTCTTTCTAGCTGTTTCTTAAATTTTAACATGCGCTTTCTAGCTGTGGTGATGGATTTTGTTCTTCTTACCTAGATTTTGCGCTGTATTTCGGTGTTATTCTGTCGTATTATTTAACAATTATTCGCCAAAGGCGAGGTGATTATCGGTGAATAAAAACCGAGACGAAGTCGAGGTTTTTATTCACGATAATCACCGAGCCTGAGGTGAATAATTGTTTTAGTATAATGTCATAGGTGATTATTTGGAAAAAATAAGAAAATACACATTTCTTGGTCATTTAATTGACAAAAAGGCTTCGGCCGCCATTTTGAAAATCGCTTAGGTGATTATCGCGTAATAATCACCTCAACGGCAACCAATCAGCGTGGAGAATTTTCAATAATCACCTATGTAATTATACTAAATGCCTATATGTTATCTTTCAGGCTGTGGAACAACAGATAAAAAGTTTTGGTCAGACACCAGCTCAACTCCTAACTGAACCACATATGGCTCGTCAATATCGCAAGGTGTGTTTTCGACTATTTATCCTGTAGTATATTATACATCTCTTAATTTATTACAACTTTCGCCTCTATTTATTTAACGATTGAATCCCCCTTGAAGTCAACGCTAGGTCCTGTTTCTTTATTCCCAGCGATGTTGAAGTGTCATTCTTTTAGGGTTTTGGGTATCCATGATCGTCCGAATAGTTCTTTATAAAAATAGAAAGTTGGTTACTTTCTAGGACACACATTCTAAATAAGAAAATAAGCAACTCCATGTATACTAAAAACCTTTCCAAGCTCTTAAAAGTAGATTATTTATTTACGCATTAGTCGCTTCACCCCAACCTCTCCCAACTGCTTTGAAAGAGGTGTTGGATTCGCTTCAGTTAACGGCCTTGCATTGTGTATATTGGTCTGATTTTAAGGCATATTGGTGTGATTTTAAGGCATCTATTTGCGTCGGTAAAAAGAAAATGTGCATCAAAGTTCTTAGCTAATTATTACCTCGGGTCGGTACGACACCGAGGTCTTAAATTCGGCTCCTATTTTTTTTTTTTTCTTGTTTTTTTTTCCATTTGTGTCGAGCCGCGCGCGTAGTCGAAGATCGAAGGGCCTGCGGAGGAGACGACAACTTCCGGTAAATAAGTGTATTTCCGGCAAGCATCGGCCAAAGCGAAACGGAACGCGAAGCTGTCCTTGCACAAAATCCATCAGAATTGTTGATTTAAAACCAGAAGATGTGATAATTTTGACATACATGTTTAGCTGGACAACTATTCTCGAGTATATGTTGATATAATGCACAATACTTCGTATGCATAGCATGGGAATACCGCGGCCAACTTTCACTTGTTATCTATTATAATTACTGACCCGAATCAAAAGTAATTATTTTCGGCTGGAAGACTACTGTACGTTGCTGCTTGTCGGGACCGTATGACAATGAACCTATCCAACGTTACACTAGACATTTGTGAGGACATGCATATAGACATAACCATAGGCACTGTAGTGCATTGTGATAGAACAGATTTCAGTTTAATTAATCGCCCTAAATTAAAATCTCCACAAGCGGAGGTCAATTATAGTGTTCTAGTGTACATATCATTAATGATAAGGTTTACTCAAATAGCGTATTGGATAAACACGGGAATAGAACTTATGGTGTATTCTGCACATGCGTATATCTAGGATAAAATCCCACAAGCGCAAACGAAACTATTTCTCTATAAAATTGAACTGAAAAGACTCACAGCGACCGTTTCCAACAGTGCTTCAGGCACCCGACGACACCGTATGTTCAGGCACCCGACGACACCGTATGGGGGGCCTTTAGCACTGTCACCCTCTCATCTTGGGCACAGAATAGGAAGTTATACCAGAAGCGTAAAGGTCCAGTTACACGTGCGATTTTTTTCTCGCGCCGGCAACGCAACGCCTTTGCAACGGGTTAAATTTCATTGCGTTACTCGCGCGAGTGAAGTGGTGACACGAGCAATGATAGCTTAGCCGCGTCGCAACTATTTGCATGAAATAAACGGGCACTAGTGTTTCGCAATTCGCAAACGTCACTGACAAGAACATGGCGCCGAAGAAAGAACTTGTGGTCATAGCTGCAATGCTTTTGCTGGAAGAAGATGACGAGGAGGTTAAAGAAAAGAAACGTATTTGGAGCCGGCACTGGCTTCTAGAGAGAAAAAACAAAGGTTATTTCGGTCAGCTTCTTCCCGATCTGGCTGCCCACGACACACCAGTGATGCGAATGGATTTTGATCATTTCAAAAAGATAGTTGATAATCTTTCTGAAACGCTTTACCGAAAGACACAATAATGCGTGAATCAATCAAGCCAGCAGAAATGTGTTGTTTAACGCTTTGATATTTGGCAGCGCTACAGCACGCTGTCCGTACAGAAGCGAATTTCATTGGCTATCTTAAAATAGTCCATGCGTTTCCTGCTCAAACAATGCCTGGGTAATTCGATATTTTCGGCAATCGTTGCCGAAAGTTCAAGCATTTCAACTTTCCGCAACGATTGCCGAGAATATCGGGTTGCAATTGCGTTACCGCGCCAGATATGTTACACGGGCAATTTCATCACTCGCGCGAGTAACGCAATGAAATTTAACCCGTTGCGTTGCCGGCGCGAGAAAAAAATCGCACGTGTAACTGGACCTTAACTCGAGCAAATATTTGTCCGCGTTTTTACAAGCGATTCGTCATCAATCACGCCATCCTGGCTAGTACAACCGGCACTTTGTACCTACCAAATCCTGATAAAAACTTCCGGCTGTACTAGCCAGGATGGCGTGGCCTGACGTGAGCGAGTTAAAATTTTCGTGGACGTCAAACAATAAGGGAAACGACTAGAGTTACGCTTCTGGTATAACTTCCTATTCTGTGTCTTGGGATGTTCACGTTATCGCGTGTACATGTCAGGGTGACGAAGATGCATTATTGCTAATAATGCATATGTCTGTGTGCACTGATGCACGCTGCATTATTTTTAATAATGTTGTGTGCTATTTTAACGCGTACATAGAATATGACGCGTATAAACATTTACCCCTGAGCCGGAATTTCCCTATACAACCAAAAAGGCCGCTCCCGTTTTTCAGTAGAACGTTAAATGAAAACTTCTCGACATTCGCTGATATAATGCAGAGAGAAAACAATAGGTTTGATGAGGGCCAGTAATTATTATCAATAAAATATTAAAACGGAGCTTTGATTAACTGATTCACCATTTATACTAGTGAACTATTAAACTATCGTGATTTACACAATTTTTGGATATTTACCAGACGATCCCCTATCCACCGACCCGAGGTTAACGCCGAGTCGGCGTCTTGTTATGTTTTAATTTTCACATGGGCTGAAACCGTATTTGGAGGAGGAGCAAATGCTCATTATATTCACTTCCGCGTTGTCATTTTTCCTAGTTAAAGCTGTTTTATTTTTTTTCCGTAGATGCCAGAGGGATACGACTACACTAAATGTAAGAAGCTCGCTATGGGAAATTTTAAATTCAATTTCGTCGCCATGCGGGAACTGGGCTTTATTTTTCAGAGTAGACTTATAAGACTTTACCATAGCGTGTGAAAATTCGAAAACGTTCCTCAATCTTCTTAGAAAGGCAAATTCCTCAGGATCCTGAGATCCCCTTTTTTCATGCAGGTCTGCCCTTTAGGTTGACTGAAAATGCAACCATATCTTCTTACTAATAATAAACCAGGGTGAATTCCATATATGTATTCCTAGGAGAGACTTTGAACTCAGAGTGCCAAGTTTGTTGCCCTTTAAGTTCGATGGGCATTTTGGCAACTGATGTAAATTCATTTCGAAGGTTTTAATGTGTGCTATTAATCAAAGGATTAGTGTCACACTATGCATGGTATCACGGGCTTTTGTTATTATTTTTATCATACCCAAAATCAACAAATAACGATAGAATACAATGAAAAAGCACTTCCCATGAATAAATTTATTTATTTACATACCGAGTTTTTTTTTCCAGTAAAGTAGTATAGTAGTTTAACTTATGTCCGTCATTGAAAATTTCAATAAAATAACGTCAACATGCGTACAATCGTCTGTAGAAAGTATGCAGTTCATAAGTAAATCCATTCGAAACACTCGGTATATCTATATAACAAACTTTCTTTCTTGGTCTAGGTGCGTATCTGTCATTCAGTGTAACACCCAATGTTCCAGTGACCTATATCGCTCTCAATATATCGTTGCCTACATCTCCTGGACTAGTGACAATAAGCTGTAACCAGTGTTTCTCTGTCAATAAATGGTTGAGCTCAGGTACGAGGATTGATATACCATTATATATAAACAGTTTTTGTTGGACATTTCAGAGTTTAAATAACGTCAAGGAAAGCTATGGGGCAACTTTGGCTAAAAAGTTCCTGGAAGACTGCATTCTGCCCGTTTCCAGCTCGAGGTCATTTTTTCTGCTATTGCGAGACAGTGATTTTGATTATTTAGTATGTGACTTTAAACCAAAAATGTCGTGAAGTTATTTCTAAAAAAGGAGCTACTGCAGTACGTATGTTGAAAAAGAATATTGTGTTTTAACAGTCAACGTGACATAGGTGAAGGGAGCTTATATTTGAAACTGTGCATGGGATTTGGTAAAAAATACGGCTGGGAAATAGGATTTAGAAAGAAGGTGGGCTGGAAATCAGATCTAGACCATAGTTTTATATACACTAGATAGCGCATCTCTTTAAGAAAATTGAAGCCAAGAATATTCCAGCGGTTACCCCCATTTGAATAGATGGCGGCCATGTTGGAGTTTCCCACTCGCTAATAAACGCTTAAAAAACAACAATAACTTTCATCATTTGAACAGTTTGAAAATGTATTTGGAATAGGTTTAACTTAATGTTTAAGTTCCCTGTTTAAGAAGTAGAAAACATACGAGTCTTCTCATTTCATGGGAATATCCTGAGTCTGCAATCACGGCTTCAATTTTTGAATTGCAGAATATTTAGATGCATTATCTAGTGTATATAAGATATCTATGATCTAGACACCCCCTGAAAAATAACTGATGCCAAGTATATACAAACTTCGTAAAATCTTTCTTAATAAGTTTAACCTTATATTATAACCATCTCGTAATAATTGTAAATACTTACCAAATTGCTTATGATTTTGTTCTGATATGTAATAGTAATCTCACCTTACCTTACCTTACTCTCACGTTTCCCTCGTGAAATAAAGTTTTTACTTACTGATGGTTTAGGTCCTCCGCGGGAAACATCTTTGCAAAACGTTGAAATTGGACCAGATCCATTGATAAGTAAGTCAAGTTAAATTTACTACTGGCCAAATTTTAAAAGCTGGTCCAATGATACTGGAATATTTAGTTGCAAATACAGGCTGGAAACAGTCGTCGGCGTTGCCAAATTATGCCAAATTAATTGCATATATGCAAGCAACATGCGACACCGCGTACCATGCATGCATCAATAATTGATTAAAATAGTTGAATTCTCCCAACACCGACATAACTGATACTAAAGTATTTCCTCTATCTAGCCCCCAGCCTCTTTTTAACACCCCCTCCCCTCTAATTAGCCCCACTCACTGACAGTTCAAAAAATAAGCCAGAAAGAGAAGAATAACTTAGCCAAGAAGATTGTTTTAGTTTTCCCATGACGAAACCTTTGTTTAGCGGATGGAATATAAAAAAATATGTCTAAAAATGCTGAAAATCAAGCCCGTCTGGGGGTACAGCCCCACAAAAGCTGTATGTTCTTAAAAGAACACAAAGCTTTTGTGGGGCTGTACCCCCAGACACCCTACCAGTTCCCACTTTTCTAATTCACCACCGTACCGCTACTGTAAGCTTTCAAACGAAACTCAGCTTACTTGACAAATCGAATATAATATGTATTCTCGTCTTGAATAAACCAAACTAAACTCGATAATACATATGTGATATTGTACGGTTCTCGTATTTTGGCCACTTATCCACCTACTAAAACAAATATAAAACAAATATACCAGAGCTATAGTCTCGCATACATACGGGTATTTATGCATAAATTGTAACATAATATTGTATTCAAATTGTCCAATCAAAAAACAGCATTTGTACCACGTGATAATGTAGCAATGCAGCGTGAGATACTATAATTTCCCACGTTAGATCCACCGTGGGATATTATAGTATCTCACGCGTGACACGTGGACACCACGCTCGGAAACAATATGGCGTTCGCGAGCCGTTGTTTGTAATTTCGTACAGAAGATTTATTGATTTAACCAAAGATTTTCAAGACGTATGTTACCTTCAATGATCCAAAGGATACATGCTCAAATATTTTAAAGAGAAAACATTAAAAACTCAGGTATACATAAGAAATTAAAAATTGTATTCGTTTAGTTAATATTCAGCAAGTTTTCAAGTTTATTCTGAACTTAGTGGGTTCTTTAACTTTCGGTATAATATATCATTTATAGACCCAGAGCGAGGGGGGATTCGTCGAAATATTACCCTCAGTATATCATCATTTCGGGTAATATTCCGCCGAATCCCCCTCACACTGGGTCTATAACTGATAAATATCCATCTCGATCTTACAGCTACCATTTACTGATTAAGTACGCACGTGATTGGTAATTAATCGGGTAGATTAAACGCATCTGACATGTCTTCATACTGTTGAGTGGATGTACCTATCGCGTGAAATATTCTTAATTAAACGGGTTGTTCTTGTTTTAGACGGCAAAAGTGTCCATCCCCGTCGTCTTTTGGGTGAGCCACTGGACCAGACCGTTACGCCTACAGCGTCATGTTTTTCTGTAACCGCGGATAATCGTTTTATTTTCGCCTGTGGATACTGGGATAAGAGTTTCAAAATTTTCTCCACAGATACCGGTTAGTATAATTTATTACGTGTGGGTATACTCTTCATGGGAAGTCCTGACATATGATTATTAGTGAGCTTAAGCAATTAGCGACGTCTTTGACGACGACTTCGTCAACACGCACGTCACTGAAAATTGGTATGACTAATTTTGGCGGCATTTGCATCAACGCGCGTATAAGGAAGCAAAACACTTTTAAAATGGGGTCTGGGACGACTGTGCTCCCCCTGGGTCCCGGGGAGTCCTAGTGTGAAGGCTCCTTTGCATTCAGAACAGCGAATTGCGGCGGTGTGTTCGTTCAATTTGAACTCAAACAATTTCTGATCATTTTTATTGCATTGAACAGAACTTGCCGCGAACAAAGTTTGTTTTTATTTCAGAAATGGACCTATTACCTAGTGAACAAAGTTTTGATCTAGACAAGTCTAGACAAATGTTTCATCACAGCTTGAAAGAGCACCACAAAATAGTAATATTCCGAAGTTTCGTTGCGAAATGTTGTAAAATGCGGATAATATAGCTCTGCGAAGTTTGCCGTTTTTCAGTCATTTTGTATTACGCATGGGAATTGATACCGCTTTCTGAAAAAAGGTATCAATTTCCCGTGCGTAATACAAAATGACTGAAAAACGGCAAACTTCGCAGGGCTATGTTATCCGCTTTTTACAACATTTCGCAACGAAACTTCGGAATATTACTAATTTTGTGATGCTCTTTCAAGCTGTGATGAAATTTTTGTCTAGACTTGTCTAGATCAAAATTTTGTTCATTAGGGAAAAGGTCCTTTCGGAGCGCGATGAATGTAAACACAAATACATTTCAGACCGGTCTCGGCTGTGTTTTTTGCTTCGGAACAATGCATGCTCACAAAATTACTATAAAAATGAAAATGACGGGTAAGATTTGATATTCGTACCGGTCTCGTGTGAACATACTGAAAATTTTCATCCCGGTTTGACTTTGTCCCGGTCTCATGAAACGTGGTCTTAGTTTGCAGACCATCAAATCCTTATAGACTATGTTCATGTCTGTAGTTAAAACAGTTACAGAACGATTGTCTACTGTCTTATCCTAGGTAAGCTTCACCAGTGTGTGTTCGGTCACTGGGACGTCGTTACTAGTTTGTCATATGCTTTGGACGCCATTGGAAACAATAGTAATGATGCAATAGTTGTCTCTGGCTCACGTGATGCAACTTTGCTCGTATGGTACTGGAACGGTAAACAGCAGCGGATATCTGCAAACGGCAGACCTGGTATGTACCATATTACAGGGGTTAGGGCCGGTGAAGCAGCAGAGCTGGAAAGAGTAGCGGAACCATGGGAACGTAGCTCCCGGACATTTTTGGGGGGACTACATTTTTGAAGAAATTTTCACGAACATTTTTTTTATGTTTTATAGCTAATTCTGAAAATTACACTTATTGAATATCAAAATTACTGAATCCCTAATTGTTGAAAGGATTGAATACCTAATTAATCAAAACTAAATGACAGTGGAACAGTTCAGAACGAAAATAGTCATATAGCCTGTAGTAGTAATTTGTTTTTAATCCTGCATGTGGGTCTGTAACTACTATGACTACTTCAGGTTTTATCTTGTATGCCTTGTCAGTCTTGAAGACACAACACATCTCAATTAATGAATACATGATTTTTTTAAATCAACACCTTTAGTTAATGGTGATTTTTATATTATATACAATTTAGGGATGTGCCGGTATAAAGTGGAAAACTACTGCAAACCAGTGGTGGATTTAGGGGGGGGGCGGTGCACCCCCCCCAGGCTCTGGTCAACAGGGGTGCATGGGGGGGGGGGTGCAAAAATGACGTTTATCCTAATTCTAACCAACTTATGTTACAACGAGGTTGCTTATGTTAAGGAATTCAGTTGGGTATCACTAGTTGACAATAGCGGAATAGCCAATATTAAATATTCTGAATTTTTAAATGTTTTGAGAATCTAAAACTTTTCCAGAATGTTTTCTCAGAATGCTGGAAATGCCATTTCAGAGACCCAAATTTTAGAAATTTTCCGGGGGAGTATGCCCCCGGACCCGCCTAGAAATCTCGCGCCTTCGGCGCTCGGCTGGTGGTTTCGCCATTGGTTAGCTAGCACCCCCCCCCCCAAAAAAAAAACTTTGCTGGATCCACCACTGGTGCAAACTAGTCTATGAAGTTTTAGCCAAAATTGTAGTTAATTTCTAAACTTTTCATAACTTTTAGGTGATTCAGCCTCGGCCCGTGCAATTCTCACTGGTCATGAAACCGCTGTACTCTGTGCTGCTGTGAGCTCTTCTTTAGGAGTGGTTGTCAGTGGATCACAAGGTAAGATTTTCTCAATCATCAATTTGAAAATATCACTGTGAAAATTGATGAGTAATAATTATTACTTGAGTAATACGTTCCTCTGACATTTTTAGGAAACTTGATTGGAAGACTTCATGATTTAGTTTATAGATTAATTATTGTTTATAGATTAATTGTCAAATTCTTTCAGAATATATCTCGAGCTTCTTATAGGTGTGCTATACTACATAGCTGCATACCGTTAAAGACCGCGTAGACTTCCGTTCGACAAACTTGAATGCGAAACAATCGTATGACTAAATTTTGAGTTAAAAAAATCCCTTTCGACTCGTCTTTTTCAACAAATCATGGATGTATACAGTGCCATTACTACTAAATAATTTACCAATTTAGATGGATCTTTCTTACTGCACACCATGGTGGGTGATTTGTTGTGTACTTTGGTCGAACCATCCAGCTGTAGCCACCCTATCGCGGTCACAATCTCGAATGAAGGATTCATTCTCGCCAACTATGCCGACAAAAAAGGAGTTCTAGCATTGTTTTCGGTGAATGGGAAACATTACAGAAGTGATACACTGGAAGAGCAGGTTTTGGTAAGTGTTCACATCATAAACGTAGCTATATTACAGAGCATAATCTTAATGGGATTTGTCGAATCATAAGTAATGATATTAAACTTAAAAGCCTAACCACTTTGTCGTATAAATGAAGGCTTGGCCTCGACTATAATGTCAACGGTCGTGTTGACATTATATCATGTTGAAATCTAGCGTTCGGTGCAACTATAGTGTAGGAGCGACCATAACAAGACAGGATGCGGATTGACGGAGACACATTTATTATTACCGCATTATTTGAGAAATATTCATAAACTCACAATTTGTTTGCCAATTTGACATACAGTATATAAGCTAAACTAATACGAAATCTTAATCATTGATCGCCATATACACTTTCAGCATAACGCTATAGTAGATAATCGCCCCTCAAATGTTATTTTTGTGAATTTCATATCAGCACATTTCATGAATCGTTTCAGTATACGTGCATTCACAACGTGCCTGATCATTTCATATTTTTAAAAACGTGACTAAATTGAAGTATTTATACCGTAGCGATTTTAAAAAGAAGCTGAAATTATTATACCCTAATCCAGGTTCCAGAAATTTTCAATTCTGTCATGCAGGGGACCTCAAAACGTGTTAACTTATACTGTAGAACCGAATATTTAACGTAAGCTCTCTTCTTTCTCGCTATACAGGTGTCGTGTTTCTCACGTGATGGCAATTTCTTCGTGACTGGTGGATTTAGTAAGACGGTGACAGTTTGGCGTACTTGGGACATGCAGCAGCTACATACCTTCCCAGCGTGTGATAGTAGCATACGTACATTGACTTTGTCAGATGACTGCAGGTAGGTGGAGAAATCGCGAAAGCAATTCATTTCCTTTTATGTGTCGTTGTGTCTGTAACACTGCAAAAAAATTTGACTCAAAAACTTGAGTAAAATAGTGCACCTGCAGTGACTCATATTATTAAGTAAAACTACTCACATTTATGAACAAATTTACTCTCCAGAACGGCCAGAACGGTCAAATTGTTGCACGGAACACAAAATGTTTGTGCTTCGGACCCATCTGGCCGGACAATTTAGATCAAATAGAAGGAGATCCATTTTAACTAGATATTTGATAAACATAGACCAGATCTGTCCATTGATACAGAGACAAAAATTTCTGGTCCGACCGATCTGGTCGTTAAATGTTTAATCAGTGCCTTACAGGAAATGTAATACACTGATGAGAACAGTATGCGTAATTCGCATGCATAGGTTTTGAGCCTGCATGAAGTCGAGGTTATAAAAATGGCGGCTCATGTAGTTTATATCACAGTATTAACTGTGTTTATATGTAGTCTTGAATATACTCATAACGAAGCAACATGCGTTTTGAAGTAAAGTTTCTTTAAATGAAATACACGACACACTCAAAACGGTTGTCTGATTATAAATCCTATTTTGATAATACGATGTACCCCGATAAACAAGAGATTCCATAACAAAATTTAATTTATTTAAATAAAAAGGAAAAGATTAGCAAAATGTGATTTCGACCCGCCGCCCTCCCAAGCACAAGGTATTAGCTGCGTCCCTGTATATAAAATGATAATAATTAAAAGATAGTTTAGACACTTGGTACGGCTTAAGACATTTTTTCTGTTTTGTAGATGTTTAGCTGTTGGCCTGGCATCTGGAAATGTTTTAGTGCTAGAAATGGAATTTAGTAGATGGGCTTTAACGTAGACATTCAATTAGTTTCGCGGCCAAGATGGAGTGATATGGAGATTGAGTTTGCGATCTATTTGTTGAAAATGCGATTTATGATGTATATTTGTGGTTGCATTTCGCATTTGATAGGCTTTTCAATTGCCTTAAAACCATTTTAGAGCTCGATATTTGCCGACTCTCAATTTATTCTTGAAAAATAGTCAAAGAAATGAACGCTTTCGAAGGTCTAGCTGCAGCTTCCAGCTATTTCAGGTTAAAGGACACTGGCAGTAAAAAATTAGTTTCTCTCATTTGAAAGAGTTCTAAAAATAGTTAACAAAGACTTTTTACAGCTTTTTCATATCTTGCTTGATTCTTGAAACACTAAACTGAAAACAGTTGTCCGCCATCTTGGATTATTCCGGATATGCATACATGCTATGTCACAAGAGGGATTACGCAAACTATTATCTTGACAGCCAGTAATCAATATGAACCCAAATCTCGTTCTGGGTCGCTATTTCAAATGTCCAAATGAATAGCTCCACACTTGACGTTATTTAATGAGGTTAAGAATTTAAACAATCTTATCCATGTGAACAATACTTTCTTACCCAAAACAAAGAAATCTGAGAGATTAACAAGATTGTCGCATAGTACCTTCGAAGAGCGACGATACAGAACATCAACGTACAGCAGATCTTACTTAATACGATCAACACGGATATGGAACACACTACCGAAAGAAATAACCCAAACCCACAACAAATCCTCTCTTGGCACTTTCAAGAATATTCTGAAAGAATACTACTACTACGCTCTTTCCCCAACTTTCGACCCTGACGACCCACGTACGGTGGAAGACAACCTGTCTCAGATATAATTGTGTTCGAAGTCTGTTGGTTCCCCCTTCTTCTTGTTTTTAAACCTCGCGCAACTGATTATTTAAATTTTGGTAAAACCAGGGCCTTTCCATACCAGGTAATCCCAGACATCTTCCAGGTTATTTTCAAACCGTAATGTGTGTAAATTTCAGTCACTGTGTTCTTTTTTTTTGGGGGGGGGGGGGTTCATATTCTTACTATTACATTGTATGGAAAGGTTTTGCTTTTACCAACGGTAACATATATTTTTTGTAAGTAATTGTCTGAATGATTGATCTCTTGGTTGGTTGATTGAACACATCAATTGAACAGTTCGTTAATTAATTGATTGATTGTTACCAAGGCAAAGTTCGAAAATTTAATTAATCCAAGATGGCGGACGGCTTGTTGCCTTCGATGAAAATATTCCAATAATTAAGTTTTATTTTGAGAAATCTGCAACAAGATTTATATTAAGACATAATTTGAAAGTTCTTCTTTCAAATGAGACAAACAAAAGTTTTAGTTCCAGTGTCCTTTAGTCCAAATGAAAGAATAGAGATGACCTTTTGCTATTTTCACTTTGTTTTAGACAACAGTACTGTGTATGTATGTAACTAGGTAAATTTTATTTAATGGCACCAGCCTCGTCAACATTTAATGTTAGTTTCCACGAGGTATGTCTATAATACAAATACACTTTACAGAATTAGTACGCCTTACATTGCAGATAAACGAACATGCCTTGTTTTAATTTATTAACCCGAGGGTGGCGCTCTTCCATAGTTCTGGGAAAAGAATACACCCTTGTGCAAAGTACGTCGCTTTGGCTATAGAGCCTCGTTTTCATGTGTTCACATTAGGCAAACCCCAACATCTCATTCATGAAACGAGGCTCTGTAGCCAAGGTGACGTACGAGAGATCATTGAAATATTTTAACCAACTTAACACTGTAATACAGGAGATGGAATAAATTCCTATATGAATCATTAAATATGTACTGTAGTTTCTGTCGAATAATTCCGTATGAAAGTGCTTCGATTAACTGAAGCGGTGTTTTGAGTGAGTGAGAGGTTATAAATTCATTTCTCGTTTATGAATGCTGAGATATTTTGTCTTAATCAAATATAGATTGGTTACTTCGACCTTGCAATTGCATGTAACTATATGAGAAGTGAGCCCGAGAATGCTATTTAGTTGTTTATTACAATGCAATACAATGCGATGCAAAATGCTACAATACAGTACAGTACAACACAATTTCATTAAGGGTTGTGCCCTCAGTTACAGAATGTACCTGAAGCTTAATTTTCCCCCCAGAAATACGACATATATAAATATGTCTCATATTAACAAACAGATACAAGATCGAGATCGCGACAATACATAGACCGCGCGAAAGACTGAGTCGAGTGCACTCTGGGGACACACAACTCGTAAGAATTTTTTAAGGATGTTCAAGTACATTCCGTGATATGACTGCAAATTCTACCCAATGAAGTGTCGGTATGAATTCATACTATATATAAAATCTGGTCTTGACTAAAAGTACACATGAGTGACCACAAATGACAAAAAGCCGTTTCGTTACAGATTGTTATACATCACAATAACAACTCATGCCACATACTTCTTACATCATAATAACTAACAACTCATGCCAGTAAAGGATTTGATATGACAAAATAGGATTTGTTGTTAACATTGTAAAATCGCGCAACTAGTGTGATACATTATTATTATTATATTCTTATTCTTATTAATCAATTGATAAATTACATATCAAGTGTTACAAAACAATTTTTAAAATATTTTACAAGTTTTTAACATTAAAATTTTTTAGGTTATTAAATTTGCAAAGCTAAATTATATCTAAAAATACATTTATTGATGAAACTATTTTTAAAACGCTCGGTAGAAATGTTTGGCCACTGTGCCTCTTGTGTTCTAAGTTTAACTGTATATTCTTTAATTTTTGGACAGATTTCTCTTAACGGATGATTGTTTTGTTTATACAGCTTTTCAAACAGCTTTCTATCTGTCTGCTCTAACAGTATATTAATATATATTTGTTCTGTTCTGTTCTGATGTGTATCTTCTTTTATAACAACGAGTTGAGAAGTTTTGAATAGTTGTTTACTCCGGTGGTGATGCAGCAATAACTGATAAGTCATAGGTAAGTTGTGACAGGACCAGTGACCTAAAAAGAAGATCTAATTCGTCTTGACTGTATCCTTCATTCCTCAGCTTTCGAATTACAAACAAGCATTTATTTGCTTTCACCAACTTTTTCTTAACACATTTCTCAAATCTGCTTGTCATTTCAAAGGTTAGCCCCAGTATTTCAAGACTAGAGTGCCGTTCAAAACCATAAATTGGTGATACACAATCCTCTGATCGTCCTTTCTTTAATATAGTCATTTCTTTACATTTACTCTCATTTAAAGGTAAAGAGTTTGATTCGGACCAGTCCTTAAATTCATCTATAGCTTTAGAACTACAATCTTGGGTATTCTTCAAAATCGGTACCAAAAGTAAGGAATCATCCACGAATTTAACAAGGGGGGTGTTGGAACAGTTTTTAATCTCCAAATCATTAATAAATAAATTAAAGAAATGTGGTCCGGTTACAGTTCCTTGCATAACTCCCTTGTTAATATCTTTCCACTTGCATGTCGTTCCTTGGAAAACTATTCTCTGTCTTCGATCTTTTAAGAAATTTAAATACCAATTTACTAAATAAGGGTTCATAGGACTCGATTTCAATTTTTCACTCAGTTTTGCGTGTTTTACATTGTCAAATGCTTTGGAAAAGTCCATTGCAATTAATCTCACTGCATCACAATTTGGTTCTTCTAGTGCTTTCAGGTACATATACTGTAATTTAATTAAGGCGTCTGTGCTACACCCACCGATTCGATAAGCAAACTGGGAAGATGATAACTCCGCCTCGAAAGATCTTTTACTATGATAATGATAAACCGTTCTTTCGAAGCATCGTCCAATCACATGTGTGACGTTTATACCTCTACATTCACAATATTCCTTTGGATTCTCGACTTTTGGTAAAGGATCTATATGAGCAATTTTGCAAGAGGTAGGCCATGTGGATGTAGAGAGAAGAGATTCATTCCAAATCTTGGTCATAACAGGTGCAAATACATCAGCGTTTTCTTTCCATACCCCAAATGGGATTTCATCGGCCTGTTGCAGTTTTCCTTATTTTCAACAAAGCGTTCTTGTCCTGGGTTATGCTAAACTGAGGAGCTTTTATTGTGGTTGAATCTATCGTCATCAACATTGGCTGTTCATAGTCTCTATCCCAACATAACTCTCCAAAGTAATCGTTCAAGTTTTCTTTGAACTCATTGTCAAGTATAATATGTGCTCGATTTCTTCTATGTGACAAAAAATCAACGTTTTTCCACCATTGACTTGTGCCAGTACACTCGGACTTTGCCATTTTTGTTCGATTATGTGAAATTATTCCAGATATTCGTTCTGTTAATTCTGCCGCAATAGATAGCTTTCTCCTTGACTTAGCCTTTGATCTTTTTCTTATTAAATACTTTAAGAGTGGAGACATCCATGGAGGGTCACGAGTGGAAAGAGTAACTGTTTTCTTTGGAAAACATTGATCTATCATATGGATAGTGTTCTCCAATACTCCAGTCGCTTCTTCAACTGTTTCCAATGACGTAACTTCAGACCAACTTTTCTCGGCAAGCTTCTTTTGAATTTTGACTTTATTCTGTGCTCTGTAGTCCCTAAAGCTGATTTTAGTGCGGAGGGGCTTCAATTTTATTCCTGCCGGGATTATGACTCCCAAGTGGCCTGTTTTCATTTGTATGTGCAATGGGTATGCTTTATTTGAAAAGTTCTGATCTATTTGTAAAACAGTTATCAAGAATTGCTTGCCCTCTAGTGGGAAAGTCTACCAAAGGCAACATGCCAGACATTGTGGAAAGTTGACTAACGTTTAGATGATTAATGCCTCCACCAAAGAGAACTAAGCCATTAGGGTTATTGTCTAAAAAATCGTCAACAACTTCCACAATTCGATTAAAAAAATCTGTTTCATCATAACTAAATCTTGGAGGGTGATAGGCTCCAATAACTAACATTTTATGTCCCGTTGGGAGAATAAGTATAATACTAACATTTCAAATTCTGTTTCCCGAATGACACGAATTACTTCCAAGTTCTGTCGAAGATATACTGCAATTCCTCCATTTTTTCGTGTATCTGCAGTCTATCTCTACGGTATAGGTTATATGATGCCATTGCAACAACGGAGTCTGGAATTTTATTGTTTAAATGGGTTTCCGACACGACACATATGTCAATATCTGAAGCTTTTTATATACCAAAGTGTCGTGATCTGTTGGCCGCGTCATTTGAAATTTAATTAAACGGTACATCAACCACACCATTTCAATTTTCAAACGTAGTGAAGTGATTTTAATTAACGCGCGCGCATCCAAGACAAGAAAAATTAATTATGCACATTAAAGAGAGCACTCCACGTGCTATCTAGTGGCTTTCCATCTTGATCTATAGTAGTAATTGTGCTTCTCGATTTCAATTGACTCTCTCATTTTGCGAGAGAGCTTATGACTATCAATCGCCAAAATGGTTGCTTCGTCCCATTTTATACGATGTCGATGGTCGTAAGTCCAAGTATATTTAGCCACAGCAGATTTATCTTGCTCGGCTTTCTCGCAATTCGTCTTATGTTCTTTAAGACGTATTGAGATATTTCGACCAGTTTCACCAATATAAATCAGACCACATTCACAAGGAATGCGGTACACACCAGGTTTCTGAGATTCATTTACGTTGTCCTTATGTGTGCATGGAGCTCGAAACAATTTGTTAATTTTAACTGGAATGGTTTCTGTGAAGCCGGACCAATGTATGGTAGACAAACAGAGGACTGATATTCAATCTTCTGGGGCCGGTTGTATAAAAACGTAGTTAGCGCTAACTGCAGTTAAAAAGTAGTTAAAAAGTAGTTAAAAAGTGGTTAACTTTAATCACGTAGTTAAGCCGGTTGTATAAAAGTGTAGTTAGCCTTAACTGCAGTTAAAAAGTAGTTAAAGTTAACTATGCTTTAGGGTATAGTTAACTGTCCAAAACGTAGTTAAAAATGGCGTTTGTATAGGAGTGAACAACATTTTTCAGTAAAACAATAATGAAAAGCAACGCTTACCTGAGATTTTCAATCGCTATCTTCCCTGTGAATGTTTCCTGACAATATAAACTCTTCAAATGCTATCGCTTTGGTGTTTTTACGAAAACAGAACATATTTTTGCACAGGAGGATTTCTCGAAGAAGTATGGTCCATTACACCAAGAAACACTGATATATAATTGCCAAACAGCTATGCCTTGGTTTAACGTAGACATCTCAAGGAAAAACTGCATTCTTTTATCATTTTTGTGGCGGTTTTTCTTTATTTTTTGTTTATTTTTCACTGTTTTCTAGTGTTTTGAATAAAATTCCCGCCTATTTGCAAAATACGAGTCCACAATCGTGTTGAAAATGTTTGTCAGCGGTCGTTACTCGCTGCTTACTTTATGTAATTTTCTGTTTAAACGCCCCACGCAAGCCCCACGCACAGTTAACTACGTGATTAGTTAACTATCCGACTAACTACGTTTTGTGCAACGCAGTTAAGTCATGTAGTTAACTAATTACAGTTAAGGATTTAACTACAGTGATTAACACTAACTACAGTTAGCGCTAACTACGTTTTTATACAACCGGCCCCTGCTGTATACTTTGTGGTGTTTTCACAGCATTACCTATGAAATGCCGGGGATAACCATTCATTTTTAGAACATTTCCTAAATGTTCTAATTCATCGTCAATGTTATACTTAATACCTCACAAATTGTTTTCGCTCGGTTGATAAGTGTCTTATACACGGAGTTTTTCATACTAGGATGATGAAATGAATTATAATGCAGATACTGTACCTGTCTGTGTGTGTAGGTTTCCTATAATAAACCTTATGTTCTTATGAACATCTAAGAAAGGTATAGTTTTATCATCCTTCTGTACTTCAAAATATTGTATATAATTGATTGTATATAATTTTATAATACAATAATAATATGATAATATAGCTTTATAATAGTAATTTTGTACAATATATATAGCTTGTAATTATAATAGTTCTATATATAATAGTTCTATAATTTTGTTTTTGTTTTATACTAGATAGATTTGGCTGGCTACCGAAAAATAAAATATATCACAAGAAACCAGTTCGCTAAATTCATACGATTAATATTGTCAACATTTTTTTCTTCATAATAATTTCATTTGAGGTGCTTTTTGTGCAGTCCTAATTGTCGCGTTATCCAAGTGCGCTCAATATTGATTGCGAAGATTTAGTTTTTCATGTTAATAAAGATTGGGATTTTACTGTAGCTATCGCATGACATCTTCGTATCATTCCAACCAAAAATGACCAAATACGAGCTGATTAAAAATTGCCCGACGAGTGGAAACATTTCGATGCAGAGTATCCAGTTCACATTCCAAAGATATAATTACCTTGGGCAAGAGTGAAAAGGTTATGTTTTTACTCGCGTTTATCTCTGTGTATGTCTGTCTGTCAGGGGGTAGCAAATCTTCGAGTTAAGCCCCTCGAGTTAAGCCCTTCGAGTTAAGCCTCGACCACGCCCTTTCGAGTTAAGCCCCGACCACGCCCATGTCACGCCCATGTCACACCCATTTCCGTTGAGGACTTAACTCGAAGTACATAACTGGAGTTAGGTACTTCGAGTTAAGCCCTCTAGAAAATAGGGGCTTAACTCGAACAAAGTCAAACATTTTGTTCTTCGAGTTAAGCCCCAACGTTTGAAAGATGTAAACGAGTTACAATACGTTTTATTTCAGCCGACGTATTATATGTATTAGGGACTTTAAGATTGACGTTTACGGCAAACTGCTAACCGCTAACGGCAAACTTCAAATCGTAATTTGAAGTCAACTGTTAGCTGTTCGAAGTTAGAGCAACTTGTGCATAAAAATTAACAATTGTAACTACATCAGTAATTATAATTATAAGTGTTGTTTTATGCTAATTTTTTGCATTTTCAAAAACAGTAGTTCAACGTTCAAACATCAATAGCGCAGTCAATATTGGATTATTGCATGTAAATTCAAGTGCTATATAGTATCAAAATCGAAGTTGGTCATTTCTGAATGCATTATCGCTTTTATAGCTTTTAAGTTACATGAAATCAAATAGTGTCCAGTTTTTTGGGGAGACACCCGGTATTTAAGGTAGATTTGCATTTCGCAACTTGTGGGGCGATCGACATTTTGCGACCGCTTTCCGTTTTGAAATGTGTGCAGTCTAATGAAATCGTTCCATATAATGAAGACTTGAATAGTTATAAGAACCATATAATGTCAAAGTGCATATTTCCACCGAAAGTGCATATTTCCACCGTTGAGAATTGGGTCTAAAACTATTGAAAATTAACTCCCTGTACTCTTTAGGACTTAAGTTGATGAATTGAACTTCAATAAAATACCTGCGTATGCATAATTATCATAAACGTCTTGTAAACCAGCCCTGAGCTCATTTTTAAAATGACACGTTCGTGATTAATTGCTAATCAAAATCTAAGTTAGTCCATTATGAATGCAATGATCTTTATTTCATTGCGAATCTGCGATAGCTTTTATAGCTTTTACGTTACATGAAATCAAACAGAGTCCGGTGTTTTTCGGGACACCCGTATACAATTTGATAATTAATCAATTTTAAGATTGACCTTTACGGCAGAAGAGGTCGATCTTTATTCCTTTATTAGCTATTAAAAAGTAGCTAAATCATAGTGCACAAGTTGCTCACTTGCTCTAACTTCGAACAGCTAACAGTTGACTTGCGGTTAGCGGTTTGCCGTAAACGTCAATCTTAAAGTCCCTAATAATGCTAATATATATAATACGTCGGCTGAAATAAAACGTATTGAACCGTGATTGAACGAAACGCGATCCAAATGACAACTTAATTTGTTTGGGATCAGATTAACCGTAACTCCTTTACATCTTTCAAACGTTGGGGCTTAACTCGAAGAACAAAATGTTTGACTTTGCTCGAGTTAAGCCCCTATTTTCTAGAGGGCTTAACTCGAAGTACCTAACTCCAGTTATGTACTTCGAGTTAAGCCCTCAACGGAAATGGGTGTGGCATGGGCGTGGTCCGGGCTTAGCTCGAAAGGGCGTGGTCGGGGCTTAACTCGAAGGGCTTAACTCGAGGGGCTTAACTCGCAACCTCGTTCCCAGGGTCTCTCCGTCTGTCATCTGGGAGAGACCCTGGCTGCGGCTGGTCACGTGCCTCCCAGATTCTGGGAGGTAAATTTAATTGTAACTGTGAGAGGGGTGGGAAAGGAGCGTGTTTGTAGTGTTTTATAATTGCAACTTTGGGTGATGAAATTTACTGTAAATTTGCAACAAGAAATCGTAATTATAAAGAGAACTCTTGAATTATATTTATGTCGTGACGTTCTACTCTATAATCTGGTGTCGAGTTACAATTCAAGCAAGTTGGATCAGATTTCATTATAGACTTGCCAAAGAAAGCACGCTTGTGCAGCGTGGCAATATTAAACTGTGATTAAACCTACAAGAAAATATATATCTCTAGACCGAACAGTGTGGTTGTTATTTATTTAGTATTAAAGTTTATCCTGATACTCGGACCAAAAGAATTTATTTATTGATGGGATGTGGAATTGCAACGAAATAGCGAGGTCTTTTGATTTCCGAAATATCGCCAACTGTATCCAGATTGTTGATCTATATAAAGGCCTTATCAAAAAACTTAAAGTCCGTCAAACGACTATAAAATTGGCCCTTGGCATTGCTGAATCCAACGATCATGGTATATGTCAAAGTATAGCTGTCTGTTGAAAATCTACGGTATTAAAATCATACACCAAAGATAAGTCAAACGGCAAATTATATGTCACTATATTATACATGTCTTTCAATGAGCACTGTTTAGTAGTGTTCACCACCTTTATAAATTTTGTAAACAGCTTTCGTTTTGACATGAATAAGCTTTAATTTTTTGCTTTATATGCATTCTTAATAATACAAGTGAGATTTAAATTTTTGCTTTGTGAAATAGAATACCGTTATTTTTTAATGGACAGCTTGCATCGTCTATATCATATCCAGGATTGCTTGTGTGTAAACGCATTATTCACTATATGACATTGACACTATCAAATAAATATAAGTAGCAAATGATTAATGAATTAGAGATAAACAGGTGATTCACAATGAAAACTTTAAAAATGTTAGTAGAAGTAGAAAACTCGAAAATTTATGTCTATTCGTATGACGCCAAATGACGGTCTGTGCGCATCTGACACTGTAAATTTGTGATATAGATTATAGTATATTAGCACAATATAATGATTAATAGAGACCAAGAAAAAGGCTAAAGTCTTACTATAATTACCGAATACGAATTTATGTAGTAAATCCAGATAAATCAATGACTGAAATTTCCTCTATGCTTATGGACATTTCTCTGTTCGGCTATTATCAAATGTTTACATTTGCTAATATTTGGTTCAGTCCTAGACAATACTGTTTCTTAAAAATCTTATAAACAAGACGCGTAGTAACAAGTGAATCGGTGCAAAGCGTATCAACGTTTACAAGAAAGGACAAATGTAATGGCCTATTTTAAAAACATTACAACAAACGTTTGTTATAACCGCGCTCGAGTGTGAAGAGAGCATGCATTGAATAACAACACGAGAGAGCACTGCGAGTAACGATTTGCTTGGTTTCTTGACTTGACTGTAAGTAAGAATGTAACAATGTTCATGTAAATTCAAAGCAAAGAAAATAAACAAAAATTAGCAAGTATTTTGAACGTAATAATTCGCAAAATCTATGTTTTTAACGAATATCCCACTGGAAGCATGTTGATGTAATTTGATACTTTCCCCACACCCCCTCAGGCGCTAAATTTTTGATGAGGCACGTGACCAGCCGCAGCCAGGGTCTTTCCCAATGAAAGATCCTGGGTACGAGGTTGCCCAGCTGGTTCCAGAGGTACCGTATTACAAATTGAGAAATAATTACGACTAGGAGCAAGAATAGGGCGGAAGATACAAGAACCTCTGGGTATTGTCAACCACGTATCATATCTTGAAATATTGTTGTGCTGAGTGGTTTTATTACTACCTGAAGTAAACAAGCAGAAACTAGACGTTTCGAGCGAAGCCTTTCGTCAAGAGTTAGTTAGCAATATAACCACTAAGCACAACAATTTCACATTGGTACTACCTACACTGGTACAGACAGTTTTAGAACATATCTTAGAATACATTGATATCGAAGGGAACTAGACTCAGTTCCGCAATATCACCAACTCGAACCGACTTGACCTTGTAGCTCAGTTGGCAGAGCATAGGGTAGAGCATTGGACTAGTATCCCAAAGGTGGCGGGTTCGAGGTCAGATAAACCAGGGGCAAACTTAAGCCTTCGGCTCGTGGATTTCGCGCGCTTTTCATAACTCGAGCAACATTCCCAAGTGTTTGGATCAGGCCATCCAAACACGGAACTCATAAAGTAATTGTATAGTGAAATGAGTAAATGTCAACACTGTCGAAAGTCGTGGGTTTTCTCCAGTTTCCTCCCACAGTGAAAGTGGACAGGTTAGGTTAATTAGGTAATAGGCCCCACAGTAATTGGCATATGCTGTTGTGGTGACCCTGCCCTAGTTGGCAAAGCTAAATAAATAATAAAAATGCGTGCCGAAACCTATACTCGCCTGGGCACAGAGCCCCAGCGAGTAATAATGTCAATTTATATAGGAGAGTGGCCAAACAGCTAAGTTTGGCGATGCAGGCCGATAATTACAAATTTTTCATTATGTACTTTATTTTCTATCTATGGGATATATTAACAATGTATAATAGGGTGTTCGTATACCGAGTACACCCTGTATATAAATATTCACATGGCACTATGTGTGCTCAGTGCTCACAGGATTTATTAATTATTGACCTTATTTATTAGGATCTTATTTATTATAATTGATCTTATTTATTTTGACTCAATGTAAATCCATTGTATTTTTAAATCCCAAAGATGGGTATTAATAAATTCAATTCAATTCGGGATGTGGACATTAGAAAAGAGAAGAAATTAAGGGACGTGTGGATTTATTACAGTTCACTAAGTGTGTAATTTTTCTCGTGTTGACATTTTTTCTGCCACATCCTGCCTACCTTCACTTTTCTAATGGTTCGCCCTAATTTTCCACCATTTCATTTATACTATATTTGAAAATTTACTCATTGACAATTCGGTTTGGCTAGGAGTAGTGAAATATTAATTCATAACAGGCAGAAAAGAAATTCAGTGCCAAAAAACGTGGCAAGTGCCGCTAAACAAAAAGACATTTTGACATCAGTTTTGACTTGAAATCGTCTCTTCAGCTGTTGTACCACGAGTGTCAGAATGAGTAAATGATCTATTTCGTGATCATAAAATTTGCTTCTGAATAATCTTTCAATATATTATTAAAAAGTAACAGTATAGTTTCTCGTGTAATTTGGAAAAGACAAATTGCACTGGAAACCATACTATTACCCTATTTATGGACGTATCGATAAATGAAAAAATTAAATAACTGTACAATATTAAATATTGGATATTATAATCATATAGTCAATTATAACTAGTGTATCACTAAAGTCAATTACTAGTGAATTGTCCTCAGGTGGCTATTATTGCTTGGATGAAAGAAGCTAACACTGAAACTTGCATCTTTTAAGACCTTGTCAAGGCAATTTTTTCTTGAGGCTGAAGAGTTCATAACCTATCAAAGAAAAACGAGACCTTAATTAGTGTATACGCCAGTTAGTTAGCAATTATATTTATATTATACAGGGGTGTTCCAGATTTTTACACAAGCAGCTAATAGTAATAGACAACTTGCATGTTAGACTAATTTTTTATCTAGGCAAAAAAAGTAAATTCCCTCAAAGAACTTATTAAAATTAGTAAAATTGCAAAATTTGGTTACGAAATGTTGTAAAATACAGAAAATATAGCCTTGCGAAGTTTGCATATTTTGTATATGTTTGGATTACGTGCGGAAATTGTTACCGTTTTTGAGCTGAAAATGGTAATTTCCGCACGTAATACAAACCATATATACAAAATTTGAAAACTTTGCAGGGCTACTGCTATACTACTTATACAGGGCTATACTGCTTTACAACATTTCGCAACCAAATTTTGCAATTTTACTAATTTCATTACGTTCCTTTTAGCTGTGGTGTTTGATTCCCTTCTCCTTACTTAAACTAAAATTCAGTCTAACATGCAAGTTGCCCATTATTAGTAGCATGCATGAAAGTCAAATGAATTTGGACACGAAGAATGACATGCACTCAAGATATCATTAGACTTGATGGCAAGTTTACCTTGGAATATCTTTTAGGTCCAACAGTTTCTCTACGTACGACGGACACTCCGACCACCTCAGAACCACGATGCCAGTTGACTTTGCCCTGTCCTTTTTCAAACGTAAACGCCATTTGCAGCCACCAAACTGTCATACAATCGTCAACACATCACAACCATGGTGCTCCCCGTTTGATAACATTATGAACGACATCAAGACAGTTTTCATAACGAGTTTAACGGCTATATAACGCAGTCTTTACCAGTTGCAGATAATTTTCATCTTCATCACCACGCTCAGAACCACGAGGCCAATCAGTTTCCTCTTGAAGCTCATTATTACAGATAGGTGGTGTCCAGAATCACCATAATACATGTTAAGGCATGTCTGCTTTGTTGAAGGTAATTATGACTGACACCAAGGCAGGTAGAATTACAACCACGCCACCAGTCGAGTTTAGTCCACCTTGTTGCAGTTCCGTATCGCTGACAACAAAACACTCTTTACGCCGTTCGATCCGGGTGCCATTATCACTAATATACAGGCCAACAACACGAAGTTTGCTTTGTTCATCCTTTCTGGAAATCATTATTACCATTGGCTAGATTACGTCTTATCATTCCAGGTATCAAATAGAAGATACTACCGCGACTGTCAATATTATTATAACGATGAGCGCCAGTCGAACTCGTCGCCACATACATTGCCACAGTACCACCGACACTGTGACGGTCTTGATTACTACTACCACAAAGTCAAGTTTATTTCCTGTCCATTGGATTCATCCACAGCAACAGCATAAATCACGGTCACGTAGTCAAGAAATTTTACACAACCACGCTTCTTTTTTCTTATAGATCATAATCACTCTAAGCCCACCACTATGGTGACACCAACCAACTGTGATTCTTGTTCGATATCACCGTCATCGCCAACAGTTCAACCATGATGACAGAAAATTTCAGACCATCTGACGCAGCACAACTCCGTCAAAGACGTTATTTATCAACAAAACCACCATGGATTTTAAATGTTGAAATTTATTAGCACGATGCCAGTAAGGATGCTCTTTATTTCTTTATCATTACAACCAATATATAGACTGATAACCACCGCAACAGATATTACGGTATAGTCTCAACCAGTGGACTTTTTCAATACAAACACCCTTGCTTGAACACTAAGGTCTTCAATGAGATCAACCTAGTCAAGCTCAGTTCGTTTTGTCCAAGTCGTTATTGCCAACATCACTCGCCAGCACTACCGCTACGGCAGAGTTTGATCAATACCACATTTCTCCAGCTCGTCTGAGGCAGGCTTGTGTTACCAAATGACATGCACGGATCGTGAAGGATATCATTATCACTGATCGCAAGACCGACTTTGCAACAAGAATGCTGGTCATCTCAAGATGGATCAACTTCAACCATGATACTATTGCCAACATCAGCACATTCTGTAGCAACACCCCACACAAATTGGTCACCAACAGCACTATAACTTTGTAAGTATGGGCATCCACAGCAAATTGATCACCACAAACCACGACATCGGGGAAGCTCGTCAGTTTCTGTTTGACATCGTGATCATTGTCAAGAAAGCCTTCGTCAATTCCACCATTATTCTAACAGTAATACTAGCCCATCGTTGTTTGAATTCATTTTCATCAACATCGCGACAGTTCTCGCCACTTCAAACTTGACGGCAGTCGAACCCAGTTTCTCTTTGCTTTTTTTTATCACTATCGCCAACGTGTGCACCAGTATATTCTTGTGGAAGTTCAAGTCGGTTTCTCATCCATGAAGATCATAACCACCGATACAGAGATCATCATCACGACCATCAAACCAGACCTGGTTGGACAATATTGATATCGACAAGAACATTTCTCCAGCTGTGTCTCTTATTGCCCAAGTTAATCCTGCCAACACGAAGATCCGGTCATCGTCAACAATATCAATTACTAAGTCTTCTTCACCAACTCTACCACACTGATGCCATTCAACTTGTCCACAGTCAATTGAATTCGTTTCCATCAACATCACGACAATTTTTACTACAGTAAGCCATACGCCAGTCGAAATACTTTCTTCCTGTTTGAGATGATCATCATCCTCGATAGACATGTTTTCACCACTTTAATCTTCACGCAGATCAAACTCAGTTTCTCACACCTTAAGATCAGTACGACCAATACCATGAAGTCTACCACTTCAACGAACATATAGTCGTTGCTCAATCGGTTACTGCTGACATCAAGAAGCTCCCCAGCACTGCAACAATATCCCCCCAACACCACACCAACCACAAGACCAACGAAAATTGTAAATTTCTGTCTCGTCCACCGTGATCAATAAGAGGAAAGTCATCGACATTAACTTCACCATCACGGTGCCAAGTCAGACTTGTCCATCGCTGTTTAAATTCATTTTCCTCAACACAGAACCAGTCTTCACCACTTCAACCATGACGCCATGAGTCAACCATTATGTTTCTCTTGTTGCAGATGGCTATCACCGACAACGTCTTCATCACCTCAACTGACACAATATCAATCAAGCTTAGCCCAAGTTCTATTTTATTTTCATCAATAGCGGGAAGTCTTCACCACTTCAGTTCTTGATGCAGGTCAAACTCGGTTTCCCATCGCTTCAGACCAGTACGACCAATACAATGAAAGTTTACCACTTCAAGGAACAGTTGTTGTTCAAGTCGTTATTGCTGACATTCGATAAGCTCTCCAGCATTCCAACATTCCAACAATATCCCCCAGTTACGTTAATGTTCATCATGTTGAGATCACCACACCAAATCCGTCACCAACACTGCAACCACAACACCAATAAAGATTGTAAATTTCCGTCTCGTCCATCGTGCTCAAGAAGAGGAAAGTCATCGCCATCAACTTTACCAACCATCACGGTGCCAAGTCGGACTTGTCCATCGCAGTTTGAATTCATTTTCATCACCACAAAACCGGTCTTCACCACCTCAACCACGACACCAGTCAACCATTATGTTTCTCTTGTTGCATGTAGCTATCACCGACAACGTCAACGTCTTCATCACCTCAACTGACAGAATATCGATCAAGCTTAGTCCAAGTTCTATTTTGTTTTCATCAACAGCGGGAAGTCTTCACCACTTCAGTTCTTGATGCAGGTCAAACTTGGTTTCCCATCGCTTCAGACCAGTACGACCAATACCATGAAAGTCTACCACTTCAAGGAACAGTTGCTGTTCAAGTCGTTATTGCTGACATTCGATAAGCTCTCCAGCATTCCAACAATATCCCCCAGTTACGTTATTATTGTTCATCATGTTAAGGTCACCACACCAAATCGGTCACCAACACTGCAACCACAACACCAATAAAGATTGTAAATTTCTGTCTTATCCATCGTGCTCAAGAAGAGGAAAGTCATCGCCATCAACTTCACCATCATGGTGCCAAGTCGGACTTGTCCATCGCAGTTTGAATTCATTTTCATCAACACAAAACCGGTCTTCACCTCTTCAACCATGACGCCAGTCAACCATTATGTTTCTCTTGTTGCAGATAGTTATCACCGACGTCTTCATCACCTCAACTGACACAATATCAATCAAGCTTAGCCCAAGTTCTATTTTATTTTCATCAATAGCGGGAAGTCTTCACCACTTCAGTTCTTGATGCAGGTCAAACTCGGTTTCCCATCGCTTCAGACCAGTACGACCAATACAATGAAAGTTTACCACTGCAAGGAACAGTTGTTGTTAAAGTCGTTATTGCTGACATTCGATAGGCTCTCCAGGGCTCCAACAATATCCCCCAGTTAAGTTCTTGTCCATCATGTTGAGATCACCACACCAAATCGGTCACCAACACTGCAACCACAACACCAATAAAGATTGTAAATTTCTGTCTCGTCCATCGTGACCAATAAGAGGAAAGTCATTGCCATCAACTTCACCATCACGGTGCCAAGTCAGACGTGTGAATCGCTGTTTGAATTCATTTTCCTCAACACAAAATCAGTCTTCACCACCTCAACCACGACACCAGTCAACCATTATGTTTCTCTTGTGGCAGGTAGCTATCACCGACAACGTCAACGTCTTCATCACCCAAACTGGCAGAATATCATTCACGCTTAGTCCAAGTTCTATTTTATTTTCATCAACAGCGGGGCAGTCTTCGCCACTTCAGTTCTTGATGGCGGTCAAAACTCGGTTTCTCATCGCTTCAGACCAGTACGGCCAATACCATGAAAGTCTACCACTTCAAAGAACAGTTGTTGTTCAGGATCTGTCATTCGATAAGGTCTCCAGCACTGCAACAATATCCCCCAGTTACGTCATTGTTCATCATGTTGAGATCACCACACCAAATCGGTCACCATCACTGCAACCACAACGCCAATAAAGATTGTAAATTTCTGTCTCGTCCATCGTGATCAATAAGAGGAAGGTCATCGCCATCAACTTCACCATCACGGTGCCAAGTCAGACTTGTGAATCGCTGTTTGAATTCATTTTCCTCAACACAAAATCAGTCTTCACTACTTTAACCATGACGCCAGTCAACCATTGTTTCTCTTGTTGCAGATAGCTATCGCCGACAACGTCAACGTCTTCATCACCTCAATTGACACAATATCAATCACGCTTAGTCCTAGTTCTATTTTATTTTCATCAACAGCGGGCAGTCTCGCCACTTCAGTTCTTGATGCCGGTCAAAACTCGGTTTCTCAACGCTTCAGACCAGTACGGCCAATACCATGAAAGTTTACCACTTCAAAGAACAGTTGTTGTTCAGGATCTGACATTCGATAAGCTCTCCAGCACTGCAACAAGATCCCCCCAGTTACGTTATTGTTCATCATGTTGAGAACACCACACCAAATCGGTCAGCATCACGGCAACCACAACGCCAATAAAGATTGTAAATTTCTGTCTCGTCCATCGCGATCAATAAGAGGAAAGTCATCGCCATCAACTTCACCATCACGGTGCCAAGTCAGACTTGTCCATCGCTGTCTGAATTCATTTTCATCAACACAAAACCGGTCTTCACCACCTCAACCACGACACCAGTCAACCATTATGTTTCTCTTGTTGCAGGTAGCTATCACCGACAACGTCTTCATCGCCCAAACTGGCAGAATATCAATCAAGCTTAGTCCAAGTTCTATTTTATTTTCATCAATAGCGGGAAGTCTTCACCACTTCAGTTCATGATGCAGGTCAAACTCGGTTTCCCATCGCTTCAGACCAGTACGACCATTACCATGAAAGTCTACCACTTCAAGGAAAAGTTGTTGTTCACCTCGTTATTGCTGACATTCGATAAGCTCTCCAGCATTCCAACAATATCCCCCAGTTACGTCATTGTCCATCATGTTAAGATCGCCACACCAAATCGCTCACCAACACTGCAACCACAACACCAATAAAGATTGTAAATTTCTGTCTCGTCCATCGTGATCAATAAGAGGAAAGTCATCACCATCAACTTCACCATCACGATACCACGTCAGACTTGTCCTTCGCTGTTTAAATTCATTTTCATCAACACAAAACCGGTCTTCACCACCTTAACCATGACAGCAGTCAACCATTATGTCTCTCTAGTTGTAGATAGCTATCACCGACAACGTCAACGTCTTCATCACCTCAACTGACAGAATATCAATCAAGCTTAGTCCAAGTTCTATTTTATTTTCATCAATAGCGGGAAGTCTTCACCACTTCAGTTCTTGATGCAGGTCAAACTCGGTTTCCCATCGCTTCAGACCAGTACGACCAATACAATGAAAGTTTACCACTTCAAGGAACAGTTCTTGTTCAAATCGTTATTGCTGACATTCGATAAGCTCTCCAGCATTCCAACATTCCAACAATATCCCCCAGTTACGTTATTGTTCATCATGTTGAGATCACCACACCAAATCCGTCACCAACACTGCAACCACAACACCAATAAAGATTGTAAATTTCCGTCTCGTCCATCGTGCTCAAGAAGAGGAAAGTCATCGCCATCAACTTTACCAACCATCACGGTGCCAAGTCGGACTTGTCCATCGCAGTTTGAATTCATTTTCATCAACACAAAACCGGTCTTCACCACCTCAACCACGACACCAGTCAACCATTATGTTTCTCTTGTTGCATGTAGCTATCACCGACAACGTCAACGTCTTCATCACCTCAACTGACAGAATATCAATCAAGCTTAGTCCAAGTTCTATTTTGTTTTCATCAACAGCGGGAAGTCTTCACCACTTCAGTTCTTGATGCAGGTCAAATTTGGTTTCCCATCGCTTCAGACCAGTACGACCAATACCATGAAAGTCTACCACTTCAAGGAACAGTTGCTGTTCAAGTCGTTATTGCTGACATTCGATAAGCTCTCCAGCATTCCAACAATATCCCCCAGTTACGTTATTATTGTTCATCATGTTAAGGTCACCACACCAAATCGGTCACCAACACTGCAACCACAACACCAATAAAGATTGTAAATTTCTGTCTTGTCCATCGTGCTCAAGAAGAGGAAAGTCATCGCCATCAACTTCACCATCATGGTGCCAAGTCGGACTTGTCCATCGCAGTTTGAATTCATTTTCATCAACACAAAACCGGTCTTCACCACTTCAACCATGACGCCAGTCAACCATTATGTTTCTCTTGTTGCAGATAGTTATCACCGACAACGTCTTCATCACCTCAACTGACACAATATCAATCAAGCTTAGCCCAAGTTCTATTTTATTTTCATCAATAGCGGGAAGTCTTCACCACTTCAGTTCTTGATGCAGGTCAAACTCGGTTTCCCATCGCTTCAGACCAGTACGACCAATACAATGAAAGTTTACCACTTCAAGGAACAGTTGTTGTTCAAATCGTTATTGCTGACATTCGATAAGCTCTCCAGCATTCCAACATTCCAACAATATCCCCCAGTTACGTTATTGTTCATCATGTTGAGATCACCACACCAAATCCGTCACCAACACTGCAACCACAACACCAATAAAGATTGTAAATTTCCGTCTCGTCCATCGCGATCAATAAGAGGAAAGTCATCGCCATCAACTTCACCATCACGGTGCCAAGTCAGACTTGTCCATCGCAGTTTGAATTCATTTTCATCAACACAAAACCGGTCTTCACCACCTCAACCACGAAACCAGTCAACCATTATGTTTCTCTTGTTGCATGTAGCTATCACCGACAACGTCAACGTCTTCATCACCTCAACTGACAGAATATCAATCAAGCTTAGTCCAAGTTCTATTTTGTTTTCATCAATAGCGGGAAGTCTTCACCACTTCAGTTCTTGATGCAGGTCAAATTTGGTTTCCCATCGCTTCAGACCAGTACGACCATTACCATGAAAGTCTACCACTTCAAGGAACAGTTGCTGTTCAAGTCGTTATTGCTGACATTCGATAAGCTCTCCAGGGCTCCAACAATATCCCCCAGTTAACTTCTTGTCCATCATGTTGAGATCACCACACCAAATCGGTCACCAACACTGCAACCACAACACCAATAAAGATTGTAAATTTCTGTCTCGTCCATCGTGACCAATAAGAGGAAAGTCATTGCCATCAACTTCACCATCACGGTGCCAAGTCAGACGTGTGAATCGCTGTTTGAATTCATTTTCCTCAACACAAAATCAGTCTTCACCACCTCAACCACGACACCAGTCAACCATTATGTTTCTCTTGTGGCAGGTAGCTATCACCGACAACGTCAACGTCTTCATCACCCAAACTGGCAGAATATCATTCACGCTTAGTCCAAGTTCTATTTTATTTTCATCAACAGCGGGGCAGTCTTCGCCACTTCAGTTCTTGATGGCGGTCAAAACTCGGTTTCTCATCGCTTCAGACCAGACCAGTACGGCCAATACCATGAAAGTCTACCACTTCAAAGAACAGTTGTTGTTCAGGATCTGACATTCGATAAGCTCTCCAGCACTGCAACAATATCCCCCAGTTACGTCATTGTTCATCATGTTGAGATCACCACACCAAATCGGTCACCATCACTGCAACCACAACGCCAATAAAGATTGTAAATTTCTGTCTCGTCCATCGTGATCAATAAGAGGAAAGTCATTGCCATCAACTTCACCATCACGGTGCCAAGTCAGACGTGTGAATCGCTGTTTGAATTCATTTTCATCAACACCAAACCGGTCTTCACCATCTCAACCACGACACCAGTCAACCATTATGTTTCTCTTGTTGCAGGTAGCTATCACCGACAACGTCAACGTCTTCATCACCTCAATTGACACAATATCATTCACGCTTAGTCCAAGTTCTATTTTATTTTCATCAACAGCGGGCAGTCTTCACCACTTCAGTTCTTGATGCCGGTCAAAACTCGGTTTCTCAACGCTTCAGACCAGTACGGCCAATACCATGAAAGTTTACCACTTCAAAGAACAGTTGTTGTTCAGGATCTGACATTCGATAAGCTCTCCAGCACTGCAACAATATCCCCCAGTTACGTTATTGTTCATCATGTTGAGATCACCACACCAAATTGGTCACCATCATATCACTGCAACCACAACACCAATAAAAGATTGTAAATTTCTGTCGTACATCTTAATGACAGGAAAGTCATCATCATCAGCTCCACCATAATGATACCAGTTAAGGTTGTCCATTGCGGTTTGAATTCCCTTTCATCAGCACCGAGCAATCGTCGCCATTTCAACCATGACACCAATCAACCATTAAGTTTCTCTCGTTTTAGGTAATTATCACTGACAACATGAAAGTCTTCATCACTTCAATTAAGACATCATCAGTTAAGATTAGTCTAAGTTTTAGTTTATTTTCATCAACAACGGCGAGTCTTCCCCATGTCATCAACACTGCAACCCACAACACCAATAAAGATGGTAAATTTCTGTTGTATATCGTAATCAATGAGAAGAAAGTCATCACCAGTCAAGCTTGTCCATCGCTGCTTGAATTCACATTCATGAACGTCTTAACCACTTCAAGCATGACGTGAGCCAACCACTAATTTATCTTGTTGGAGATAATTATCACCGACAACATGAAGTCTTGATTTATTAAGATGCTACTGAACACCAAAATTTTTAAGGAATTTTCATTTTAATTCAATTAATTGTAATCATATAGTAATTGCAACAGTAATATAAAGTGCATGGACTCCTCAGAATGCCCAAGTGGAAAAAATTAGACTTTATAGACTGATGCCAAGTGCGACCTGGCGGTCTTTTGCGCGTCTTGATGGTTGACTTAAGGCTCATTTACACGATGCGGCTAATCATATATGATCATCATTCTGGCATATTTAAACGACCGCATGCAGACGGAAAATGGCGATTGAGGTATATATATGAAAGTCCATTATAATGCTAGACAAGTGACTGTTAACACTTGTTTTTAACATGGAAGACTATACCAGCTCAACCAAACAATTCATCAGCCGGCAATCATTTGATAGCGTTAAAGTGCTACCTGACAGTAACTTCAAATATAAATGTAGGTACACGTAACACTGATTCCCTTCCACTGACGTTGACGGCGTCGTGTGTTGCGCATGATTTTACCGAACACACTTCTGGCAGCAATATTTTTCTTCAACGTAATCATGTTTATACAGTTCCGTTTGATGGGAGGCAGATATATTTCTGTGAAACTCAGCAGCTACCGCCCTGCTCCAGCGGTGTTATTTGTTGCATTATCATTCCATTTAGATGAAGAAAAAAAGGTAATCAACAAAGGTAAATTGTCCCAAGTGGCCTTCTCACCGACGCATATGTGGAAGAAATTAGAGTTGAAAGTGTACAAAGATGTGGATGTGTAGGTTAATGAACATGAATTGGGTGTTTTGTAAAAGCATTTTAATTGTTTCTGTATTCTAAGAATGCCAAATATACATTGTGTTTTTACTTGTTTTTGTGTCGTTTAGCACACCTGTGTTAGAAGCCCAAATTTAACCATTCCATGTTTTTACAGTTTGTTTCTTTTATTTATCTAGGGACGAACTTGCAACATCATTTTAACGTGCAGCGAATACAGCATTTTTGGAGGCGCGTCGGGCGTCCTGACTATTGGCCAGATGATGTGGTATGGCAATCGCCATCGGCCAAAGGATAGTCGATAATCAATATTTTCATTGATAACATCATTTCCCGACTGCGTCAATGTTGCGCGTCTTGATGGTTGACTTAAGGCTCATTTACACGATGCGGCTAATCATATATGATCGTCATTCTGGCATATGAAAACGACCGCATGCAGACGGAAAATGGCGATTGAGGTATATATTATGAAAGTCCATTATAATGCTAGACAAGTGACTGTTAACACTTGTTTTTAACATGGAAGACTATACCAGCTCAACCAAACAATTCATCAGCCGGCAATCATTTGATAGCGTTAAAGTGCTACCTGACAGTAACTTCAAATATAAATGTAGGTACACGTAACACACTGACGTTGCGCATGATTTTACCGAACACACTTCTGGCAGAAATTTTTTTTAACGTAATCATGTGTTTTCTGTCTGATGGGAAGCAGATATACTAATGTGAAACTCAGCAGCTACCGCCCTGCTCCAGCAGTGTTTTTTGTTGCATTATCATTCCATTAACATGAAGAAAAAAAAGGACCTTTATCAACAAAGGTAAATTGTCCCAAGTGCATGGCCTTCTCACCAAGGCACAAGTGGAAGAAATTAGAGTTGAGTTGGAAGTGTACAAAGATGTGGATGTGTAGGTTAATAAACATGAATTGGGTGTTTTGTAAAAGCATTTTAATTGTTTCTGTATTCTAAGAATGCCAAATATACTTTGTGTTTTTACTTGTTTTTGTGTCGTTTAAGCACGCCTGGTTTGAATAACCGGTACGGCCAGCAATTGAGCCGTTGTTCAGGCGCTTCATTGAAGAGATCGAGCAGCAGGAAGTGGAGGACGGTAAATATTTATGAAAGTCCATTATAACGCTAAACAAGTGACTGTTAATAATTGTGTTTAAGCTTACACGATATTGCAATAGTAATATAAAGTGCATGGACTCCTCAGAATGCCCAAGTATAGAAGAAATTAGACTTTATAGACTAATGCCAAGTGCGCCCTGGCGGTCTTTTGATCGCCCAACAAATGGAGAATATCTTCCTTGGAAAATGGAAGAAATTAGAGTTGAGTTGGAAGTGTACAAAGATGTGGATGTGTAAGTTAATGAACATGAATTGGGTGTTTTGTAAAAGCATTTTAATTGTTTCTGTATTCTAAGAATGCCAAATATACATTGTGTTTTTACTTGTTTTTGTGTCGTTTACGCACACCATTATCATTGCATTATCATTCCATTTAGATGAAGAAAAAAAAGGACCTTTATCAACAAAGGTAAATTGTCCCAAGTGGCCTTCTCATATGAAGCGTCTGCACCGCAGGCTAACTTTATAGTTCATATACGCATAATTTAATTATATATGAGCTTTTGCAGTACAGACTGCAAACGTGCTATAGCACGAGTCATGCCTCCAAGACCAAGAGTGGCAATTAGGCAAGCCTGAAAATTAACTTGACCAGCTGAATGAAATATGCTTCGCGAAATGCACAATTTTGACGGCCACGCGGCTAGTATTGTAAAGACTAAAGACAAATTCCATTGGGCAGATTAACAGTGGGTTGCGAACATAATCTGTCGAAATGACTATCTCGGCACTGGTGATTGGTAGTCATTTCTTTTGATCTCACCTGATTGCATTTTGTTTTCTATTTGTTTTCAGTTGGACAAAGCACGAGAATGCTGAACAAAGATGAACTGGGACGCGTCATTTTATCATACGAACAAGAAGCCCGGAGGGTAAGGATGATGAATTCATTATTTAAAGCACATTTTTTTTCTATTGTGTACTGAGAACTTAGATACTATTCATTAAAATCCAGTCATTAAAATCTTAACCAATTAAAGCTTTGACGGAATAACGAAAGAGTACGAGTAAAAGCACATAACTTAATATTAATTGAGTTTCTTTATTAGGTGCTAATTCGTATTTTTCAATTATTTTAGGTTTATCGTGACGGTGGTGAAAATGATGGCAATGCTGGTGACGATGCTGATTTTGAATGGTGTTATGCACTTGTCATCTCGCGTGACCACTAAATTTTAAATCATTTTAAAAACGGGCCGCATGCAATACTACATATAATATAGCAAAAATAATAGTTAGGGTAAATGGTACTTGAAACAAAATAATTTTTTAGTCTTATTTGCCGCGTTATTTCATTTAGAAGAAGAAAATCTTTACCAGGTCAAGCCTGTGCGCCGGGGCGGTCTTTTGACTGCCCAACAATTACAAGGTGTGCGGGACGGGCACATGATGTGCGCAGACATGCGCAAGCATGTGCTGCGCATGATATTGCCAAACACAATTCTTGCAGGTAACAACATTTTTTTTAAAGTAACCATGTGTAAACTGTCAAATGCATGAGAGCCAGATATATTCCTGTAAAACGTAACCTAACTCATTAATAGGAGATTTTTTTGTATGTTACGTAACACGTGCTCAAAACTAATGCGTATAATATACCACTTGAGGTTACGACTACATTCAAAATTTTTATTTTTCGATACGTTTCTCAATCGGCAAACAAACTTAAAAAGTACATTTAGTGCTTTATCTGTAAAATAATACAAAAATTAAGAGATTTCAGATGATACGCCAATGAGAAAATGATGTCTGAAGTTCAGTAAGTTTTGCTTATATGGTTGTAAATATATGGCGTCAATTTTAAAGCATCATTGATATTTGTATTTTAATTGACAATTTTTAACTATTATTTTATGTTTCTCAACCGGCAGATGCATTTAAAAAAGTAGTTAACTCTATAAACTAGAGAATAAAGCTAAAACAAAGTAATTTTGAGAGGAACGCCAAAAAGATTTTAGGTTTTGAACACTTTTCATTGCAAATACGTGACATTGAAAAACAATTGCCTCTTAATCGTTAATCCTAACTTATGAATGCTAACACTTTAATTCCAAATCCTAGCTCATGTATGGATACGCCCACGGATACGCCACGCCATTTCACGTCATATTCACGTCGTCTTTGACGTCCGCGTCCTCGATCTAAATCTGTCTATTATCCGCATTTTACAACATTTCGCAACGAAACCTTGGAGTATTACTACTTTCGTGATGCTGTTTCAAGCTGTAATGAAATATTTGTTTATATAAAAATTTTAGTTCTAAGGTGAAAGGTCCATTCAAATTGGTAATTTTAACTATTCCATGTTTTTACAGTTTGTTTCTTTTACTTATCTAGGGACGAACGTTGTTGAACACAACTTTAACGTCCGGCGAATCCCCCATTTTTGGCGGCGCGTCGGGCGTCCAGAGTATTGGCCAGAGGATGTGGCATGGTAATCGCCATCAACAACAGCACAAAGTATAGTTGATACTATTAATATTTTCCCATAACATCATCGTTGCGCGTCTTTATGGTCGATTTAAGGCTCATTTATACGATGCGGCTAATCGTAGACGACTGTCATTCTGGCGTATGAAAAGCACTGCTGTATGACGCGCATGGTGTAAGTGTCGATATCAATGTGAACAATGTTGCCACAAATTTTGAGTAATTTAGAAGTTTCAAAGGCAACTGGAATGGATAACATACTTGGGGCCGGTTGTATAAAAAAGCGGTTGTGTAAGAAAGTAGCCAGATAATCAATATTTTCCTTGTTTTCGCATAACATCAGAAATTATTGAATGACGAAAATGAGTACGAGTATAAGCATATCACATAATATTACTATTCAGTTTCTTTATTAGGTGCTAATTCGTATCTTTCAACTATTTTAGCTTCATCGTGATGGTGGTAATGTTGGTGGTGATGATGGTGGTAATGATGGGGTGGTGATGGGGGTGGTCATGGTGGTGATGATGGTCATGGTGGTGGTGGTGGTGGTCGTGCTGGAGGTCCTGTTCGTCGTGTTCGTCATCTTCGTCGTTTTGTGGATCACCTTGTCCTCGGTCGAAATATTGAGGATGTTTTTGGCTGTGGGAATCATATTGGTGGTGATGGTCGTCGAAGAGATGCTGGTGGTGGTAATGGTGGCCGTGGCGGTAATAATGGTGGTGGTGGAAATGATGGTGGTTGTGGTTGAAGTGGCAAAGTCTGGTCGGTTTCGATGAAAGTGAATTCAAACAGCAAAAGACAAGCTTGACAGGCATCACGACAGTGGAGTTGATATGGTGGAAATGATGGTGGTGGAAATGATGGTGGTGAAGTGGGTGGTGGTGGTGATGGTGGAAATTATGGTGGTGATGGGGGTGGTGGTCGTGCTGGAGGTCCTGTTCACCGTCATCTTCGTCGTTTTGTGGATCATTATGGCCTCGGTCGTAATATTGAGGATGTTTCTGGTCGTGGTGGGAATCGTATTGGTGGTGATAATGTTGGTGATGGTCGTCGAGGAGATGCTAATGATGGTGGTGGTAATGATGGCGGTGGCGGTAATATACTTTGTGTCGTTTAGGTACACCTGTGTTAAAGACGCAAATACAGCATGCTGTGGAGCAAATTGTACGAGATTATTTGGGAGGAATCGAGCTGCAAGAAGAGGAACCCGGTAAATATAAATGAAAGGCCATTATAACGCTAAACAAGCGACTCTTAATACTTAATTGTGTTTAGGCTTACACAATATTTAATTTTACTGTATTATAATTTTATGTTAATTGTAACACAAAGGACCATATCAGCTCAACCAAACAACTAAGCAGCCAATATATCATAGATCGAACCACTTGAAATGATTAAATATCTACCTATATATGGCTACAACCCTGGACCTGTTTAAAAGTTAAACCACTATGATCAGAAAAATTTTGATCTGGCATTCTCAATTTCATTAATTAACAATTAATGTTGCAGTTGGAGAGAGAAACAGAATGCTCACAAAAGCGGAGTTGACGCGTATTATTATATCGTACGAAGAAGGAAGGAGGGTAAGGATAACTAATTCATTATTTAAAGCATGTTCTCATTCGTTTGTGTACTGAGAACTTGGATACCTAAATAACAGTGAAGTTATTCAATAAAACCCAGACATTAAAACCTAACCAATTAAAGCTTTCACGGAATGACGAAAATGAGTACGAGTATAAGCATATCACTTAATATTACTATTCAGTTTCTTTATTAGGTGCTAATTCGTATCTTTCAACTATTTTAGCTTCATCGTGATGGTGGTAATGTCGGTGGTGATGATGGTGGAAATGATGGTGGTGAAGTGGGTGGTGGTGATGATGGTAGAAATTATGGTGGTGATGGGGGTGGTGATGACGGTGATGGTGGTGATGGGGGTGGTGGTGGTCGTGCTGAAGGTCCTGTTCACCGTCATCTTCGTCGTTTTGTGGATCATTATGGCCTCGGTCGTAATATTGAGGATGTTTTTGGTCGTGGTGGGAATCGTATTGGTGGTGATGTTGGTGATGGTCGTCGAGGAGATGCTAATGATGGTGGTGGTAATAATGGCGATTTTAAAGTATTATAATTTTATGTTCATTAATTGTAACACGAAAGACCATACTAGCTCGATCAACCAAACAACTAATCAGCCAATCATTTGATAACGTTAAAGTGCTACATCGTGAATTGAAGCTGCTGGTGTTGGTCCTGTTCGTCGTGTTGGCCGTATTCGCGATGCTGCTGGTCTTGGTAGAGCTGTTCAGATGACGTTTTTGGTCGTGCTCAACTATTTCAGTTTCATGGCGGGTGGTAGTGGGCGATGGTGGTGCTGCTGGTGGCGGCCGCTGTGGTTGGTACGACAGTACGAGTATATATTTCGAGTTATTTCTTTTACGATACCCCTACGGTGTTTTAATTTTTTTAGGATGAATTTGATGTGGTATATCACTACCACAAAAAGAGGAATTTAGACGAAAAGATAAGTTGATTTAGCCTACATGTTTTATGGCTGGATGGATGTTCATTCAATTGGGTCTCTTGACCGGAGAGACCCGACGGTCCTGGCTTACTTAGACGGCCATGGCATATTGAAAGTGGCAGGTACGGTACATTTTATTTTAGAACAATAGGAAAGCGATAAAATTTCCACTCCGTTGCTCCATGTCCTTAACCGGCAAGACGTAAATGAAGTAGAATGGCTGCATGATTAAACGAGAGATATTGCTTCGCGTAATATTCCGAAACGCCGTTTTTATTGAATATATTAAATTAATTAAACTTAGTTTCACTTGATTGTTAACTAAAAAACAAAGATCCGACTGCAATTTACTTTTCCCAATGCTTAATACAGTTGCCAGCTGCTGCCTCTATATATTAACTGAAATTTATGTTTTCTATAGGTTACGGCATTTGGGTCTCTTCACCGGAGAGACCCGATGGTCCTAATTTATTTAGACGGCCATGGCGTGTTGAAAGTGGCAGGTACGGTACATTTTATTTTATTTTAGAACAATAGGAAAGCGATAAAATTTCCACTCCGTTGCTCCATGTCCTTAACCGGCAAGACGTAATCAAGTACAATGGCGTCATGATTAAACGAGAGATATTGCTTCGCGTAATATTCCGAAACGTCGTGTTTATTGAATATGTTAAATTAATTAAGCTTAGTTTCATTTGCTTGTAAATTAAAAAAAAACAAAGATCCGACTGCAAATTACTTTCCCAATACTTAATACAGTTACTGCCTCTATATATGAATAGCTAAAATTTATGTTCTCTAAAAGGTACATATACCAAAAATAATAGGGTAAATGGTACTTTAAATACGTTGTTAGTCTTATTTGCCGCATTATCATTTCATTTAGACAAAGAAAATCTGTATCAAGTCAGACCAATACGCCCCGGCGGTCATATGACCGCCCAACAGTTAGAAGCAGTACGGGAGGGAAGAATGAAATGCGCAGGCATGTGTTGCGCATGGTATTACCAAATTCACTTCTTGCAGGTAACAATATTTTTTCAAAGTAATCATGTGTAAACTGCCTGATGGAAAGGCGGTCTTATTTGTTACATTATCATTCCATTTAGAAGAAGAAAAAAGGACCTTTATCAACAAAAGGTAAATTGTTCCAAGTGCATGGACTCCTCAGAATGCCCAAGTAGAAGAAATTAGACTTTATAGACTGATGCCAAGTGCGCCCTGGCGGTCTTTTGACCGCCCAACAAATGGAAAATGGTACTTGAAACAAAATAATTTTTTAGTCTTATTTGCCGCGTTATTTCATTTAGATGAAGAAAATCTCTACCAGGTCAAGCCTGTGCGCCCGGGCGGTCGTTTGACTGCCCAACAATTGCAAAGTGTGCGGGACGGGCACATGATGTGCGCAGACATGCTCAAGCATGTGCTGCGCATGATATTGCCAAACACAATTCTTGCAGGTAACAACATTTTTTTTTAAAGTAACCATGTGTAAACTGTCAAATGCATGAGAGCCAGATATATTCCTGTGAAACGTACCCTAACTCATTAATCGTTAATCCTAACTTATGAATGCTAACACTTTAATCCCAAATCCTAGCTCATGTATGGATACGCCACGCCATTTTGACGTCATTTTCACGTCGTCTTTGACGTCCGCGTCCTCGATCTAAATCTGTCTATTATCCGCATTTTACAACATTTCGCAACGAAACCTTGGAGTATTACTACTTTCGTGATGCTGTTTCAAGCTGTAATGAAATATTTGTTTATATAAAAATTTTAGTTCTAAGGTGAAAGGTCCATTCAAATTGGTAATTTTAACTATTCCATGTTTTTACAGTTTGTTTCTTTTACTTATCTAGGGACGAACGTTGTTGAACACAACTTTAACGTCCGGCGAATCCCCCATTTTTGGCGGCGCGTCGGGCGTCCAGAGTATTGGTCAGAGGATGTGGCATGGTAATCGCCATCAACAACAGCACAAAGTATAGTCGATACTATTAATATTTTCCCATAACATCATCGTTGCGCGTCTTTATGGTCGATTTAAGGCTCATTTATACGATGCGGCTAATCGTAGACGACTGTCATTCTGGCGTATGAAAAGCACTGCTGTATGACGCGCATGGTGTAAGTGTCGATATCAATGTGAACAATGTTGCCACAAATTTTGAGTAATTTAGAAGTTTCAAAGGCAACTGGAATGGATAACATACTTGGGGCCGGTTGTATAAAAAAGCGGTTGTGTAAGAAAGTAGCCAGATAATCAATATTTTCCTTGTTTTCGCATAACATCAGAAATTATTGAATGACGAAAATGAGTACGAGTATAAGCATATCACATAATATTACTATTCAGTTTCTTTATTAGGTGCTAATTCGTATCTTTCAACTATTTTAGCTTCATCGTGATGGTGGTAATGTTGGTGGTGATGATGGTGGTAATGATGGGGTGGTGATGGGGGTGGTGATGGGGGTGATGATGGTCATGGTGGTGGTGGTCGTGCTGGAGGTCCTGTTCGTCGAGTTCGTCGTGTTCGTCATCTTCGTCGTTTTGTGGATCACCTTGTCCTCGGTCGAAATATTGAGGATGTTTTTGGCTGGGGGAATCATATTGGTGGTGATGGTCGTCGAAGAGATGCTGGTGGTGGTAATGGTGGCCGTGGCGGTAATAATGGTGGTGGTGGAAATGATGGTGGTTGTGGTTGAAGTGGCAAAGTCTGGTCGGTTTCGATGAAAGTGAATTCAAACAGCAAAAGACAAGCTTGACAGGCATCACGACAGTGGAGTTGATATGGTGGAAATGATGGTGGTGGAAATGATGGTGGTGAAGTGGGTGGTGGTGGTGATGGTGGAAATTATGGTGGTGATGGGGGTGGTGGTCGTGCTGGAGGTCCTGTTCACCGTCATCTTCGTCGTTTTGTGGATCATTATGGCCTCGGTCGTAATATTGAGGATGTTTTTGGTCGTGGTGGGAATCGTATTGGTGGTGATAATGTTGGTGATGGTCGTCGAGGAGATGCTAATGATGGTGGTGGTAATGATGGCGGTGGCGGTAATATACTTTGTGTCGTTTAGGTACACCTGTGTTAAAGACGCAAATACAGCATGCTGTGGAGCAAATTGTACGAGATTATTTGGGAGGAATCGAGCTGCAAGAAGAGGAACCCGGTAAATATAAATGAAAGGCCATTATAACGCTAAACAAGCGACTCTTAATACTTAATTGTGTTTAGGCTTACACAATATTTAATTTTACTGTATTATAATTTTATGTTAATTGTAACACAAAGGACCATATCAGCTCAACCAAACAACTAAGCAGCCAATATATCATAGATCGAACCACTTGAAATGATTAAATATCTACCTATATATGGCTACAACCCTGGACCTGTTTAAAAGTTAAACCACTATGATCAGAAAAATTTTGATCTGGGATTCTCAATTTCATTACTTAACAATTAATGTTGCAGTTAGAGAAAGAAACAGAATGCTGACCAAAGCGGAGCTTGCACGAATTATTATATCGTACGAAGAAGAAGGAAGGAGGGTAAGGATAACTAATTCATTATTTAAAGCATGTTCTCATTCGTTTGTGTACTGAGAACTTGGATATTTAAACAACAGTGAAGTTATTCAATAAAACCCAGACATTAAAACCAAACAATTAAAGCTTTCACGGAATGACGAAAATCAGTACGAGTATAAGCATATCACTTAATATTACTATTCAGTTTCTTTATTAGGTGCTAATTCGTATCTTTCAACTATTTTAGCTTCATCGTGATGGTGGTAATGTTGGTGGTGATGATGGTGGAAATGATGGTGGTGAAGTGGGTGGTGGTGATGATGGTGGAAATTATGGTGGTGATGGGGGTGGTGATGGCGGTGGTGGTGATGATGGTGGTGATGGGGGTGGTGGTCATGGTGGTGATGGGGGTGGTGGTGCTGCTGGTCATGGTGGTGGTGGTGGTGGTGGTGGTGGTGGTGGTCGTGCTGAAGGTCCTGTTCACAGTCATCTTCGTCGTTTTGTGGATCATTATGGCCTCGGTCGTAATATTGAGGATGTTTTTGGTCGTGGTGGGAATTGTATTGGTGGTGATAATGTTGGTGATGGTCGTCGAGGAGATGCTAATGATGGTGGTGGTAATGATGGAGATTTAAAAGTATTATAATTTTATGTTCATTAATTGTAACACGAAAGACCATACTAGCTCGATCAACCAAACAACTAATCAGCCAATCATTTGATAACGTTAAGGTGCTACATCGTGAATTGAAGCTGCCGGTGTTGGTCCTGTTCGTCGTGTTGGCCGTATTCGTGATGCTGCTCGTCTTGGTAGAGCTGTTCAGATGACGTTTTTGGTCGTGCTCAACTATTTCAGTTTCATGGCGGGTGGTAGTGGGCGATGGTGGTGCTGCGGGCGGCGGCCGCTGTGGTTGGTACGACAGTACGAGTATATATTTCTAGTTATTTCTATACCACAAAGAGGAATTTAGACGAAAAGGTAAGTTGATTTAGCCTACATGTTTTATGGCTGGATGGATGTTCATTCAATTGGGTCTCTTGACCGGAGAGACCCGATGGTCCTGGCTTACTTAGACGGCCATGGCATATTGAAAGTGGCAGGTACGGTACATTTTATTTTAGAACAATAGGAAAGCGATAAAATTTCCACTCCGTTGCCCCATGTCCTTAACCGGCAAAACGTAATGAAGTACAATGGCGTCATGATTAAACGAGTGATATTGCTTCGCGTAATATTCCGAAAAGCAGTTTTTATTGAATATGTTAAATTAATTCAACTTAGTTTCACTTGATTGTTAACTAAAAAACAAAGATCCGACTGCAATTTACTTTTCCCAATGCTTAATACAGTTGCTAGCTGCTGCCTCTATGTATTAACAACTAAAATTTATGTTTTCTATAGGTTACAGCATTTGGGTACTTAATTTTACTGTATTATAATTTTATGTATTATTTAACACGAGTAGGAGTGTTTTATCAGATATAACTTTAAATATAAATTTTGTTGCACATAACACTGATTCCTCATTCCTCCACAGCCGACAGCCAAAACACTATACCCGAACTATTTTTCAATTCATCTAAAACACGCAGCAAGCAATTTTTGCTGTCAAAACTTGATTATTATTTTAACAACGGGCCGCAATACTACATAATAGTACATATACCAAAAATAATAGTTGAGTAAATGGTACTGTAAACAAAAGAATTTTTTAGTCTTATTTGCCGCATTATCATTTCATTTAGAAGAAGAAGTTTATAATCCATACCAGGTGGCGCCAGTGCGCCCGGGCGGCCTGCTAACCAATGAGGAATTTCAAGAGGTCCGGGCGGGAAATTGGACATATGCGGAACCATGCGCAATCATGTGTTGCGCATGATTCTTCCCAATACTATTCTTGCAGGTAACAATCTTTTTTCAAAGTAAGTTTTTCTAACTCCTTAATCCGTTGTCCTTGCCGCCTAATAGGCTCTGACGGGAAGGCGGTCTTATTTGTTACATTATCATTCCATTTAGAAGAAGAAAAAAGGACCTTTATCAACAAAAGGTAAATTGTTCCAAGTGCATGGACTCCTCAGAATGCCCAAGTAGAAGAAATTAGACTTTATAGACTGATGCCAAGTGCGCCCTGGCGGTCTTTTGACCGCCCAACAAATGGAAAATGTCTTGTCCTACATGCTTTTGGCAGGAACAAACATGGAACATAAGTATAATGTGAGAAGAATCCCAAATTTTTGGAGGCGTGTTGGGCGACCTGGATATTGGCTGAAGGATGTGGCATGGCAATCACCATCAGTTAAAGCACAAAGTGTAGTCAGATAATAAATAGTTTTCTTGTTTTCGCATAACATCATTTCCTGACTGCGTCCATTTTGCGCATCTTTTTGGTTGAATTAAGGCTTATTTACACGATGCGGCTAATCGTAAATGATCGTCATTCTGGTACAAGAAAACGACTACAGACGAACAAATGGCGATTTAGCTGCATATGAACGCAACAAGCAACTTTGGCTGCCAAAAATTGATTATCATTTTAACAAAGGACTCAATACAACATATATAAAAATAATAGAGTTAGGGTAAATGGTACTTGAAACAAAATAATTTTTTAGTCTTATTTGCCGCGTTATTTCATTTAGAAGAAGAAAATCTATACCAGGTCAAGCCAGTGCGCCCGGGCGGTCGTTTGACCGCCCAACAACTACAAAGTGTGTGGGACGGGCACATGAAGTGCGCAGACATGCTCAAGCATGTGCTGCGCATGATATTGCCAAACACAATTCTTGCAGGTAACAACATTTTTTTTAAAGTAACCATGTGTAAACTGTCAAATGCATGAGAGCCAGATATATTCCTGTGAAACGTACCCTAACTCATTAATCGTTAATCCTAACTTATGAATGCTAACACTTTAATTCCAAATCCTAGCTCATGTATGGATACGCCACGCCATTTTGACGTCATTTTCACGTCGTCTTTGACGTCCGCGTCCTCGATCTAAATCTGTCTATTATCCGCATTTTACAACATTTCGCAACGAAACCTTGGAATATTACTACTTTCGTGATGCTCTTTCAAGCTGTAATGAAATATTTGTCTATATCAAAATTTTAGTTATAAGGGGAAAGGTCCATTCAAATTTGGTAATTTTAACTATTCCATGTTTTTACAGTTTGTTTCTTTTACTTATCTAGGGACGAACGTGGAACACAATTTTGACGTCCGGCGCATCCCCCATTTTTGGCGGCGCGTTGGGCGTCCAGAGTATTGGCCAGAGGATGTGGCATGGCAATCGCCATCAACAACAGCACGAAGTATAGTCGATAATTAATATTTTCCCATAACATCATATGTTGCTGCGCACGATATTGCCTAATGCACTTCTTGCAGGTAACAATATTTTTTTCAAAGTAACCATGTGTAAACTGCCTGATGGGAAGGCAGACATATTTTTGAGAACCCCCCAGCTCCCAGCCCCCGCTCCAGCGGTCTTTTTTGCTACATTATCATCCATTTAGATGAAGAAAAGAAGACCTTTATCAACTAAAGGTAAATTGTCCCAGGTGCACAGACTCATGATGAGTTTGATGTTTTGTAAAAGCATTTTAATTGTTTCTGTATTCTAAGAATGCCAAATATACATTGTGTTTTTACTTGTTTTTGTGTCGTTTAGACACGCCTGGTTGAAAGGCAAGGGTACGGCCTGCTGTCAAACCACTGTTCAGACATTTTATGGTAGAGATCGAGCAGTAGGAAGGGGAAAACAAAAAAAAAATAAAATAAAAATATATATGAAAGGCCATTAACGTTAAGCAAGTGACTGTTAATACTTAATTGTGTTTAAGCTTACACTACTTAATTTTACTGTATTATAATTTTATGTACTATTTAACACGAGTAGGAGTGTTTTATCAGATATAACTTTAAATATAAATTTTGTTGCACATAACACTGATTCCTCATTCCTCCACAGCCGACAGCAAAAACACTATACCCGAACTATTTTTCAATTCATCTAAAACACGCAGCAAGCAATTTTTGCTGTCAAAACTTGATTATTATTTTAACAACGGGCCGCAATACTACATAACAGTACATATACCAAAAATAATAGTTGAGTAAATGGTACTGTAAACAAAAGAATTTTTTAGTCTTATTTGCCGCATTATTATTTCATTTAGAAGAAGAAGTTTATAATCCATACCAGGTGGCGCCAGTGCGCCCGGGCGGCCTGCTAACCAATGAGGAATTTCAAGAGGTCCGGGCGGGAAATTGGACATGCGGAACCATGCGCAGTCATGTGTTGCGCATGATTCTTCCCAATACTATTCTTGCAGGTAACAATCTTTTTTCAAAGTAAGTTTTTCTAACTCCTTAATCCGTTGTCCTTGTCGCCTAATAGGCTCTGCCACCACATGCAGCGGCTAGGGTGCTTAGTCTCGGGTTTGTACTGATGTCACCAGCTAGTAAAACCATGATGCACGGAATAAAACGTTTACAACCTCCATTCCCTGCGACTGTCTTGAACGTCAGTGATGGTGGTAACGTGCGATCGACGAGACAAGCCAAATTTCGACCAGGAAACGGTTTCATATCCTCTTCACCTCTGACAAGCAGGGAAGAACCCTTTAGAACATTGCCAGTTGGTTTATAAAAAGTGCGAGATAGACAGCGGCAGATAAAAAAAGGTGTAGAACACCAAAAGACACATCAAAACTGCATGATTATAGAAGTCCCTTAAAAGCAGAGGCCAATAAAAGGAAGCGGCAGGCAAGTGGATCGACGAATTCAAAGTCAACATCAAACGATTGTGTTGCGAGATGTTGTTACTACCATCATGAGTCGAGTTGTCAGGATAGTTGTAGGCGGGTTAATTAGAGGTTAATGAACATGAATTGGATGTTTTGTAAGGGCCTTTTAATTGTTTCTGTATTCTAGGAATGTCAAATACACTTTGTGTTTTTACTTGTTTTTGTGTCGTTTAGGCACGCCTGGTTTAAAGGCAAATGTGCTTCCTGCTGTTGAGCCAATTTTCCAAGAATTTGTGGAAGAGATCGAGCAGCAGGAAGTGCAGGACGGTGAATATATATAAAAGTCCATTATAATGCTAAACAAGTGACTGTTAATTATTAATTGTGTTTCAGCTTACACAATATTTAATTTTACTGTATTATAATTTTATATTAATTGTAACACAAGAGACCATATCAGCTCAACCAAACAACTAATCAGCCAATCATTTGATATCGTTAAAGTGCTACAGTAACTCTAAATATAAATTTACAATTATAATATTTCAAAGTAACCATGTGTATACTGCCTGATGGGAGTGCAAACACATTTCTGTAACCCCCCCCCCCCCCAGCTACCAGTCCACGCTCTATTTTTCTCAAAAATGTTGGCGAGCGAGAAGAGAATCTGTACTAAAACCACTAATTCTGTTTTGTGATAGACGGATGTTGTGCTGTTGTTACTACCATCATGAGTTGAGTTGGCAGTAATAGTTGTGGGCGGGATAGAGGTTAATGAACATGAATTGGGTGTTTTGTAAAGGCCATGGTTACACGGTGCAATTTTGCTTGCAACTTGCAATGCAATTCTACTCTTGAGAGATGTCAATTAGTGAAATCAGTGAAGAATTTTCGATATGTTGAGAAAACATCAGTGGAGTGTAATGAAGGCTCGTATTTGGTAATTTTACATTGTTTATTCTAGGAATGTCAAATATACTTTGTGTCGTTTAGGTACACCTGTGTTAAAGACACATATACAGGATGCTGTTGTGCACATTGTACAAGAATATTTAAGAGGAATCGAGCTGCGAGAAGAGGAACCCGGTAAATATATATGAAAGGCCATTATAACGCTAAACAAGTGACTGTTAATACTTAATTGTGTTTAAGCTTACACAATATTTAATTTTACTGTATTATAATTTTATATTAATTGTAACACAAAAGACCATATCAGCTCAAGGCTCAAGAAGATTTATATCGGGTAATTGAGCCCTGTCGGTCTAACTATATGCATGTCCTGATGAGAGGCAGATAATCGGCCTCGTGGTTCTGGCCATGCTGTTGGAGAGTTTACTGATGTTGATAAAAAATATCTACAATGGTACTGTAAACAAAAGAATTTTTTAGTCTTATTTGCCGCATTATCATTTCATTTAGAAGAAGAAGTTTATAATCCATACCAGGTGGCGCCAGTGCGCCCGGGCGGCCTGCTAACCAATGAGGAATTTCAAGAGGTCCGGGCGGGAAATTGGACATGCGGAACCATGCGCAATCATGTGTTGCGCATGATTCTTCCCAATACTATTCTTGCAGGTAACAATCTTTTTTCAAAGTAAGTTTTTCTAACTCCTTAATCCGTTGTCCTTGTCGCCTAATAGGCTCTGCCACCACATGCAGCGGCTAGGGTGCTTAGTCTCGGGTTTGTACTGATGTCACCAGCTAGTAAAACCATGATGCACGGAATAAAACGTTTACAACCTCCATTCCCTGCGACTGTCTTGAACGTCAGTGATGGTGGTAACGTGCGATCGACGAGACAAGCCAAATTTCGACCAGGAAACGGTTTCATATCCTCTTCACCTCTGACAAGCAGGGAAGAACCCTTTAGAACATTGCCAGTTGGTTTATAAAAAGTGCGAGATAGACAGCGGCAGATAAAAAAGGTGTAGAACACCAAAAGACACGTCAAAACTGCATGATTATAGAAGTCCCTTAAAAGCAGAGGCCAATAAAAGGAAGCGGCAGGCAAGTGGATCGACGAATTCAAAGTCAACATCAAACGATTGTGTTGCGAGATGTTGTTACTACCATCATGAGTCGAGTTGTCAGGATAGTTGTAGGCGGGTTAATTAGAGGTTAATGAACATGAATTGGATGTTTTGTAAGGGCCTTTTAATTGTTTCTGTATTCTAGGAATGTCAAATACACTTTGTGTTTTTACTTGTTTTTGTGTCGTTTAGGCACGCCTGGTTTAAAGGCAAATGTGCTTCCTGCTGTTGAGCCAATTTTCCAAGAATTTGTGGAAGAGATCGAGCAGCAGGAAGTGCAGGACGGTGAATATATATAAAAGCCCATTATAATGCTAAACAAGTGACTGTTAATTATTAATTGTGTTTCAGCTTACACAATATTTAATTTTACTGTATTATAATTTTATATTAATTGTAACACAAGAGACCATATCAGCTCAACCAAACAACTAATCAGCCAATCATTTGATATCGTTAAAGTGCTACAGTAACTCTAAATATAAATTTACAATTATAATATTTCAAAGTAACCATGTGTATACTGCCTGATGGGAGTGCAAACACATTTCTGTAACCCCCCCCCCCCCCAGCTACCAGTCCACGCTCTATTTTTCTCAAAAATGTTGGCGAGCGAGAAGAGAATCTGTACTAAAACCACTAATTCTGTTTTGTGATAGACGGATGTTGTGCTGTTGTTACTACCATCATGAGTTGAGTTGGCAGTAATAGTTGTGGGCGGGATAGAGGTTAATGAACATGAATTGGGTGTTTTGTAAAGGCCATGGTTACACGGTGCAATTTTGCTTGCAACTTGCAATGCAATTCTACTCTTGAGAGATGTCAATTAGTGAAATCAGTGAAGAATTTTCGATATGTTGAGAAAACATCAGTGGAGTGTAATGAAGGCTCGTATTTGGTAATTTTACATTGTTTATTCTAGGAATGTCAAATATACTTTGTGTCGTTTAGGTACACCTGTGTTAAAGACACATATACAGGATGCTGTTGTGCACATTGTACAAGAATATTTAAGAGGAATCGAGCTGCGAGAAGAGGAACCCGGTAAATATATATGAAAGGCCATTATAACGCTAAACAAGTGACTGTTAATACTTAATTGTGTTTAAGCTTACACAATATTTAATTTTACTGTATTATAATTTTATATTAATTGTAACACAAAAGACCATATCAGCTCAAGGCTCAAGAAGATTTATATCGGGTAATTGAGCCCTGTCGGTCTAACTATATGCATGTCCTGATGAGAGGCAGATAATCGGCCTCGTGGTTCTGGCCATGCTGTTGGAGAGTTTACTGATGTTGATAAAAAATATCTACAATGGTACTGTAAACAAAATAATTTTTTAGTCTTATTTGCCGCATTATCATTTCATTTAGAAGAAGAAGTTTATAATCCATACCAGGTGGCGCCAGTGCGCCCGGGCGGCCTGCTAACCAATGAGGAATTTCAAGAGGTCCGGGCGGGAAATTGGACATGCGGAACCATGCGCAGTCATGTGTTGCGCATGATTCTTCCCAATACTATTCTTGCAGGTAACAATCTTTTTTCAAAGTAAGTTTTTCTAACTCCTTAATCCGTTGTCCTTGTCGCCTAATAGGCTCTGCCACCACATGCAGCGGCTAGGGTGCTTAGTCTCGGGTTTGTACTGATGTCACCAGCTAGTAAAACCATGATGCACGGAATAAAACGTTTACAACCTCCATTCCCTGCGACTGTCTTGAACGTCAGTGATGGTGGTAACGTGCGATCGACGAGACAAGCCAAATTTCGACCAGGAAACGGTTTCATATCCTCTTCACCTCTGACAAGCAGGGAAGAACCCTTTAGAACATTGCCAGTTGGTTTATAAAAAGTGCGAGATAGACAGCGGCAGATAAAAAAGGTGTAGAACACCAAAAGACACGTCAAAACTGCATCATTATAGAAGTCCCTTAAAAGCAGAGGCCAATAAAAGGAAGCGGCAGGCAAGTGGATCGACGAATTCAAAATCAACATCAAACGATTGTGTTGCGAGATGTTGTTACTACCATCATGAGTCGAGTTGTCAGGATAGTTGTAGGCGGGTTAATTAGAGGTTAATGAACATGAATTGGATGTTTTGTAAGGGCCTTTTAATTGTTTCTGTATTCTAGGAATGTCAAATATACTTTGTGTTTTTACTTGTTTTTGTGTTGTTTAGGCACGCCTGGTTTATGTTTTCTATAGGTTACGGTATTTGGTTCTCTTGACCGGAGAGACCCGATGATCCTGGCTTACTTAGATAGCCATGGCGTTTGAAAGTGGCAGTTACGGTACATTTTATTTTAGAACAATAGGAAAGCGATACAATTAATTCCACTCCGTTGCTCCATGTCCTTAACCGGCAAAACGTAAATGAAGTAGAATGGCTGCATGATTAAACGAGTGATATTCCTTCGAAGTAATATTCCGAAACGTCGTGTTTATTGAGTATGTTCTTAAATTAATTAAGCTTAGTTTCATTTGCTTGTAAATAAAAAAAAAAACAAAGATCCGACTGCAAATTACTTTCCCAATACTTAATACAGTTACTGCCTCTATATATGAATAGCTAAAATTTATGTTCTCTAAAAGGTACATATACCAAAAATAATAGGGTAAATGGTACTTTAAATACGTTGTTAGTCTTATTTGCCGCATTGTCATTTCATTTAGACAGAGAAAATCTGTATCAAGTCAGACCAATACGCCCCGGCGGTCTTATGACCGCCCAAAGTTAGAAGCAGTACGGGAGGGAAGAATGAAATGCGCAGGCATGTGTTGCGCATGGTATTACCACATTCACTTCTTGCAGGTAACAATATTTTTTTCGAAGTACCCATGTGTAAACTGCCAAGTGAGAGCCAGATTATATTCCTGTGAATATATGCAAGCATGTGTTGCGCATAATTTTGCCAAATGCACTTCTCGCAGGTAACAATATTTTTTCAAAGTAATCATGTGTAAACTGCCTGATGGGAAGGCGGTCTTATTTGTTACATTATCATTCCATTCAGAAGAAAAAAGGACAGAAATTATTTTTTCAACGTAATCATGTGTTTTCTGTCTGATGGGAAGCAGATATACTAATGTGAAACTCAGCAGCTACCGCCCTGCTCCAGCGGTGTTATTTGTTGCATTATCATTCCATTAACATGAAGAAAAAAAGGACCTTTATCAACAAAGGTAAATTGTCCCAAGTGCATGGCCTTCTCACCAAGGCACAAGTGGAAGAAATTAGAGCTGACTTGGGAGTGTACAAAGATGTGGATGTGTAGGTTAATGAACATGAATTGGGTGTTTTGTAAAAGCATTTTAATTGTTTCTGTATTCTAGAAATGTCAAATATACTTTGTGTTTTTACTTGTTTTTGTGTCGTTTGTTTAGGCACGCCTGGTTTGAATACCAGGGTACGGCCAGCAATTGAGCCGTTGTTCAGGCGCTTCACTGAAGAGATCGAGCAGCAGGAAGTGGAGGACGGTAAATATGTATGAAAGTCCATTATAACGCTAAACAAGTGACTGTTAATAATTGTGTTTAAGCTTACACGATATTGCAATAGTAATATAAAGTGCATGGACTCCTCAGAATGCCCAAGTAGAAGAAATTAGACTTTATAGACTAATGCCAAGTGCGCCCTGGCGGTCTTTTGATCGCCCAACAAATGGCGAATATCTTCCTTGGAAAATGGAAGAAATTAGAGTTGAGTTGGAAGTGTACAAAGATGTGGATGTGTAAGTTAATGAACATGAATTGGGTGTTTTGTAAAAGCATTTTAATTGTTTCTGTATTCTATATACATTGTGTTTTTACTTGTTTTTGTGTCGTTTAGACACGCCTGGTTTAAAGGACCGGATACGGACTGCGATCGCTGAGATCGTCAATGAATTTTTGGAAGAAGATGAAAACGATATTGTTCTTGGTAATTATATATATGAAAGTCCATTATAACGCTAAACAAGTGACTGTTAATACTTGTGTTTATATGCATACATGATATTTAATTTTAAAGTATAATTTTATATTAATTAATCGTAACACATGCAGAAGAACATACTATAGCTCAACCAAACAAGTAGCCTAATCATTTGATATTGTTAAAATGCTACGGTAACTCTAAATATGAATTTTGGTACCCGTAACACTGATTCCCCTCCACTTAAAGATGAACTATTTTCCCATTTATCTAAAACACAGCTGAATAAGCAACTTTGGCTGCCAGCGGTCTTATTTGTTGCATTATCATTTTATTTGGAAGAAAAAAAGGACCTTTATCAACAAAAGGTAGTAAATTGTCCCAAATGCATCGACTCCTCACAATGCGCAACTGGAAGAAATTAGACTTTATTGACTGACTGATGCCGAGTGCGCCCTGCATGGCAGTCTTTTGACCGCGCAACACATGGAAAATGTCTTGCCATGCAACATGCTTTTGGCAGGAACAAATATGGAACATAAATTTGACGTCCGATAATGGGCGACCTGAATATTGGCCAATGATGTGGCATGCCAATTACCATCGGGCTGAGCCCTCGCGTACGTGGCGGGCCCAAACCCGCTAAAGTAGGTCTGCATAACAGACTAGCTAATGTATAGCCATTAATCAATATTTTGACTGATAACATTTCCTGCCTGCGTCCATGTTGCGCGTCTAATTGATGGTTGACTCAAGGCTCATTTACACGATGTGGTTAATCGTTAAATGATCGTCATTCTAGCATATAAAAACGACTGCAGACGAACAAATGGCGATTTAGCTGTATATATGAAAGCAACAAGCAACTTTGGCGGCCAAATACTGATTATGATTTTAACAAAGGCCCCGATACTACATATACCAAAAGTAATAGGGTAAATGGTACTTGATACAAAAGATTTTTTAGTTTTTGTTGCAAGCCATTATATGGCCTGCAACTATCATATACTTGAAATATTTCCTGTCCTGTCCACTTTTACGTGCAGTTACGATTTTGTATCGACCAATAGGGCGATGGCCGACAGATCACGGAAATAAGCCGAAGCTGATTGCTGTATTTAAATTTAGTCATGACTCACAGCAGCTAGAGAGAAAGTCGAGTAGCTAATGTTCTCTCCGCCTGTGCGGGCAAAGCGACTGCAATGGAAAACAGTCTATACACCTCCCCCTCCCCCTGGAGAAACTCCTGCGGACGGCCTTGCATGTTCATTAAGGATTCACAACCATACAAGAGTGAGAAGATTAGGGGCCATTTGATTGAAGTTGTTCGCATACAATTGTAAACCCTGGGATGGCCACCACGCTGTCAGCAATTGAGTCTTAATCAGCCAAATTTCAGTAATAAATGCCAGGCTATTATTTGGTTACGGAAAATAATCTCTTGGATTTTGTCAACTTTGGGGACGAGGGACATACAGTTGCTGCCTGTATATAATATAGCAGCTAAAATAATAAAATGTATCTTTTCTATATAGGTTAGGAGATATGGTCTCAGTCAACGTGATCCCATGATATTAATTTATTTGGATGGGCATGGCGTGCTTAAAGTAGCAGGTAAATTTCATATTATTTATATTTATTAGAATATTTATTAGTATTTTTGCACAAGTGAACATATTAAAATATTAAATCCTACAACCTGATTGGTCAAATTTGACTTATTAAGCTGTCAGGCCGTGAATATAACAAAACTGAAATTTTCAAAATGGCGGCTAGCCGTTTTGTGGAAGTTTACTGATAAAGAAATAAGCGAAATTAAAATAAACTCAGTATATACCAAATAACACAAAAATACTAAAACAATTATTCGCCTCGTACTCTGATTATCAGGGAATATTCACCTCGACTTCGGCGAATAATTATTAAATATGATCTGTAATTGACCTCCAAGGGACTCATTATTTATTGTACAGGGGGAGACTGAGAAGAAACTCTACAGCTATAATATTTTTTGTTGGCCCCCTCTTGAGACAAGTAAAGCTCCCCCCCCCAAACAGGCAAAACAAGAACATAAATTTCGGTCCCCCCTCTAGCTCTTTATCTTTATTTAGAGAAACAAAAATAGATAATGGGGACCAATAGACAATTCCCATTCTAGACTAATTTTATGTGATGTGTAGGTTAATGAACATGAATTGGGTGTTTTGTAAAAGCATTTTAATTGTTTCTGTATTCTATATACATTGTGTTTTTACTTGTTTTTGTGTCGTTTAGACACGCCTGGTTTAAAGGACCGGATACGGACTGCGATCGCTGAGATGGTCAAGGAATTTTTGGAAGAAGATGAAAACGACATTGTTCTTGGTAATTATATATATGAAAGTCCATTATAACGCTAAACAAGTGACTGTTAATACTTGTGTTTATATGCATACATGATATTTAATTTTAAAGTATAATTTTATATTAATTAATCGTAACACATGCAGAAGACCATACTATAGCTCAACCAAACAAGTAGCCTAATCATTTGATATTGTTAAAATGCTACAGTAACTCTAAATATGAATTTTGGTACCCGTAACACTGATTCCCCTCCACTTAAAGATGAACTATTTTCCCATTTATCTAAAACACAGCTGAATAAGCAACTTTGGCTGCCAAAAATTGATTATCATTTTAACAACGGGCCGCAATGCTATACACATACCAAAAGCGGTCTTATTTGTTGCATTATCATTTTATTTGGAAGAAAAAAAAACCCTTTATCAACAAAAGGTAGTAAATTGTCCCAAATGCATCGACTCCTCACAATGCGCAACTGGAAGAAATTAGACTTTATTGACTGACTGATGCCGAGTGCGCCCTGCATGGCAGTCTTTTGACCGCGCAACACATGGAAAATGTCTTGCCATGCAACATGCTTTTGGCAGGAACAAATATGGAACATAAATTTGACGTCCGATAATGGGCGACCTGAATATTGGCCAATGATGTGGCATGCCAATTACCATCGGGCTGAGCCCTCGCGTACGTGGCGGGCCCAAACCCGCTAAAGTAGGTCTGCATAACAGACTAGCTAATGTATAGCCATTAATCAATATTTTGACTGATAACATTTCCTGCCTGCGTCCATGTTGCGCGTCTAATTGATGGTTGACTCAAGGCTCATTTACACGATGTGGCTAATCGTTAAATGATCGTCATTCAAGCATATAAAAACGACTGCAGACGAACAAATGGCGATTTAGCTGTATATATGAAAGCAACAAGCAACTTTGGCGGCCAAATACTGATTATGATTTTAACAAAGGCCCCGATACTACATATACCAAAAGTAATAGGGTAAATGGTACTTGATACAAAAGATTTTTTTGTTTTTGTTGCAAGCCATTATATGGCCTGCAACTATCATATACTTGAAATATTTCCTGTCCTGTCCACTTTTACGTGCAGTTACGATTTTGTATCGACCAATAGGGCGATGGCCGACAGATCACGGAAATAAGCCGAAGCTGATTACTGTATTTAAATTTAGTCATGACTCACAGCAGCTAGAGAGAAAGTCGAGTAGCTAATGTTCTCTCCGCCTGTGCGGGCAAAGCGACTGCAATGGAAAACAGTCTATACACCTCCCCCTCCCCCTGGAGAAACTCCTGCGGACGGCCTTGCATGTTCATTAAGGATTCACAACCATACAAGAGTGAGAAGATTAGGGGCCATTTGATTGAAGTTGTTCGCATACAATTGTAAACCCTGGGATGGCCACCACGCTGTCAGCAATTGAGTCTTAATCAGCCAAATTTCAGTAATAAATGCCAGGCTATTATTTGGTTACGGAAAATAATCTCTTGGATTTTGTCAACTTTGGGGACGAGGGACATACAGTTGCTGCCTGTATATAATATAGCAGCTAAAATAATAAAATGTATCTTTTCTATATAGGTTAGGAGATATGGTCTCAGTCAACGTGATCCCATGATATTAATTTATTTGGATGGGCATGGCGTGCTTAAAGTAGCAGGTAAATTTCATATTATTTATATTTATTAGAATATTTATTAGTATTTTGCACAAGTGAACATATTAAAATATTAAATCCTACAACCTGATTGGTCAAATTTGACTTATTAAGCTGTCAGGCCGTGAATATAACAAAACTGAAATTTTCAAAATGGCGGCTAGCCGTTTTGTGGAAGTTTACTGATAAAGAAATAAGCGAAATTAAAATAAACTCAGTATATACCAAATAACACAAAAATACTAAAACAATTATTCGCCTCGTACTCTGATTATCAGGGAATATTCACCTCGACTTCGGCGAATAATTATTAAATATGATCTGTAATTGACCTCTAAGGGACTCATTATTTATTGTACAGGGGGAGACTGAGAAGAAACTCTACAGCTATAATATTTTTTGTTGGCCCCCTCTTGAGACAAGTAAAGCTCCCCCCCCAAACAGGCAAAACAAGAACATAAATTTCGGTCCCCCCTCTAGCTCTTTATCTTTATTTAGAGAAACAAAAATAGATAATGGGGACCAATAGACAATTCCCATTCTAGACTAATTTTATGTGATGTGTAGGTTAATGAACATGAATTGGGTGTTTTGTAAAAGCATTTTAATTGTTTCTGTATTCTATATACATTGTGTTTTTACTTGTTTTTGTGTCGTTTAGACACGCCTGGTTTAAAGGACCGGATACGGACTGCGATCGCTGAGATGGTCAAGGAATTTTTGGAAGAAGATGAAAACGACATTGTTCTTGGTAATTATATATATGAAAGTCCATTATAACGCTAAACAAGTGACTGTTAATACTTGTGTTTATATGCATACATGATATTTAATTTTAAAGTATAATTTTATATTAATTAATCGTAACACATGCAGAAGACCATACTATAGCTCAACCAAACAAGTAGCCTAATCATTTGATATTGTTAAAATGCTACAGTAACTCTAAATATGAATTTTGGTACCTGTAAACATGAATATATATATATAAATACCTAATATATTTAGTGTTTTTACTTGTTTGTGTGTCGTTTAGGTACGCCAGGTTTAAAGGATAGGATACAGCCTGCGATCGCTGAGATCGTCAAGGCATTTTTGGAAGAAGATGAAAACGATATTGTTCTTGGTAATTATATATATGAAAGTCCATTATAACGCTAAACAAGTGACTGTTAATACTTGTGTTTATATGCATACATGATATTTAATTTTAAAGTATAATTTTATATTAATTAATCGTAACACATGCAGAAGACCATACTATAGCTCAACCAAACAAGTAGCCTAATCATTTGATATTGTTAAAATGCTACAGTAACTCTAAATATGAATTTTGGTACCCGTAACACTGATTCCCCTCCACTTAAAGATGAACTATTTTCCCATTTATCTAAAACACAGCTGAATAAGCAACTTTGGCTGCCAAAAATTGATTATCATTTTAACAACGGGCCGCAATGCTATACACATACCAAAAGCGGTCTTATTTGTTGCATTATCATTTTATTTGGAAGAAAAAAAAACCCTTTATCAACAAAAGGTAGTAAATTGTCCCAAATGCATCGACTCCTCACAATGCGCAACTGGAAGAAATTAGACTTTATTGACTGACTGATGCCGAGTGCGCCCTGCATGGTAGTCTTTTGACCGCGCAACACATGGAAAATGTCTTGCCATGCAACATGCTTTTGGCAGGAACAAATATGGAACATAAATTTGACGTCCGATAATGGGCGACCTGAATATTGGCCAATGATGTGACATGCCAATTACCATCGGGCTGAGCCCTCGCGTACGTGGCGGGCCCAAACCCGCTAAAGTAGGTCTGCATAACAGACTAGCTAATGTATAGCCATTAATCAATATTTTGACTGATAACATTTCCTGCCTGCGTCCATGTTGCGCGTCTAATTGATGGTTGACTCAAGGCTCATTTACACGATGTGGCTAATCGTTAAATGATCGTCATTCAAGCATATAAAAACGACTGCAGACGAACAAATGGCGATTTAGCTGTATATATGAAAGCAACAAGCAACTTTGGCGGCCAAATACTGATTATGATTTTAACAAAGGCCCCGATACTACATATACCAAAAGTAATAGGGTAAATGGTACTTGATACAAAAGATTTTTTAGTTTTTGTTGCAAGCCATTATATGGCCTGCAACTATCATATACTTGAAATATTTCCTGTCCTGTCCACTTTTACGTGCAGTTACGATTTTGTATCGACCAATAGGGCGATGGCCGACAGATCACGGAAATAAGCCGAAGCTGATTGCTGTATTTAAATTTAGTCATGACTCACAGCAGCTAGAGAGAAAGTCGAGTAGCTAATGTTCTCTCCGCCTGTGCGGGCAAAGCGACTGCAATGGAAAACAGTCTATACACCTCCCCCTCCCCCTGGAGAAACTCCTGCGGACGGCCTTGCATGTTCATTAAGGATTCACAACCATACAAGAGTGAGAAGATTAGGGGCCATTTGATTGAAGTTGTTCGCATACAATTGTAAACCCTGGGATGGCCACCACGCTGTCAGCAATTGAGTCTTAATCAGCCAAATTTCAGTAATAAATGCCAGGCTATTATTTGGTTACGGAAAATAATCTCTTGGATTTTGTCAACTTTGGGGACGAGGGACATACAGTTGCTGCCTGTATATAATATAGCAGCTAAAATAATAAAATGTATCTTTTCTATATAGGTTAGGAGATATGGTCTCAGTCAACGTGATCCCATGATATTAATTTATTTGGATGGGCATGGCGTGCTTAAAGTAGCAGGTAAATTTCATATTATTTATATTTATTAGAATATTTATTAGTATTTTGCACAAGTGAACATATTAAAATATTAAATCCTACAACCTGATTGGTCAAATTTGACTTATTAAGCTGTCAGGCCGTGAATATAACAAAACTGAAATTTTCAAAATGGCGGCTAGCCGTTTTGTGGAAGTTTACTGATAAAGAAATAAGCGAAATTAAAATAAACTCAGTATATACCAAATAACACAAAAATACTAAAACAATTATTCGCCTCGTACTCTGATTATCAGGGAATATTCACCTCGACTTCGGCGAATAATTATTAAATATGATCTGTAATTGACCTTAGAGAAACAAAAATAGATAATGGGGACCAATAGACAATTCCCATTCTAGACTAATTTTATGTGATGTGTAGGTTAATGAACATGAATTGGGTGTTTTGTAAAAGCATTTTAATTGTTTCTGTATTCTATATACATTGTGTTTTTACTTGTTTTTGTGTCGTTTAGACACGCCTGGTTTAAAGGACCGGATACGGACTGCGATCGCTGAGATGGTCAAGGAATTTTTGGAAGAAGATGAAAACGACATTGTTCTTGGTAATTATATATATGAAAGTCCATTATAACGCTAAACAAGTGACTGTTAATACTTGTGTTTATATGCATACATGATATTTAATTTTAAAGTATAATTTTATATTAATTAATCGTAACACATGCAGAAGACCATACCATAGCTCAACCAAACAAGTAGCCTAATCATTTGATATTGTTAAAATGCTACAGTAACTCTAAATATGAATTTTGGTACCCGTAACACTGATTCCCCTCCACTTAAAGATGAACTATTTTCCCATTTATCTAAAACACAGCTGAATAAGCAACTTTGGCTGCCAAAAATTGATTATCATTTTAACAACGGGCCGCAATGCTATACACATACCAAAAGCGGTCTTATTTGTTGCATTATCATTTTATTTGGAAGAAAAAAAAAACCTTTATCAACAAAAGGTAGTAAATTGTCCCAAATGCGTCGACTCCTCACAATGCGCAACTGGAAGAAATTAGACTTTATTGACTGACTGATGCCGAGTGCGCCCTGCATGGTAGTCTTTTGACCGCGCAACACATGGAAAATGTCTTGCCATGCAACATGCTTTTGGCAGGAACAAATATGGAACATAAATTTGACGTCCGATAATGGGCGACCTGAATATTGGCCAATGATGTGACATGCCAATTACCATCGGGCTGAGCCCTCGCGTACGTGGCGGGCCCAAACCCGCTAAAGTAGGTCTGCATAACAGACTAGCTAATGTATAGCCATTAATCAATATTTTGACTGATAACATTTCCTGCCTGCGTCCATGTTGCGCGTCTAATTGATGGTTGACTCAAGGCTCATTTACACGATGTGGCTAATCGTTAAATGATCGTCATTCAAGCATATAAAAACGACTGCAGACGAACAAATGGCGATTT